ATATAGAGCTCTATAGCCCTTAGCCTTTCTATTACTTATCCTAAGTATTTAGTATATTCTTCTCTCGTTTTAAAGTATATAAGGATATCGTCGAGGTAGACTACGTAGATTATATCTACGAGCCCCTCGAGCGCCTAATAGATATAGCTCTAAAACGTAGTTAGTACGTTAGTAAGTCTAAAGGGCATTACTAAGTATTCGAAATATCTATAACGCGTTTAGAAAGCGGTCTTCTATTTATCTCCTTCCTAAATTCGAATACGTTAATATATATTCCGTATATTAATCTTAGAAAAATACTTAGCTCCTTAATAGCGGTTAATAATCTCTAAAATAAGGGGTAAAGGGTACCGATTCTTTTACGTAACCCGGTTAAGTCCTTAGTAGTCTATATATAGCCGTAAGGTACTATCCTTTTTTAGAACGAAAAGGATAGGCGCCCCGGCTAGGCTCTTTAACTCCTAGATTATTTTCCTTTTTATCGCGTCTTAGATCTAGTCGCGTAATACTTAGAGTTCCCTTTACGATAGAGGGTAAATCGGTCTATAAGGAGGTTCCGTATTAAAGATTAAATTAATTAAGTAATCCGTTCCCTTTCTAGCTAGTAATAAATCGGATTTATTAGCCGAGAAGGTATCTTTAAACCGGTAGAGAGTCGGTAGGATTTCGGCCTATTCTTCCTATAAAATCCCTTTATCTTTATCTTTATCTAGTAGCGGGATTAGCTTAGGATTAAGCGCTATTATATATACCCTTACTTTATTCCTATATTCTTAAAGGAATCTACGGGGATTCTATAGGGTTTCGCTGCTTAGTTAATACTTAAACTACTACTATCGTTTCTATAGGATAATATAGATACGTTTATCCTTTAAGGTAATAACTAATAAAAGGATTAGTACCCGATCGTTTAGCGTTAACTTATCGGTACCGATATAGAAATAAGTAATTATCTTTTTAGTGCCCCTTATATCTATTATTTAGAGCGGCACTAACTATACTCTATACTCCTTTGCCCTACTATTATTAAGCCCTAATAACTTAGGGTATAATAGCGCTACTTATAGTAATCCCTACTATCGGGTAAAGTATACGTCTACGAGGTTAATAGTACCGTAAGTATCTAAGTGCACGGGGACTTTAGTAGGGTTTCGCCCTAATATCGTTATAGGAGTTTTAAGTAACTATCCTATAGGTATTAAGTTTACTAAGGGAGAGGCGTTTACCCCGATATCTTACCTTTTCCTTATTTTACGGTATCGAGTCTAAGAGTCTTCGCTAGGGTTTCTACCTTTAGAGAATTAGTATATTTTATAGATAGGTGTCCCGGCTTATTATATTAGAAATATATAATTCCCGATTAAGTAGAAGATCCTCTTCCTCGATAACATCCCTTAGTTCGGCCCCTAGTAGGTATATCGCTAGCTTACTAGTTATCGGTCGAATCGGTAGTATTTCCTTAACGATTCGGCCTAGCTTATCGGCCTCTCTAATTCCTTCCCCTATACGTACCGCCTTAGGGTATAGCACTACTTCTATTCCCGGTTCCTCTAGGGGTAGAAGTAGTATTAGTACGTCGCCTCTTATTAGTAGTAGTATCCTAATATCGTTAGGCGACTTATATAAGCTCTTCCCGTTAGTAGGTATAGATAGGTGTTAAATAAAGGTTAATTTAGTCCCGAAGTTATAGCTCTAGCTTAGCGAAAAACGTAAGAGTACGCGCCTTTTCCGATAGGCGTTCGAAATGCCTCTCTAAGGAGTTAAGGTATAAGCTAAACTCTAGGGGGGACTAGCCTTCTCGTTAGCGAGCCTCCTTTAATTACGTCGCTAATAATATCTCCTTATTCGTAGTATCCTTAATTAAGACGAGTATTTATTCCTTAAAGTATACCTAATCTATACTATATTTAGTTCGGTTAATCGGCGTCTATTCTTTAAGGTATCGGCGCTATCTCGCTTTATAGTCGCTATATATATAATCTACCGCGTAGAGGATCTTCGTTTCGTCGCGACGAAAGCGTCTAGGCGCTGCCCTAAAGGCGTCCTCTAGATCGTAAGTCTAGTCTAGACGTTTCCGTGTATTAGTAGGTTAGGATAATTAAGCGATATTTTTAATCTTAACCTCGCTACCGCGACTGCCGTCCGATTTAAGGGAGTAGGACTATCGACGCTTCCCCGAACGGATAGCGATAGCACCGGCGCGTTTAGTAATTTCCTCCTCTAATTATGCAACGCGATCTTATAAGCGTTTCGTCTCCTCTAGCTCCTTAACGCGCGCTTATAGGGCTATAAGCTTTTCCTTACGAGACGGTTATCTTACGCCTACGGGTAGCGATATCTTCGATATAGTTATAACGCCGTCCGTAGTAGGGGTCTATTCCGAGGATATATCTTCCTATTCTTCGTCTCCTAAGTAGATACTCGATATACGTAACGAAGAGGCCTCGACTAGTTAACTACTACGTCGCGCTATAGGAGCGTTACGTAGTCTTCTCTAAGTAGCTATCTCTACTAGGTAACTAAAAAGGGAAGCTTTAGAAATTATAAGGGAATACGTATTACGGTACGATTAGTTAGGTAGTAGAGATAGCTAGAGGTACTACGCTATATATATTATATTCTCCTCGTCGTAAGACTAAAGCTTACGAGAAGAGGGATTTCTCCTCTTCGGTCGGAGTAGCGAGTGGTCTATAATATGCGAGCGGGGTAGGCACGATTCCCTGCTAATACCCTACCGATATATTAGTACTACGTACCCGAGTGCTTTATTAGCCCGTACCTCCTAGTAGCGCTCTTATAATAAGTTAAAAGTAAGGTTTAAACTTCTAGATATTTATTCTTTTAGAAGCTAATTATTTAATAGAATAGCTAACTATATAATATATAGGATACGCGGCGCCTACTCTTATTATTTAAGGCAATTTCTTACTATTAATAAGTCGCTATTAATAAGTTATATAGACCTTTTTATAAAAAGGTTAAATATAATTATAGATAAGCTAGTAAATATAACTACTATAATATCGCTTATAATATTCGATTTAATAGTATAATTATACTTTAAAGGACTACCTTAGCTCTCTAAAGATAGTACTTAGGTAATTATAGTAGCTTAAAAACTAAAAAGCTTAGATAAAAGGATCTATTATCCTTATAGGCCTATTAAAGCTTTATCTTACTACGCTAGTATTTAAGTTAATACCCTTAGCTTTTTTTAGATAAATAAAGATATTCTTACTTTAAATTAAAAAGCTAAAAGATTAGCTAGTAGGTATAAAATAAAAGAGAAAGGCTAGATATTATTAGATTAAGTCTATAGTCTAATAATTACTATTGACTTTCTAAATATAATCTTAAGGCTAACGCCCCTTTTATACTAAATATAGGTATCGAAACTATAGCTTTATATCTTAATAGCCTTATAGTATTCTTACTTTTAAAGTAGGAGTATTTATTTTATTTTACTAAAGAGATCCGCGGGGTATTTTAATTAACTCTATCTATTAACCCTAAGTCGGCCGCTCGATTAATATACCTTAATGCCTATATTAAGGAATCGCTATAGGTATACTCGCTAGTAAGTGGTTTTTTTCTACGTATAATACCCTCTCTTAGCACGACTATCGTAGAAAGCTAGGTACCCGGTAGTACTTATATTTTAATATCGCTATTCTCCTCTATGCGCTCTCCGGCCTATATTTATACCGCTAATTCGTTTGCCCTTAAACGATAGTTAGCTAGTCTAGATTTATTATTTTTAGGCGATCGGAAGGCTGCCTTTTAACCCTTTACTACTAGCGGCTAAAGTTGCATAGGTTAAGAGTAAGGTTTAAACTTCTAGATATCTATTTTTCTAGAAGCTAATTATTCGGTAGAATGGCTAACTATATAATGCGACTCTTTATATATAAATTATTATTCTACTTTGACGTTGAGCTCTGCTTAGAGCTGTCCCACTGGTTTTCGAGACAAAAATCGTGGTTAATTTGGGATCAGCCGCCGCAGTTTGTCATGTTGAGGCTAAGAGACTCGTAGCAGTCGCTGCCGCCTGTGCACCGGTTTTATTTTTGTTCATATAAAGGGCTGAAACTGTATCATCGGGCCTACTTATCATTCCCGGGACCATTAATATCTGTCGTCATCTATGAACATTGCAGAGTTGCTCAACCTCAGGCGATCCGAGACAAATTGTAAAGTGGGAAGACATCTCTTTCACATCTATCTACCAAGACTTCAGTCCTCCAACCGTAAAAACCTGGCCATATAAATAATCCTTGTACGTGCTCTTAAAAAGGCGTTTAGGAGCAACTATAAAAGTACAGGGCTGCCAGGTAATACACCGAAATAACGATATATATTTAATTACTACCCAAGGGGGAATAGGGCTATATTTATATGAAGTCTCCCCTATCTTACTGTGCCTTATATACCGGCTTGAAAAGAAGGCCATTAATAAGATTAATGCCCTATCACTTAAGCGATGTTTATATTTATATCATAGGAGGTTCGAGTCTTCTGTAAAGGGGTCTCTATACGAGGCCTCCGCCCCTATCCCTGCCTTATGCCTGCTCCACGGGTGTAGCTGCTGCACGGCTGTTACCGACACGCATCCATACATCATATCAGCTTCATTAATCAATGCATAATACGTAACCAGGGCCTCTCTTTTGCTGCCCTTACCTTCTAATCCACATGATCCCTGTACCTGTGCCCCATCAGGCAAATCTCCGAACCCTCATTCTCACAGTATTACTTGCACTGCATTTCTAGCACTTGATCGTGTTACGTACGATTTGCGCCCTGAATTAAAGTCTAAAGTCATACGATGCTGCTCCAATATAGGCATGATCGGATACGAAGATGGCAAACCGGCAGCCAGATGCCAACACGTGCTATCTTGCAGGTGCCAAAATATAAACATCATGAACGCCAGGGTATCAGTTTGAGAACGAAGTGATACCTCCACCATGTCTTACCTATTGTCTCTTTGCATTTTTGCCATGGTCGCTGTGGCGTTTACCGATTCTATTCGTCCATCTGAGTCGGACTTGGCTTGCAGCGCCAACGATCCGAGCGAGAAGCTGGTAGCCATTCACCAATACATTTATGCTTGGGGCTCGATCGGAAGACGCCAAGTGGATGAAATAATCAACGTAGACACCTACATCCACGTTTTCGCCGATAACAAGACATACGAAGGTGGCTGGCTGAATGTGACTATATTTGCTTTATTGGGCGTATTAATCGATATTCTAACTCTTTGTACAGGACACCATTATTCAGAGGCAGATGGAAGTGCTTAACGATGGCTTTGCTCAAAGTAATATCCACTTCATCCTCAAAGGCACAGAGAGAAACATCACGTCTCCCCCAAATTTTGGCGGACCCCCCGATCCCTTGACAGCGTTCTATGGAAAGATCCGCAAGGGCGACTATCGCTCACTTAATTTATACTATATGCCGAGGATGTACGGAGGAGAATGCAGCTTCCCCGGCATGCCTGGTGCAATCGATCAGTTTTCCACCGAGTTCATCTTAGATGGCTGCAGAATGGGTTCGGACACCACACCAGGCGGCAAGGAACCATTCAGTAGTGGCAAGACAACCATTCACGAAGTTGGTCATTGGTTCGGACTACTCCATACCTTTAAAGGCGGCTGTAACGCAACTCACGGCGACTACATTGACGACACACCGGCTGAGGCCGAGTACGTGCGAGAAAACATGGGCGACTGCCCCAAGGGCCGAAACAGTTGCCCTCACTTGCTCGGCCTTGACCCCATCGATAACTATATGGGCTACACATCTGAGTGAGTTTCCGGTGTAATTGTGCCTTACTAATTGATAACTGACGGAACGAACGACAGTGATTGCAGACGGAAATTCACAGGCGGCCAGATCAGCCGTATGAGGAAGATCTGGAAACTGGTCCGCATAGTTTGGTAGACATGAGTTTCGGTACTTTCTATGGATTTCAATTGTCACCAGGCAGCCGGTAACTGGCTTGGTAGGAAGAATTAGACCGCACTTCATGTAGCTCTAAAATGGGTCGACGCTGATAAGTCACCAGAAAAAAATGCATATGAGAATGAGCTGATTTTCACCAAAATAGAATACCTAGTATATGCAGTTTGATAGAAAAATATGTCCTGGAACTATAAACCTTATTACCACCAGACCAATACTAGCCAGTACTAAGCATCTCTTCGAAACCCTTAACAACATATGAAAGGATCTTTTGTTCTTTTGTTTACGCTCCTAGCCGCCCTACCAAGTTAGAATAGCTCATAACGTAATATATCTTCGAAGACGGCGTAGATGGAAATCTAATCCTTTAGCATGTCGCCGTCGAAATCCCCATTCCTTGCGAGCTCTCAAATCATGCTGTGATGCAAAACCCTGGTCGTTTATTCGCGAAACTGCAGCATAATCCATGACGCTAGACGATAGCAAAAGATGATGGAAATCATAATGCCTACGTTCTTCCCAAGATGGCCGGGCTCATAACCGTACTGGTCCAAGACCGCCTGTCCGGCAATCGAGCACTGATCTGCGAGTGGCGACTCATACATACAGCGACAGCCCTCTCCACAAGAATAGACGCGATCTGAAAACTGACTGATCATCATGCCCTCGAAGACGTACTTTTGGTAGTCCCAGTACTGGAAGACATACTTATAGAAGGCATTAAGGGCCGTGGGCGGGACCATAAAGCCGCTGACCGCCATCCAGAGGCCGTTGGCAAGGGCTACAAAAGCAAGGGAAATAACAAAGCTCGGGATGATCGAGGCGATAAGTACGATAAGTGACTCTGCCGCTAGTAGCTCGAGGAATAGCCACATAACATATGTAAAGAAGGCAGTTGCCGTCGGCTGGAAGTTGGAAAGCCAATAAGATATAATAGAAAATGAAATTGAAAAGATAAAAAGATATGGCGTGCCAATAAGAAAGTTGGAGATGATGAATTCCAGAGGGCTATAGAGGCCATTTCGATGTTCCTTAATGTATTGGAGGCGGTCTTCGAGGAATGCTGGCACGTAAGCGACCGCCATGAAGGACATGAAGGCAGAACCGAAGAAGAGAGCGTTTATACGTGGCTGGATGGAGGATTGTGCCAAGCTGAGTCGGACCCAGACCGTACCGATCAAGATGGCGAGGGCGGCGTACATGATGAGGCGGATAGCATAGACAATGCTGTCGCGGTAGCTTTTAATGAAGCCTCGGTGTAGGAGAGAAAGGTAGCGACTAGTCTTGCTGGGCGGTATGCCATTGTCGCTTAATTCGAGCGTAGGATCGCTGCCTGATTTTTCGATTGCTGTGATCGTGTCGTGAGTCGTTATAGACTGCGGAGAAGTTCTCCACGATTCGTGAAGCTCGTTGAGACGCCGAGCCGCCATAGTTTTATCGCTCACGAAGTCGATGTTCATCAGCTCCAATAGAAATTCTGCCGGGTTAATACGGTTCGGGACTTGTGTACCAATTGACTCAAAGTGCGACACGGCTCTGTCTACAGGACCGAAATAATATGTCTTGCCTTTGGATAAGAGGATCAACCTGTCAAATAGATTAAATGTTGCCGTCGAAGGTTGATGGATTGAGCATATAACGATAAGCTTGTTATCTCTCGCCACCTTCCGGAGGTAGCTTACGATCTCCCAGCTAGCAGCTGAGTCGAGTCCACTGGTTGGCTCATCGAGAAATAGGATCTTGGGGCCGGTGATGAGTTGGCTGGCCACGCCAACGCGACGTTTCTGTCCTCCAGAGATACCTTTGCGCATTGTCGTGCCGATGATGGTGTTGGCTTGATCTGCAAGGCCGAAAGAGTGCAGGAGGGCGTCGATTCGAAGAAGACGTTCTCGCCGGGACGGGAAACTAGCATTGAATTAATATAAGTTGACGATTTCGAAAATGAAGCATAGTGGCGACACACCGTGTACCTGCGAGACGCGAAGAGAAATCCAGCGTCTCTCTGACTGTGAGTGCCCCAACAAGAGAATCCTCCTGCTCGACGAAGCAAGTGATCTGTCGAAAAGTAGATGGAGAGAGTTCACTTCCATTGACGAGGACGGTGGACTTGACGTTGCTCCCATTTGGAAGCCGTCTGGCTAATACCTTCAGAAGAGTTGTCTTGCCGCATCCAGATGGTCCCATGAGAGCACACATCTCGCCTTCATTGCATACGTTAACGTTAGCTTTCCACGGCAGAAAGCAAAGAGAGCATGCCAGTTCATACCTGCTTGCACAAAACCCTCGACGTTGTCGACTATTGTCTCAATCTTCTTGGTCTCGCGGTCCTTCGCCGTGACACTGACGCCTCTCCAGGTGATGTTCTTGACGGTTGTGTTGCAATGGGCGTCGGTCATGGACCCCTGCTCCGAGTCTGCACTTGAGCTTTTGTAGGACTTCATTTTAAGATGGATATTTTTTTGAGGGTGGAAGGAAGTAGTAACTTGGAAAGACAAAGCAAGCGAGCTTTCTCTTTGGCAATTGTAGGTGTACGGACGGGATGCGGAGATTTATCAGGTGTCGAATTCGAGGTGACAGTTCACATAGGGCCCTCCTACCAGCACGCAGCCTTCGAGTTCATGTTACTAATTAATATCCGGCACACAAAAGTGGGGGATTGTGGCACGCACCCCTAAAGGGGGAAGGTTGGCAATGTGAACTAGATAGAGAGTCTGTGAGGAAACCACTAGGTTGTGCAGGCAAAAGTGAAGTGACACTCCTTGGGCAAGAGGGGGTAGCCGGTGCCACGCACTCAAAAGGCGCCTGGCTCTGGCTACCGAATCAGACCATCTTTTGCCTTATTTATCTTCTTTTTGCAGATACTGTCAGGAGCCCCCATCATGGGCCAGCCTCCTTGAACAGACGAAGTAGCCGAATTCAACATCGGAATAGCCTCACATTCATTAGATCGCACGCTCCTCTGCTTATTGCCCCACCACCTGCTGTAAATAGCTGGAAGGCAGAGTGGGCACAAGAGGCCAGAGTCATGCCCAGTGGACCCAATAGTCATGCACCAACATGACTCCCCTAGCCTGAGGACATGATGCAGGCCTGACTCAAGTATCCCTATCATCCCAATGCCCTCTTCTGGCTCGCTATTTGTGGTCACTGCACCTATATCAGCCCCTCTCTTGTCCCAATAGATAGACCAAGACATGGATCACTAAATTCACATTTCTGAGCCCCTATACCTTCCCTTATGCTCTCAAGCCCCTGCTTGAGAGAGTCCTTATAGATAAAGAGACCACATCAGCGAGGGCAAACCCTCGCTTTCCAGTAAAAGAGAGGAACGTATTATCTGCTTCGGCCTGCAGAGCTAAAAGGTCAATTGTCACTCCAGCGCAGATCATGCTGTCGTGCCGGACTTAAAGGGGCTAAGTTGGTAGCCAGGCAACATCATAATCCTCCACCTTTTGCGTGCCAGATAGTGTGGGCTGTTTGCTGTAAAGGGGGCCTTCACATACTAACCTTGACACATAATCTCAGTAAGACTTCGCCGACATTCCTACTCCCATATATTGATCGCAGCGTTTAGGAAGATGCTCCAACGTGGATCATTCGTCAGCATGCCGCAGCACTTCCACTTGGAGGCTTAAGGTGGAACATGGGGATTCCAACTTGCAGTTAGGAAAGGCCATTGAGTAAGCAGAAGCAACCTGCCATTGACGATCATCTTAAGTCAGGTTCTTACTCATAGCCCCTGTCTCATTAAAACGCATGAGGTGCCATGCGGCATCGCTCTTCCAGAAGCTCCTTGGCGTCTACCTCACCCGCCTCCGTCTCGTCCGTTGCCACCTCGCACTTGCCCACGACACCTCCACCTCCGCCTCCGCCTCCGCCTCCACCAATACATCCAACCCGGACTCGTGCGACAGTGACAGCCACGGCCAACGCCAATCCTGCGTACCCCTCGAAAACGGCTCGGCCCTTCCGCCGCCCGCTCCCTAGCGCGAAGCCGAGCCTGTCCCCTCAGAGTTGCAGTTGAATTCTCTGCGCGGGGCTGCCGGTTCCCCCGGACGCCTCCCGGTGCAGGCCCCTCTCTCCCCTTTCGTTCCGGTGCGAAATTCGGATCGCAGGACTACTTTGTCGACAGCCTTGTTGGTAGGTTTGCCGCTCATGTTTCTCAGACGCCTTGATCCCATGCTTAGTCCTTTTAGCAGACGCATCCATCCAGATCGCCGAGGCCATCTGGTTACATTCAGTCGTCTACCGCAGAGAGCCTAGAAGCAAGACCGCTGTTCCGTTCCGCACCTTCATCCAGATACTCCTTTGGCGCTCGCGCATCAGTCACTCCACGCAGCGGGTGGCCCTACCCATTCCCATCAAATCTGGTGTAGTGGGCACCAAGACAGTACCGGTACGCAGCAGCAGTTCCACTGAACTAGACCACTTCGTGTATTTTCTGACAGCATATTAATTTCTCGAACAATGATGTCGTGAGGGTGACAGGGTGCCCATTACCACGAAGGTCCAAGAGCCTGCAAAGTATGTGCGATTTATATGACTGGGACATGATGTTGCTACCGATGGCCAAGATGATGTTACCAATTTTGTTTGATGACTTTCTTCTCGTCCATCTCATTGATCGTCCCAAGGTGCCTCTGCCCCTTGTTAAGGAACATCGCCCGATATGCCGGCTCGAAGCTTATATCAGCGTTGAACACTGCCTTCTTCAGCTGGTGCTGGAAGTCGCTGCAGTTGAATGACATCTCGATCAAGCGAAGATTCTGCTAGTAGGAGCGTGTGTAGTATATCGACCGAAAGCCGCCAGAGACGTCTCCTTCTTCATCTGTGGCAAAGGCAAGCTGATTCTTCTGGTAGCCCGATGTCGGCTCTGCCCAGAGCCTAGATTTGAAGGTCGTCTCGTAGTGTCTGTCGACATACCTAGCTTCTATCACTGTGAGCCACGGCTAGATCGTTGTAGAAGGTGGCTAAAGGTGAACAATATGCAGGTTAGATAGTAGGGCCATAGAGTCATATTCCCATAGTTTTAAAATTAGACTTGCAAAAGTGACGTTTCACAATGGTAAGGGGACGTAAAACTCGATGCAGTTGACAGCAACACTTGGTTGGACTGGCAGGGGCGTTTCAATCTCTAGTTAACCATGATATCAGTTAGGCTTTCTTATCAATGTATCGCTACTTATTAAAGTCTTCTTCGTACTGGTCCGTAGATTTGTTAGCCTTCGTGGTGTTTCTCTTTTTGATGGCTCAAGTTCTGGTGCAGCTTCAACGTAGCAAGTCCGGCCTAGATGATTCTTTCTTCATCCGCGCTCGTAATAGGGGCTCTATTCATCGTCTTTTAGCCGTTTTGGCCATTTTGTTCTTACAGTACTTAAACTCTCACCCGACGTGAGAGCTGTTCTAAAGTACTCGAGTGATCCGGAGGGAGTTTGTCACGTGGAATAGCCACACTATACTCATGCCACGGCGTGCAGGAAGGCGTGCTTTCCTTGTCGATCAAGGGCCGATCCGCTCTTATTGGTTTCTCACGAATTAGGGTAACAAACCCGAGTGCAACTTGATGCTGCCGAGAAGAGAAGACATGTTTGACGGAGAATATGATTATCCCGAAGTCGCGACAGCTTTAAATCGATGAGAATAATAACAATAACCTACAATTCCTCTCCACTGTGGTATAAACGTGAACCTATCGGTGCAGAAGTTTAGAGACGATATATACTCCTACCACGCCAACTCGAAAGCCCACAGCTGTGGGGCTCCCCTGGACCCCAACCGTCCCTTAGGAGATTTCCAGTCTGCACGACGATGCAGAGATCATCCCCATCGTGAATCCAGAGTGCCAGTTTTCGGTGAAATCTACTCCGTATATGGTGGAGTCTGCCAAAAGGTTTGCCCCTTAGCGAGCAAACCCTAAAATCGTTGGGACGGCACCTACCTGACTAGGTAGTCGCCGCTCCGGTTGGGACTATTGCTTCTTATGGAGAGCACACTCCTTTTAGAATGTCTCTCCGGCGGTCGTTTCGGTGACCGAGTCGTTTGGTAGCTACTGTATGCTCTTTGAGGGCCTACAACGCACTCTATTGTTTCTATAAATCTGAGCGTGCGCCATGCATATATGTTTATACGGCTGTACCAGAAAGATTTGCTGGGCCCTGGCTTATGTCGGAAACTGCTCATGGCATCCCGTGAAGTGGTTATCCCGCGTTGCGTAGTTCTATAAGGTCCATCTCGTGCTACTCGAGACTCGAGTCGATATGCCACCGTCACCTTGATTTCTCAATCGGCTCGCATAGCCTTCGCGCCCGCATTCACATTGTATTACGGCTGGGCGCGTTTCTAAGGCCATTAAAACGCAATGTCTGCTCCTCAATGTGGGCACGTACCAAAGTCGTAGCCCTTTACGCCGAGCCGCGCGCTCTGGACCATCGTCTGTGAGAGGCACCTGATGTCTGGGACAAAGTCGTCGGCTTTTTAACGGCCCTGTAATTTGGTGCACCAAATTATATTGCCGCACGACGACCGCTCAACTCAACGCACGTAAGCTCGCACATTCCAGAGTCTCCTAATCCGATGGCGTTCGATACCCCATTGAAAGATGCCCGACGCGAGGCAGGGCTCTAAATAGCATGGGCGGTGCCGGCTTGGGGTTGTGATGATGAGAGCGTCTTTCCTTCATCATTTATGCCTCTTGCTGATGAGGGAGAGACTGAAAGAGCATTTCAAAGTAGATCGCAAGGCCTTTCTGAAACCGCCCCCCTTATATTAATATGGCAGCTGTACATGGAGCACGGCCATTGAGCTTCGGCACGACGTCTTGGCAGCCGAGGCGGGACGGGCATCCATCGGGCCGATGCGGGCCCCGGCAGATGTCCGTGCTCCGAGCTTGCCCACAATGGTGCCGCGGTCTTCGCGGGGGCATTTAGGGACCGTTCGCGGCGCTTGTCGACCGCTACAAGGCCCCGTACTCAGACTAACTCGGATGCTGGCGGCTGCACCAAACTTTGCACGCGCCCCCCCTCTCCTCTCCCCGTCAACCCTCGCGACGCCTCCAAACGCAGCCCTGCGTCGTCGATGGCTGCGAGGCTGGACCTTGTTTTGCGTCTTTGCCCGGTGTCGTGACGCCGTGACTCTTCGTCATGCAGGCCGTCAAAACCCTCTTGCCTCGGTGGCCGGGCGCGTCGTCGTCGCCCTCGCCCGCGACATATCAACCACTGCACCAAACCGAGGACGACGACGACGACGACCATCCGCACGGAACAGCGTCTACAATGGCCTCGCCTGAAGACGGCCCCGACATGCCCGCGAGGCACCGCGACGCCGCTGCTCTGCTGCTCATCAGACTCGGCCGCTCGCCCGACGAGCGCATCCACGTCTCTGCGGACGACGACGCCCGCATCTTGCGTCAGATCGACCTCGCCCTGCTGCCCCTGATGCTCGCCGTCTACTTCCTCCAGGCCCTGGACAAGGCAACGCTCTCCTATGCGTCCATCTTCGGCCTCATCGAAGACACCCACTTGGTTGGCAACCAATTCTCGTGGCTCGGCAGCATCGTCTTCCTGGCCCAGCTCGCCATGCAGCTTCCGATATCCTTCGCTCTCGTCAAGCTTCCCATCGGCAAGTTTACCAGCGCCATGGTCCTCGCTTGGGGCGTTTCCCTCACCTTCATGACGTGGGCCCACAACTTTACCGGCCTCATGGTCGCTCGTTTCTTCCTCGGTGCCTTTGAGGCCAGCGTTGGGCCCAGCTTCATTGCCGTCACCCAGATGTGGTGGAGACGCAGAGAGCAGACCATGAGGGTTGGCTCGTGGTATTGCATGAATGGCCTCACCTGGGTGGTGCGCTTCTCCCAAAAAACCCTCGCGGTAGCCTTACGCCTGCATCGGTGCTGACTCTGAGAAGTTTGGTAGTCTCATCACATATGGCCTTGCCAAGATCGATTCGGATATGAAGCCTTATCAGGTAAGCAGTCGTTGCCCGCTGTTGATTGCATCACCAACGAACTGCTCGTCTCGACGAATCCACGTGTCCATGGTTGGGAGTTGACTGACACCAGACGTCATGGTAGATCATCTTCCTCTTTTTCGGCGTCATCACCGTCGGCGTCGGTTTCCTCATGCTCTATTGGATGCCAGACTCGCCAATCGAAGCAAAGTTTCTCTCCGACAACGACAAGGTGCTTGCAATCTGGCGCCTTCGTCACAATCAAATGGGCGTCATGTCTCGCGAATGGAGGTCTGACCACTTTTACGATGCCCTGAGAGATGTCAAAACGTGGCTGTGGTTCGCCATGATGTTCTGCATCTCGGTCCCGTCCAACGGGCTCTCAACGTTTGGTCCCCTCATCATCAAGTCGTTTGTTTCCGATCCGTTTCACACGATGCTCTTCAATGTCCCCGTCGGCATCTTGCACGTCATTTCCGTCTCCTCCAGCGCGTACCTGTCCATGAGGTGGAAGTTCAAGGGCCCCGTCATCATAGCGCTCTGCGCTCCACCACTCATTGGCTTGGCAATTCTTTTTCACTTCCCTCACGATGAGGCTCACCGAGCTGTGCTATTGACCGGCTACTTTTTCCTCTCCACCTTTACCGGCATCAGTGAGTTTAGACTTCGCTTCGACTTGTTTTGCCGTCACACTAACCGTCCGTAGCGCCTCTCATCTACGCCTGGTCATCTCAGAACACCGCTGGCGATACGAAGCGCAAGACCACCTCGGCCATCGTCTTCATTGGGGCTTCTGCGGGCAACGTCGTCGGCCCTCTCCTGTTTCGGCCAGACGATGCACCGGAATTCACCCTGGGCATCCGCTTGAACATCCGCTTCTTTGCCGCCATCAGCTTGTTGGCAATCGTGACCATGTGCTACATCACGACTCTGAACCGCAGGCAGAGCGCACGCAGACTCTCCGTGGGCAAACCCACCCAAACTGTCGACTTGAGTCTGGAGACGGCTGCCAACGCGGAGCGAATAGAGAGGCGTGAGCGAGAGGCACAGGCTGTTCTGGCTGGGCCCAATGGGCACGTCGTAGACCATACCGACGGCAGGGGTGACAAGACGTTTTTGGACAGAACCGACCGAGAGAATGAGGATTTTGTCTACGTAAGCTAGAATCGGATTGCAGACGGGCAGCAGCAGACTTGCTGTACCGACGCAATCTTTGGGAGTGTTTCACTTTTTGCTGGTGCAATGGTTACTACATGTACTTCCTGGCAGTTCAAATATTGGACATTCTCAAAGTCGCGGGCGATTTCCCTAGCATGTGATGGCCTGTTATGGGGGGACGGTTGCCCTGGGTCGACAGGTGCTCCTGTCGAGGCGCTCGGGCATGGATCAACACAACCTACAGGATCCTGAGGGCCCAAAGTGAAAACACGTTACAGCTAGATGCCTACCTATCAAGGCTTCCTTGAACAAAACCCCGTCTACAATGATATACCCGTCGAGACTCAGCCCTGTCATCGACGGCTTGAGCAACGGCAGATAATGAGCGCCACACTCGAGATCAGGCGTGCTCTCAAAATCCCGACATCGCCAGCACCGCCGCAACTGACATCCAAAGGATCCAGATGGCGACGGGCCTAGGTCATCGGCTGATTTATTCCATGCCTACCTGGAAAAGACGCCGATGATTTGATGCCCGTAAGCCCCAGTCGTTGGTCAGCAACCCGGACTGAGGAGAATGACCCGGCCGCTGTATACGCGGTTGTCCGCTCAACTTTAGGAGAGTTGGATCGAGCCCGCTTCTTATACGCTACGATTTCTGACCATACATGAACGAACGATACAGTGCGCATACATGTCCGTTGTGTCCTCGGGGCGGAGGAACAGGAGGTCTAGGAGAAGCCCAGGGCGCCTCAAAGTTGCCGCCAGCCTCGGCGGGATCCAGCGAGGCCATACTATGTGTTGCACTCGTCATCAAGTACAGTACTAGAAAGATGCTCTGCTTTGTGTCGCGAACACGCGTCATTACACGGCCTTCCTCCCACGCCGTTACAAGCTCATTTCGTGCATGGACGGGGCTTCTCTCGCTCTATACCGGCCGAATCCCACCTGACAACCTCATCACCACATGACTTGCAGACCCAAGTCATTGTCCATAATTACAGCGTGGTCAGGTGGAAAAGGAGGGGAATCCTGGAGAGCGTCATATTCTCGGCATCCCCCAATTGGCACATCCATTCATTTATCGGCCCAGCCTGTCTCGGGCGCCCTCTCATTGCAATACCAAAGGGCTTACCGAGTCGCACACTTGACCGGGGTCTCCCAATCTTATGCTGAACAGGCCATGCCCGGGTGAGATGGCGAGCCAGGTGGCGCAACGTTCGGAGAAGGGGGGCTCTCACGGGGGGGGGGCGAATGGGCTCTGCGGTGTTACTCCTTTCATCACAAGGTTGCTTCCATGATGATTACGCGTTTTGCTTGGTAATCACGTAGCAAGACGGACAGGAGAATAGGCTGGAGCAGAGAGGCATATGAACTTATGAAGAGAGGGCAATTCTTGGCAAAGGAAGCTGGGCATCATCCAGGCTCAACGTCTTGTGCAAATGCCGAGCACTGGGCACGCTAAAGAGCCAATGCCGAAACTAACGCATCGTATTCCGGGAGCCGGGTTAAAGCTGGCCAGCGCGGGATATTCCCTCGATCGATATAGCTCCGTGTGTCACCCTCTGCTGAGGGCGAGTTGCGACCAAATGGGCCTGTCGTCGGGACCAGACGTCTCTCAACATGTACACCCAGTAACGTGTGCGCGCGCGTGTGTACGAGGCAAGCATGCATGGCCGGGGGAAAGTCGTCAATCCTGCGCGATCGACAGCTGTGCGCGATCCGAGCCGGCATGAGCATCGATCTTGCTGGTCGTCTCCCACAGAGACGACGGACGGTATGACGAGCATCTGCCGCATGGTGACACGATGCGTATCACGGCTCTGCCAGCGTCGGCGTCAATGGCTGTGCGATCGTGGCCCATTGGCACATCCCCATGCTTCTCTGGCGCGCGCCGTCACACGGCCTTTTGATGTTCCAGGCTGACGCCCTGTCACGAGTTTGCTGGGGTCCTCGTCGTAGCTCGACATTGGGAAATACGAGAAGCACGGCGCGAGCATGTCAGGCTGACCGCCGTCTTCTTCAGGCGGGACGCGACGGGCTTTGAACGACTGCGGCTTGAATGTGGCGGGAGGCTGCTGAGCGGCCGAGCCGTGCGGGACCGACGGGAGGACCCTTGTCTCGCGAGAGCGGTCGACTGCTTATCTTCGCCCGGGGCCTAAGGCTAAGGAAGAAGAGGGCGGGAAAAGAAAGGAGAGAAGAGAAGGGATGGCAAGGGTCCTTCAGCTGTTGGACCCAACAATAACACCAAACACACGGCAAGACATCATCATCAGCCTCGACGGGTCGAGAAACACACACGACCACGAATCGACAGCCGTACATTTGAGAGCCGGGTCAAAGCCAACCTCGTCACATAAACGTAGTCGTCACAAGCGCGTACGCTGCATGCTGTATGTAACGACATGCATGCAAACCAAGGCGTTGCATGGGCCTGCTCGCCGACCTTTTTTCGTTGCGCATGGTAGGTGATAAATGCTCCGTCCACCTCCCTCTGTCTCTCCTTTCTCTGCGGGACATGGCCCTGCCTGCGTCCCTCACCGCGGGGGCGTGCAGCTCGAGAGAGGCGATGCTTGGCAAGCGGCGATGACGGGCTCAAATCGGCCGCCGACGATGTTGTACGTGGACGCATGGGCTTGTTGATTTCATCAGGCCGCGCATTTCGTCGTCAAAGCAGCGCCTCTCCGTCCGAGGTCCATGTCTGTGTATGTAAGTGCCCCTGAGTGCGATAGGGGGGATCCGCGGCGGAGACATAACGGGCCAAACAGAAGAAAAGAAGCAAAGGAAGAACGACGGCCAACGTAACGTGCGCTCCTCGCTCGGGAAAAGACTGTGTGCACAAGCCCGCCTGAATACCCATTGTGTGGTTGGCCGCCTCCCGCCAATCGGCCTTAAGCTGCCTCCCCCATCTCTCAAGCCCGTCCCGCGTCCCAGCGTAGAGGGCCGCCGTCCGTCTGCCGCCCGGGCTCCTTTATGGCCCTTTCGATCCAGACGCATTCTCTCCATGTCTCTCCGTGCGTTTGTGCAGGGGTGGCCGGCGCAGATGGGACCGGCAAGACAGGACGGCGGTAGGTACTCACGCGTCTTTGGCCTTTCCTTGTTCAATTCTTTCTTTTCTTTTTCAACATGTACGGCCCAGTGCCCTGTACATGGCCTTCTTGCTGTACGTAGATTGGTCCCTCGTGCTCACCGGGACGCATGCCGGCAAAGGCCCTGTATAAAATGCACCACAAGCTCGACCATTTGGCCCGCCGTTGCTGATCAGGCATAGGTGACGATGCATGTCCCCCCCTCCTCCTCTTCGCCTTCGTCCTATCCCGCTAGGATACGAGAGATTCATCCAGGACGACATGAGGCCATCCCTCCTTTCCGTCGCCAACCGGATCGCAGCTCGCTTCTCCTCACTCGCCCTCCATCTCCTCGCCATCGTCGATGCCCTCAGCGGACCGCTGGTGGTTGACGGTCCCCGGACCCGTCCTTTCCAGGCCTACTCCTTGTCTCGGGCCTACCCTTGGTCTTGTAGGCCCTCGTATCTCCTGGGCGGACGTTGACCCGGCTCGACGACAATAAAAGTCGACAACAGAAGTTCACGACGACCATGGCGACCATATTGGCCGCATCTGCCGGCCATTACCTCCTGTCGCACTGGCCGGACGCGGGTCCGAGTGTGGGCGGGTGCCTGCAATGCCACCACCACTACCAAGACAAGATCCGGCCCTCGCACAACCAACAACAAACCCCTCTCGAGACGGCCCCTGGAACCCGCTGCGCCGAGCTCGGCTTCCCGACTCGACCTTCTTTCCAATCCCCCGACGTTGTCCTCGCCCAGGTCGCAAACGATGGCGGTGCCTTGCCTATGCAGCAAGGCGGCTGCGGCCTGTGTTGTCATGACGAGCACACGTTTAGCCCTCGCCTCTCCCTCTCACGTGTGGCCGCCTATCTCCTGTTGTCGTGTCACCCGAGCATGGATTCGAAAGACGGCCGCTTCGATATGGCTGTTCTGCTCGAGGCTCAATGGCGCGACTTGCTGCTCATCGGGCTCTTGACCATCGTCGCCGCCCTCCTGGCCCTCGTCTACCTCTGCGCCCTTCCGAAACCACTGCCCGGGATTCCCTACAACAAGCGCTCGTCCAGGCGTTTGTTTGGGGACGTCGGCGAGATCCGCCAGTCGACCTATAGGCGGCAGTGGATATGGAGCCAGCCAAGCGTCCACGGGGCACCCATTTCCCAGGCCTTTCTCTTTCCCTTCCGGAGACCGACCGTCATTGTCTCCGACTACCGTACCGCCGTCGACATTTGCTCCCGGCGCGTCAAGGAGTTTGACCGAGGGACGCGAAACAGGGAGTGCGTCGGCTTGACCGCTCCCAACTTCCACTTCACCATGCAGTCGAGCGACCCGCGGCTGAGGCGACATCGGGAGCTGCTGCGAGACCTGATGACGCCGTGGTTTCTCAGAGAGGTAGGATTCCAGATCTCAGGCGCGTGCAACATGTGCTCATCGTCGGTTCAAGGTCGCAGCCCCGCGCATATATGACAGAGTCGCTCTCCTGGTCGACCTCTGGAGCTTGAAGCAGTCCAAGGCACACTTGCGACCCTTTCCTGCCGCCCGGGACCTTTCCCTGGCGACTCTGGATATGATTTCGAGCGCTGCGTTTGGCATGGAAAAGTCCAAGGCCGCCCTCAGCAAAGAGGTGCTGCGGGTTCAAAGCTTCCACCCCGAAGCCGCTTTCGAGACAAACGAGCCCGTCGAATTCCCCCGTGCCACCCAAGAACCGGACATTGAGGCCCTGCTCGACATGGCCGACATGATGGCCATTGCGCAGGGCAGCCCCTTTCCGACTCTCGCTCAGTGGCTGGCTTTGCTCAAGCCCAGGCACGCCCGGGCCCACTGGCACCGACGAGCTCTCCTCCGCCGACAGACGGCAAAGAGCCTGCACAGGCTCGCGTCCGTGGGGGATGAGAGCGTGCCGGACAGCGCCTTGGACGAGCTCCTCCGGCGGGAGCAGCGCGCGGCAGCCAAGATGGGCAGGGTCCCCGACTTTTGGTCTCCCGCCATTCGAGACGAGGTAGGATCGTGCCCGCTGCGGGGGACTATCTTTGACTCGTGCGCCTTGCTAATACCGCAACTTAGGTTCTCGGCTATCTTCTCGGGGGCCACGAGACATCTGCCACTGCCCTGGCGTGGTGGGTAAAGCAAAATACTCGCCACCAACACGTTCAAGATCGTCTTCGGCGCGCCCTCTTTGACGGTCACCCTGAAGCCGTTGCAGAAGGTCGCTGCCCGACCATGGCGGAGATTGTCTCGGTTTCGATCCCCTACTTGGATGCGGTACTGGAAGAGGCGCTCCGCTGCGCCTCGGTGGCCACCTTGATCGTTCGGCAAGCAAAGTGCGACACGCATATCCTGGGCTATCCGATTCCAGAGGGGACCGACATCATCATCCCCTTGACCGGACCGTCCTTTACAGAGCCCGCTCTGGCGATCCCCGAGTCCCTCCGCTCCGAGGCCTGCCGCAACGCCAAAGAGCGCGTCCCCGCCTGGGGCGATGACATTGCCGAGTACAGGCCGGAGCGGTGGCTGAAGCGTGAGCGCAACGCGGCCGGAGAGACGGTGGAGGTGTTTGACGCGCTGGCCGGGCCGAGCCTTGTATTCAGCTGCGGTCCGAGAAATTGCTTTGGGAAGAAGCAGGCGTATCTGCAGCTGAGGACGACGGTGACGCTGCTGCTGTGGAACTTCGCCTTTGAACCCATCGACAAAGCGCTGGATGGGTGGGACATTACCGAGAGCCTCGTCAATCTTCCCAAGAGCTGCTATGTGAGGCTCAGAAAGCTATGACGGCCGAGGGATACCCGGGCTGCATGCGAGGGGGACGTGTTGGGAAGGGGAGATGCATGATGAACATACGATGACAGGATGATGTGAAACTGAATACCCCTTGGGCAGGAGGCAGTAATTGTAAATGGCATGCAAGATGCAGCAACTGACGGATGTGAGTCGGACTGCCCCTGATTATCGCAGCTTGTCCATGTCTTTTATTTGCGAGTTAATTCCCCGTCGTCGTGAACCGCGCGTAAGCGAGAAGCCCGCGAGTCTTCATTAGGGCGCAGGAGCTCTTGCAGCCAAGGCCCTTGCCTCGTCGCGCAGTTCAGCCTGGCGGTTCAGGTAGCTGAGGTACGTCTGCCAGCCCACGGCGACGAAATTGGAGACGAGGGTGCGGTACTCGAGGGGCAAAAAGGCGAGAGTGATGAAGACGGTGGCGGGCCAGACTTTAAACGAGTTGAGCCAGCTGGTGGGCACGGCGTCGCAGACTCGCTGCAGAGCGGCGTCGAGTCCGTCGCCGGCGAGGAGGGCGTGCGAGCCAAAGAAGTAGACGTTGAAGGTCGGGGTGAAGACGAGCTGGTTGACGGCGACTTTGGTGACGAGGGAGCGGACGCGAGAGGCGTAGTTGAAGTTCTTGGAGAGGAAGACGAACCTGCCGAGGGAGAAGTGAGTATGCGCCGAGGCAAAAACGAGTCGATGGACATGCATGCACGGCTCACCACTTATAAAACGGCACGGCGGCGACGAAGCCAATGACGAGGGCCCGGGCCGTCCGCGCGGCATCGTACTCGCGGCCTCCAATGTGCTGGGCGCTCAGGTCGGCACAGAAAAAGACGACGAGGGCGCCGACAATCTGCGTCCTGTACGGATGCGCGCGCTGCGCCCGGCCGTAGGCCTCGGCGACTGAGCTCACGGGCCCGAGAGCCCACCGGAGCCGCTCCTTGAGCGTCTTGGCTGGGGCGCCCCCCGATGCAGGGTGCGGCGTGGCCCGAGGCAGCGGGGGGGGCGGCGATGCTGGCGGAGACGGCTTGGCTTTGGCGTTGGGCTTGGCGACGGGGGGTTTGGACGAGTAGGCGGCCGAGGAGAGGACGCCGCGGCGACATCGGAGCACGCACCCGGGCGGCGCGGCGCGGACGAGCAAGGGCAGCGGCATTGCTCTCATGGTGGACGACGAGGGCGTGTGTGGTGTTGGGGCGATGATGTTGGAGGAGGCAGTTTTTCTCATGCCCCCTTTTTCCCTAGTCCTTCCCACCCAAGGGGCCCGCTGCACTGGATGGCTGACGGCCACGGCCAACACCCCCTGGTGTTTCGGCCTGGCTCCTCTGTGCGACTCACCCGCATTGCGCTTCTCAAGGAGAGCGGATGATGGAGAGCAGCATCATCATTCCGTCCAACAAAACATGCAAGTTGCCCTGTCGCTGCGAGGACGACACTGTGGTTTAGAGTTTAGACGATGGACTCATGGAGCATGCTGTCCTGCACATTGTCCAAATCAATCCACCATGTGCTGCTCCCAATCGCCTGCGGCTTCCAGCATTCCCCTTGGCCATGTCCTCCTTCCGGAAGAGGACTTGTCTAATACCACGTGTCCATAGCAAAGGCCTCATCAGGCCGGCATCAGGCGGCTTCAACCGGAGCGGCCAGCGCTGGCTTCCGTCGGCGAATGCTTGATGCTACGGCGTCAACCCCTCTCCTCCATGCCAGCGCCATGCTCCCTTGCTCGACATCGTCAACACAGCAGAGACTTGCATCACCATGGCACAAAGCCCGTCTCGAGACTCGCAAATGGATGGCACCTGGGTCACGCTGGCACACCCCGGCAGTCACCGGCAGGCCGAGTCTTTGCCCGACCGCGTTCGCCGCGTCGAGGCAGACCTAAACGACATCAACACCTTCTACAGCATCTCCATCTCTCCCGCCCGACACGAGCGTCTGCAGCGATTCTACGCCGACGAGGCGCGGTCGCTGCTTCGGCTTGACTTTGACGCCCTTGGCCAACAGGGCAAAGTCGACTTCATCCTCCTGCGGAAATATCTGCAGCGGAACACTCTCCAGCTCAGGGCCGAGCAAGATGGCTTTGTTCATCTGAAGCCGCTGCTGCCCTTTGGAGACATCATAATTACCCTCTGCGAGAAGCGAGAAAGGGTCGAGCCCATGGACGCCGAGCGCACCGCGCAGCAGCTCGACGACATCAACACCATGGTCGGCCGTGTCCAGCGAGACGTCGAGCAGGACAAGATCAAGATGGGCAAGACCAACGCCTTCAAGGCCTCCAACATTATCGACGAGCTGCGTGGCCACCTCGCCGAGTTCTTCGCCTTCTACGCCTCCTACGACCCCTCGTTCGACTACTGGGCAACAGTTCCCTACCGGACAGCCGACGGCGCCCTAGGCCGGCTTGTGCCGCTGATCCAGACACGCCTGGCGGGCGTGCGCCCCGGCGGTGCTGGCGATATCATAGGGGAACCCATTGGTCGCGAAGCCTTGTTGCGCGAGCTCGAGGCCGAGGTGGTTGCCTACTCGCCCGAGGAGCTCGTCCGGATTGCCCGTGACCAGTTCAGCTGGAGCGAGGGCCAGATGCGGCGAGCCTCGCGCGAGTTGGGCTACGGCGACGACTGGAAGAGGGCCATGGACCAAGACGTCAAGACGAGCTCCGTCCCGCCCGGCGAGCAGCCTGGCTTGGTGCTCGAGCTGGCGCGGGAAGGGGCGCGCTTCGTCGGCGAGCACGACCTCGTCACGGTGCCAGAGGTGGCTGAAACGTATCGCGCTACAATGATGAGCGCGCAGCAGCAACAGACGGCGCCTTTCTTCCTCGGCGGGCCTTCGATCCTGATTGCCTATCCGACTGCCGGCATGGCGCACCAGCTAAAGACCATGGTGATGCGAGGAAACAATCGCTACTTTGCGCGCGCAACCGCCTTTCATGAGCTGATTCCGGGCCATCGGCTGCAGCTCTTCATGCTGGAGCGTCACCGCAACTACCGGCGCCTCTTCACCACGCCCTTCTTCGTCGAGGGCTGGGCCACGTACTGGGAGTTGCTTTTCTGGCAGCGAGGCGACTTTTTCGTCTCGCCACGCGACCGCATCGGCCACCTCTTCTGGCGCATGCATCGTTGCGCCCGCATCCTCCTCACCGTCGGCTTCCATCTCGGACAGACGACGCCCCAGGAGTGCATTGATTTCCTCGTCGAGTCGGTAAACCACGAGCGCCACACGGCCGAGGCCGAGGTCCGCCGCTGGCTCTCGGGCCAGTACGGCCCTCTCTATCAGATGGCCTACATGGTTGGCGCCCTGCAGCTGCTCGCCCTGCGCTCCGAGGCCGTCGACTCGGGCCGCTGGACGGAGAAGCAGTTTAACGACCAGGTCCTGACCCTGGGCGCCATTCCAAACGAGCTGGTGAGGGCCTTGGTGCTGGACAAGGAGCTTGAGCCCGACTACAAGGCTAGCTGGAAGTTTTACAAGCTGTGAGGCTGGCTGAAGATGGGCAGTGGACAGGCTAGCTGGTTGTGTGCCAGAAGACCGCGTCACAGGGAACATGGATTGCGGAACAGGCTTGAACACAAGGGGTCCGTATTGGAGGGCCGGTACCGGCCATGCTGCTTGTTCTCTCAAAGATGTCGGTATCTGTGGTTATACTTGGCACTTAAATGGCACAAGGAAATGAAGAATGAATGAAACCTAGCCACCCAGCCATGTCAACGCCAAACCCTGTGGACAAGGGGCATCCTCAAATGTCGACCTCGTCCTCGTGCAGCAGGCCCATGCCGCTGTCATGCCTCCTCGCCATCTTCTGGCTGCCGCGTCGGACCGGGGCGGCAGCGAGGAAGCCTCCCGGGCGAACCACCGTCCTCGGCCCGCCGACAGACGAGCAAGCATTGTCCGCGGTCTTTGTCGAGCCGCTCTCCGCGCCGGGAGCCTCGCCCTCGGGAGCCTCGTCAAGAAACTGGCTCATCTGCAGAACGCGCTGTAGCTCGCTCTTGACGGCGTCCATGGCCGCCTTGGCTTTTTGCTTGTCGCCCCGCATCTGGGCCTCCATGTCGCCCTTGCCAACGCGCAGCTCGCGGATGATATCATGAGCGGCTCGGAGGGACTCGTTGAGGCGATCAATCTCGCCGCGCAGCTCCAGCACCCGCGCGTCACGCAGGGCAAGGGCGGCGCCGTGCTCCTTGTTGAGCGTTACGACGTGCCGCGTGCTGCTGTCCTGGACGTTGCTTATTTCCAGCTGCAGGCTCGTCGTGCGCCGCATCGCCGAGGCGAGCTTGCCCTCGAGCTCCGCGATGCTCGCCTCCTTGACCCCCAGGGTCTCGCGATCCGACTGCTGCCGGGCCTGATGCGCCCCTTTTATTTCCTGGCCTTCCTGCTCCATGCGCTCAACGAGCTTTTCGAGCTCGGCAATGTCGCGAACATAGCCGTCGACGGCGCCGCTTAGTCGTTGGTTGCCCACCTGCAGCTCTTGGATCTTGGCGTGCTTTTCGTTGAAGAGATGCTCGGCCGTGGACATTTCGAGCTTGAGCCCTTCGATGACGGATACTCGTGCGTCGAGCTGCTTGCGCAAGGACTGTTCAATCTCGTGGTACTCGTCAATGGTCGCTTCGTCTTCCTGCACCTTCTTGGCGAGGACGCGCAGGCGACTTAGCAGCAGGTCGAGGACCTCGGCGCCATGCGAGCTGAGCGGCAGGACAACCTCGCCGGGCGTGAGGTACTCGAGCTCGAGCCGTGCGGCGCGGAAGCCAGCGGCCAGCGCCACCACCATGTCACCGGCGTCGCTGCCGGGAAAGCCAATGTCGGCGATGGAGGAAGTCAGGAGGGCCAGCGCCGCGGTGCGGTCGGACATGGCCTGGACCAGACCCTCGACCTGCTGCTCCAGGCCGTGGACGCCCGAGGCCGCTCCAACAGCCGACAGTGTCACGGACGACAGGCGGTCAGCGACGCGTTCGCCGAGGCTTTGGTATGACTCGAGCGTCGCTGCTAGCTTGCGGACCTCGAGCCGCAGAGACGCCAGCTCCTCCTCCAGCTGCTCCTTGGCCGGGTCGGGAAAGCATGCTTGTACGCCAGCGTGGGACGGACCGGGAACCGCCAGTGGAGCGCGCCAGCACGGCGTCGCGGGGAGAGCAGGGCTGGTCGCGGGCGGCGTGGGAAAGGACGACCGTGCCCTCGACGGTGTACTGGCCGCGAGCTGGGCCATGGTGGCGTCGCCGAAGTGGTCCTCGTCGGGCGCCACGTCGGTGACATCGTCGTCGTCGTCGTCGACAAAGGGATCTCGCGCCGCCAGCGTCCAGTCGTAGCAGGTCCGGCCGGCCTGGCTGTCGCTGCGAGGAGTAGCCGGGACGTCCGAGCGCCGTTGAAGCTCATCCCTGAGCTCCTCGACCTGCTGCTCGAGGTCCCATATGCGGTCTGTGTCGATGACGACAGTGGCATTCTGCAGCTCGTAGATGTCGCGGTCCCGCATCTTGATCTCGGCCTGGAGGGCGCCAATCTCGGCCTGCGCCACCTTTGCGCTACGCTTCTTCTGCTGCTCCAGCCGGTTGAGAAGGTCGCGCAAGTTGCTGCGACGGATGCGTCGCTCCACGCGCCCGTCGGCGGTCTGGCGGAGGCACGCCGGCGCGGCAGGGGCTTCGAGGCGCGCGGCCACGGCGGCGTGCGGCGAGGGTCTGCATCTGCTCGGCGTCGAGGCGCGACGGCCGCGCGGGGTGCCGAGGCAAGTGCGCCGGATGCTGGGCGTCAGGCCGGTGCTCGGCGAAGGGCCCGGGTCGGAGAAGCGGACGGCCTTTCGGAGTCGGCGGGGCGTTCTGGGGTGGCGGCTCGGCGGCAGGGCGGCCGTCTCTTCGGCTTGGCTCGTTGGGCCGACACTGCGACGGGGCCGCCGGAGGGCAATGGGCATGTCGAGATCAGCCATGGCTGCGTCGCGAATCTCACACAGACGCAGGCTGACGGATGAAGGCTGGGGGCCAGAAACACGAAGCGATCAAAGCGAGGGCAGCCTGCAGCTGCCGAAACAAGTACGGGCCAGGCCTGTGTGAGGTTTCCTTTTATCAAAGGGGGACAAGGTAAACAAGCCCGTCTGAGGAGGCGTGTTGGCGAGACATGGCAGCTCCTGAAGCTCGACTTGTTTACTTACTTCCCATTTAGGCCTAGCCGCCGGTCGCGCTCAGCAGAGTGGGTCCCGCCCCGCGCTCTTCGGGGCCTGCTTCAGCCAACCGTTCGCCATGGTCCGGGTCTTGGCTCCGCGGCCGACGCGACTTGGCCCCTGTTTGTCCGTCAGGTGGGCCAAATCGGCACCTGCGGAGAAGGTGACCGTGAATTTCGGCATGCCAGCTCGGGCCAAAAATTCACGGTGGACCCTTCTCCTTGTCTGACCTCAACAAATCTGACAACAACCAACTACAAACGAGGCAGCCTGGCAACGAATTGATAGTGTCTCGACCGGATGGGCATGATCTACAGTCGATGACCATTCTTTCTTTCTTTTTCGCCAAGCAGCATGTTTTTGCTGTTGATAGTTGCTTAGCGATGCTCCGATGTCTCGTAGGCGCGCCCGAAGTCGAAATACACGCGGGCCTCATCATATCGAGCAAACGACTGCTCCAATTTTGATAGATCACGCCCAAACCTGACATCAAGGCTACTGTATAATTCTTTTCGGTATGATTAAAAACGGACAGAGACGCATCCGCCAGTCCTCCCATCGACCACTCACCCACGTCAACGCTCACCCCCACGCGTAGGCATCAACGACCCCTGCGCCCGCCACGTCCAGTCCTCCGTGTCCAGCCTGTAAATGTACACGTCGTCGCCGGCCGCCGCAAACAACACGCCCTCGTCCGTCGTCGCAATCGTCCGCGCCGCCATCTTGGTGTCGAGCCCGCGCCCGGCCTTCCTGCCCCGCGCGCCGGCCCTGATGCGGTTCTCGTCGACGAAGCGGCCCTCGGCGTCGAGGCTGACCAGGCTGAAGTCGTAGTCGGCGTCGGCGCCCGCCAGCTTGATCCAGCCCAGCTGGCGCGGGGGCGGCGCGAAGCCCATGTTTCGTCCCCTTTCGTCTACGTGTGCAGTGTGTCAGTGCCTTCGCTTTGTGTGTCACGGGAGAGGGCGGTGGCATACCTTGAAACGTGTCGTTGAGCTGATGGCAGGGCGCCTTGGCCTTGGGCGGTGGCCAAAGGTCGAGCGAACATTCCCAGGCAAAGAGTCCATCCTCGACCAGCACTGCCATCAGCACCCCGCTGGATAGCTTCCCCCAGTCTCCGGCCACCGAAAACAAGGGCGTTTCTGTCATTCCAGGGACCGGGTCCGGCAGAGACGCCACCTCCACAACCTGCCACGTGCTATCCTCGTCGGGCTTGTCGGTCATTGCCAGGCGCAGCTTCTGGGAGCTTGCGTAGGCGACGCCGAGCAGTTCCCTGCCCACGCTGCCCCGGTGCCAAACAGCCGACAATGGCGAGGATGACGAGGCAACGATGGGACCGTTGTTCTTCGTGAGCATGCTCCTCCTCCACTCTCCCTTGGTCTCCTCAAAAATGTGCGAAAGGGCGCCCTGGGTATCTAGGAAGAAGACATGAATGACGCCAGAGCTGCTGACCGTCATTGCCAGCGGCGTTCCGAGCTTTGCCTCGGGTAGGCGAGACTCGGCTTGATCTCGGATGCGGTAGTGCACTCTGCGACCGACGGACCACTCCGTGGCAATGAGGTCGTTCTTGTCGTCCTGCCAGACCAGAACTCTGCGGTGCAGCTCCGACGCGTCGCTCTTGAAGTACGCCGAGGCAAGCTGAGAGCTTTCGGAAAGTGTGAAGATCTCGGCCGCCGTCTTAGCTGGCTGCACGCTTGTCGAGGTTGAGGAAGATGACGATGGAAGGGAGACCGTCGACGTGGACGAAGAGATGCTGCTAGGTACGGACGACGAAGACGACGAGGACGACGAGGACGACGAGGACGACGAGGACGACGATGAGCTGAGCAATTTCTGTTCCGTGAAAGTCGCGAGAAAAGAAGACACGATTCCCATAACGGTCTCGTTTAATCGTGACGCCGAGTCAGTCGACATAGGCCCGGAGCTGGATCCCGAGGACGTCAATGAGGATGTCACCGAGCTGCCACTGCTCGACGAGGACGTCTGCAGCTTCGGCAAAGAAGAAAACGTCGACGACAGTTGCGTCGTCCCCTCATGAGTCGGGCTCGGGGAGGGAGTGCCAGCACCAGCGGTGTTTTCCTCGGAGCTCTGCGCACGCCTCTTGCCCAGCTCCAACTTGAGGACGACGCCAAGAATCACAGCCGAGGCGACCACAATTATGACGAGCACCAAGACGGCAAGCCAAAAGTGAAACTTTCGCCGGCGGTACCACGGGACGGCCGTTTGATCTGCCGCGTAATAGTGGTTATGGACGATTTCGGGGTTCAACGGCGGCGAGCTCGTGCCGCCGCCGCCGTTGAGCGTCGACGACGGTGCCCACGTGCCGGGCTCGACACCGTGGGTCATGCTTTGTTCTCGGCGTATAAGCCAGGGGATATCAAGGGGCATCTCTAGGTCGCATCGAAGGCGTAGCTCGACAAGGGTTGGAACCTAGAGAATAGAATAGTAGGGGCAAGAGTTCCGGCATCCATCTCGCTACAAGTGCTCTGTCATTTTATAAGAGGGGGTAAAGGCCCGGGAGGGACGCTGTGATGAGGACCTTACCATCGCCGGCGGATGAGCTGGGGTCACGCGGCATGCGGCGATGTGACTCAAGGGCTCGGCGCAGTGGGCCTGATCAGGCGTCTTGAGCAGTGCTTGTGTGTCAGTTTTGCGAAGCGTCGCCTACGGATATGTGATCAGTGGCGAGGGTTTTGACAGTGGCGGAGTGCATGGATATATCCGCGGCAGGCTGCACGGGCAAGAGGTTGCCTTGTGAGTTGGGACAACAGAAGTCCCGCAGGGAGCAGAGTCTGGAGAGCAGAGATTTGTATCTGAGACGTGTTGTCCCAACACAGAGCAAGCATCGTATGTTGTTTGTCCAAGCCGCCGAGGGAGTCAGTCGCCACGATGGCGCCTCTCTTGTGTCGCTGCAAGCACCTCAGTTTGTTTGGCATTCCCATTCGGGTTTTTCATCGTCGTCATCAAGGGTGGGGGCTTTCGAGGAAATGTCACTTGGCCATCCTCGAGGGGTCTCAGCCTCTAGGGCGCCGTTGGCAACTGGGTATCTTGCCACTGAATCGGGGAATACACCGAGGTATGCACTGCATTTGGCGATGGAAAGCTTGGCTGGCGCGGTTACCAATGTTTCTTCTGCAGTCGCCGGAGAGGTTTCGGCACGCTGTATAGACTTGGGGCTGAGAAGCGAGGTCGTCAGGCCACTTCAAGCGGCCCAGTTCTTGATATGTCAAATGGTTATCCTTCTCTCCTCACCTGAAGAGTTGGCTCGTCAGCGAATCAATCAGTAAGCTGGGGCCGTTGCTTGCCGCCACAGTCATGATCAACAACAATGCTTCGGCTGTTCATCCAGGCTAATCCCATCAGAGTCGCCGGCGCACATCCTGTGACAGGACTAGCTGCAACGTTGACGTTGCCTTTTATCAGCCCTCTTTTTTTGGGGAAGGGGGGGAATGTTTGCTCTCTCGGGGCAAGGAGCCTGCTTTGGGAAGCCGAAGAATCCGACTTCGAGGTTTCTGGGGCTTGCTGCCTGCAAGGTGGGAGGCAAACATTGACAACACATGCTAGGTACTCCTTGTTGATAGCGAATCAATAGGTATGGTTTGGACTGTGACTCCCAAGAGGGGATTCGAAGTAAGGGACTGGCCGAGCTTTGTCGCACCGCCAAAATCAAGGCTGCCCAGGCATAGGTTATCGACTGAGCAGCAAGCCACGGTCGGAGTGACAAGGCTTGGAACTCAGGACACCGGATCGGCGTGATGGTGGGCTGGCCGGCAAATCTCGTGGCCATCAGGCACAGTACATGGCTTCTATCCGTTTGCTCGCCAACAAGTGCTCTGAGCCAACCCTGCGATCGTTCTCGCGATGATTCGAAGCTCCCCAATCTGCGAAATGTGCGAGGCGTCGCTGGGCAGCGGAGTGCGATGCGTACAAGCCGGCAGTGCACAAAGCGACGAGCAAGTTCAAGTTCCTGCGGCATTTGAGGCCGGTCGGTCGGGAACGGCCAATCCTCGCGTCGGGTTACTGGATCGATTCGTTGAGCTGGCGGTCGTTGTTTCCGGCGCTCGTGATCGGGTGCTGACTAACCCGATTCGACTCCAAGCTGCGGCCGGCAAGAGTTGAGCGATGAAGTCAATTTCTCACGCCACTCCCCTTTGGTGGACGACGAGCGAATCAAGAATCGTCGGCATCTCTTCCCCCAAGGGCACCATCATGTTTCATGGTCATGCTCTCTTGGCCGGTCCAGATCGAAGCGCCTCGTCCACTCCCGCGACCGCCTCGGGCTGCTGAGCCACGGCCTCGCCCTCTCCGCCCTCGCCTGCCCGAGGACAAAATGCCACATCGCCAACCCCGGTGATGCCGCCATGTCCACGTCTGGAGCCGCCTCGACGCCTGCGCCACTCAAACAGGTCAAGTTTGTGGCGTCGGATCCAACCCGTGGTGGACTGCCCGTGAAGCGCAAACAGATATCGCAAGCCTGTGATGCCTGTCGACGAAAAAAGGTAGCGACTTGATCTGTACCACAGACAACAGTGGCTTTGTTGGCTGATTCACCCGGTGACGAGCAGAGACGATGTCTTCATACCGAGCAACTAGCGACAGACGATTCAGTCTCGGCCGCCGATGATCAGCACGGTCACAACTCATCCCCATCTCAAGCATCGTAAGTTTCATCATGCCTTCGCTTTCTTTCCTGTCCATGCCCAATGACAAGTCAGTCCCGCCACTTTGTCATCGCTCCCCACGCCTCGTGTTCGCCAGGCAGCCTTGCCGGCTGGGCATGGCATCAACCATACTAGCAGCCCGTCGGACATGGCGGCCGCGTCATCCTACGCCAGGACCCCAAGACCGCCTCACGACGCTTCCATGAAGCCACAGTCCTCCCGCTTCGTCGGCGACCTGAATCCCGAGGCCATGTTCGTTGAAGCAGCCCACCGGCAGCAGTCTCAAAATGGCGATGTCGGCATATGGCTTTCATCTGCCGCCTCGGGCACCAACGGCCAACTTTCGCAGTTCATCACCTCTCGACCGCCCCCCATGATGGACCGGTTCTTGCTCCCCTTTGTCAGGGAGCATTGCCTGTCATTTTTGCCCCCCGAGGAAGACTTTGCCAAGATCAGAGCCATTTTCATCAACAAAATCCATCCAATCTTCCCCGTCATATCCATCAACGCACTTGGCGGGAGCCTCGAAAATCCTTGCAACGTGGTCCTGCGCCAGCTCGTCTGTATGTCCGCTTCTACCGATCCAGAGTCGTCCCAGTATCTTCGCCTTCGGAGCCGGGGACAGGATCCACTTCCGTCCAACGAGTACTCGCAATCGCTCTCGTCAGCTGTCCGAGCCATCCTCGAGACGAGCATCATCACCGACAGGGTGTTACACATACAGGCGCTCGTCCTGCTGTCCCTCTACACCCAGCCGACTTGCGCCGAGGAGGCGGATCTCCCTGCACAGTTCGCAGGCAGGGCGATTCACCACATCCACACCCTTGGTTTGCACCTGCTAAGATATGACGCCCCCAACTGCGACGACCTCAACAACCTCTTCTGCGTTGTCTGGGCCCTGGACCGCATCAATGCCGCCGTATATGGGCGGCCGTGTCTCATACATGAGCGAGACATTGGTGCAGATCTCGAGGCCTGCATCAAGAAACGCCCGCCATGCTTCCGCCTGTTCTTGTCAGTCGTGCAATGGCTGGACCAAGTCATCGAACTCTACCGGCCGGGCCCGAGCGCCGAGGTTTCTGGACTTAACAAGATTGCGTACATTGACTTGCCCGTTCTCGAAGCTATGATTGTCGATGCCGATGCTCTCAATGTTCCGTCCTCGCTTATTTCTACCATCGAGGTATTATATCATGCCGTCGTCGTTTTGTCGTGTAGGCTACCGAGGCCTGGTACTATGCCGGCCGCCTCGACTTTGCCCCCTCCCTCGGCGAATGCTCGCCGTTCACTCGCTGCTGAGCGAATCGCTTGCGCCGTCCCGCGGGATCACCTCAGCCCGATGCCCTTTGTGCCATATGCCGTTTCCCTTGCGCTGAGCGTCGAGTATCGCAAGATGAGGCACAGCCGGCTGCCCATGTTTCGCGCAAGGTCGATGAAAGCCTTCAAACGCAACTGCGAGCTGCTGAGAAAATTCGGTGGCTTTTTTTGGAGCGCAAATGTGGTCGCCGGCCTGGGTGAAAGGGTCCTCAGGGAAATGGAACGGGCCGCTTCCAGTTTGACCAAGGAAGCGAGCCCGCCGCGATCAGATGCGGAGTCCCGGCCGCCTCTGACCAGTCAAGAGGACGCCGCACCCGCTCGCCAGCCCGAGATGGCTGTCAATAGCTCAACGGCAGTCAATTCGATTCCGGGCATGGATAATGCAGTTGACTTGATGCTTGTTGATGAGATGTCGGGGCAGGATGTCTTTAGTCATATCGATCCCAACTTCAACCTGGACGCCGTGGAAGATGCTTTGGAGGCAAATCTCGACATCTCATTGCCACTGAACTGGGGAGACTGGAGCCAGTTTGCGACTTGATATGCATGAATTCGACAAGAGGCCAATTATGTCAGTCGAGCATGGTGCTGGTCTATTACGGATGCAGGAGGAGGCTACGGCTCGGAATGTACTGTACAGTACTGGAAAAACCATCAGTCAGCAAAATACTGCTCTTGCTGCTGTTGTGTTTACTCACTGCCGTCTTGGTTGTGCCAGTCTTCCCTTCAGGGATATAGGCGCTGGGTGTCGACGAGCAGCTTCCCCGGAGCGGCAGGTATTTTCCCAGACTCGGAAACCTTGCCCGGGCGGGACCCACCCCGGGGCCTCGGAGCGTCGACGGAGTAAGCGCGGGCGGTGATGTAGAAACATTTCCCTTTTCGGCCTGCTGTCTGAAAAGCCTGGCGCCTTGGCGGTGGTCAGCAGTGGCGGTGTAATTGCTGCTCTAGAGAGGCGACGACGCGGCGGGTATGAGGATGCGAGGCTTCTATCGGGTGGTTCTTAAGGTCATTATCGGTGATCATTTATGTTCTCTGGATGTGTGTATATATATATATATGGCTTGTCAAGTCGTCTGCTTTTGCGCAGTCTCTCGATTTGGTTTCTCACAAACAATATACATCATACGTCAGTTGCATCAGACTCGAGGACCGCGGGCAATCAACCTCTGTTTCCTTTAACGGCCTGACCTCACGATATCTCAATCGCCTGCCCCAGCCAGCTCTCGTCAATTCTTACAGCCGACGTTGCAACGGGATCTCCCTCCACCACCTCATCCCAGCCTCCATGGCGGCACCGACGACACGTCCGCCCCAGCAGAGCCTGTGGCATGGGCACGCGCAGACGCAACACCCTTCCCCGCTTCCCCGGGTGACGCCCGAGGCCCGGTCCAGGTTCGAGGCGCTGTTCCGTGAACACAGCGGCGGGAGGCCGTACCTCACGGGCGTCGAGGCGGCTGCCGTGGTTTTTGCAGAGCGGCCTGGACAAGGCTGATCTGTCGCGCGTGTGGGAGCGGGCCGACGTCAATCAAGACGGACGATTCCGCGTGGAGGAGTTTGTCGAGGCCATGTGGTTGATTGATCTCCAGATGAGGAGTCATCAGCTTCGACCTGTTTCCGCGCCGCCGGCCTACAGCTCAGAGCCACATTATCAGTCCTTGTCATATCATAGCTCCGCCGGTTCTCCCCAGCCATGCCCGCAACCTCCATCCTCGTCATGTGAGGGAGTCAATACATCTCCATATCCCCCAGGCTACACTTGCGAAAATACTTCAGCTCGATATCGCACGCAGCAATATTATGTTTCCCCTCAAGCATGCGGCACGACGTCTTTGCTCCCAGCCCCGCCTTTCGTTCAGGCGAGTTGCCCTTGGGACAGACAGTACGCCCCCTCGAGCACTGCGCCGGCTTACGCTGCATGGCACCCTCAAAGCCTGTGGCAGGGTACAACGAGTCCCAGTATTCCCCTTGAGACGCCCGATGCCATGGCCATGTCCAAAGCCATGATCTGCCGGGGCTGCGAGGTCGGCATCCTACCGGGCGACGTCATCTTCCACTGCAAGCGGTGCAAGAGAGGCGGGCTCAGCTACTGCGAATCGTGCTACGCCCCCAGCAGAGCATGCGGCCACGGCATGAAGCGAGTCAAGCTCGAAGACGACAAGCTTCCCGTGCGCGACAAGGACGGCAGCCTAGGACTAGGGCTCAAGTGCTACAAGTGCAAGACAAAGATGGTGAAGAAGGAAATTTGCTTCAAGTGTAACAGCTGTTGGGATCCCGACCTCTGCGCGAGTTGCTGGCGGCAGCCGGGCAAGCGATGCAAACACGCGGGCAAGGGAAAGGTGAAGATGTGCAAGGTAGGGAGGAAAGGCGATGACGATGAGATGGCGGATGTGGTAGACGGCATCATATCTGTGTTTATTGGTTAATAAGAGAAGAACTTGAGAGCCGAGGAACGGAGAGCGTCACAATTTGATGAAGCATAGTCAGGAAGGGTATCCACGTCCTCTTCCCAAGGCGAGTACAGAAGGTCTCTGTCCAGCTTAGCCTAAGCCACCTCTCCAGACACGGCCTTGAGGCGCATGCCAGAGCCATGTTGTTGCGGTGCGAAGCATTTCGACTCGGTCAAGCCTGTGGTGGCTCGGGCTGCGTTCCTCGTAGAATGGCTGGAGTGTATGTTCAACTGCCCGCCGCTTTCATCGCCCCCCAGTCTACCACAGTCATGATGGGGGACCACTGGTATTCGCTAGGGTCGGGAGCAGAATTTTTGAGAGTAGCATCGTGACGGGAAGCCCAAGTGCAGGTGATTCCGGGCGGACAGGTGCGTCTCGGCAAGGTGACAGTAGTGACGGCATCAATCCGCCAGTGGCGTGCCTCTGACAGTCATTCACTTGGGCGGTTTGTCAGACAGGTCCGTCGGCTTCCCCCGAAACTGATTCCTGATCTCCTCTGCGAAGTGCTTGAAGAAGCCCCTGCTGGTTCCGGCAGGGGTAGGGTCGGCCGTGGCCTCTCCCGGGGCCAGCGGCTCGTGCGGATTCGAATTCCGGCCATGCTGCTTGTCATGGATTGCTTTGTGGATACGGCCGACGGCACGATGGAACCCGGGCTGTCGGAGGATCTGTACATGAAGATGGTCAGCCTGAAGATCGCTTCAAACGTTGATTCAAGACGGTGAGGCGCGTACGAGTGCGATGATGCGGTCCTGGATAGATTGCAGTGGTTAGCGCACGGAGTGGCGAGAGGAGAGACGGAAGGGGGCGAACCTCAAAGGCCATGATGGCACGTAGCACCCACATTTGCGGCGACATGATGGACACTGCCGGTGCGGATGTTATAGGGCGCTGCTTGCCTGAAGTTGGGAGTTGACGGTGATGGAGAGTCGTGATGACGGAGGTTTGTCGGATTGCCGGCAAACGACGTTGGTCAGCCATCAGCGGCTAGAGGCGGGCCGCACTAACAATCATTTGCCTACCCGGGAGCTACACCACACCTTGGGAGTCCACCTCAACCTGGCTCTTTAGACAAAAAGTTACGGAGAACTGTTCCCAGGTCCGATAGAACATACAATTGCATTTTTCGGCAAGGACGGTTAAGGGTCGGTGGATGAGATGATTCAGATGGGGGTTCCAACTTTGAACGTTGGATCTATCATCTGGCCAGAGACATGGAGTCGAGGTAACGGATTCGTTGGACGGATCGCAATGGAAAAATTACCAGAATCCCGCCCCAGAGCATTGACCGTGCTATTTTGATGTTGCAGCCTCCAACCCTCGTGCTGTCATTTGCTGCAACATACCCAGCTCTTTAACCGATATAATGTCGAGCAAAGGTCCACAAGAATCGACTCGCAGGGCCGAGACAGATGACATCCTCGATGAACTCGATGCGATTAAAGACAAGTTGACGAATTTCTGTGGGGAGATCGACTAGGTGAGAGCTTATGGTGTCGCGGTGAGCCGGCAAGCACTTTGGTCGCTGTCGACTTTTCGCTTCGCTTGTCCGCCCATCAGGATATCCTGGAGCGAGTCGCCAAAGGCCGTTTAGGTGGCACAACAGCCACTTCCGGACTCTGCTTGTATAGATAGCCTTGTGGATGAGGTAGGACCATCGCCGCTCGGGGCACAATTGGTACTAGGCCACTTCGGCTAAGAGTCGTCCTGCCGCGAGACCAGCGCGCGGGACGCAAAGGGACTTGGTGTGGACAGGGTTAATAAGAGGCGGGTCGAGCGGCTTTTGCCAGCCTGCGGTCTGCTCAGTCCGGCCCGACATGTAATGGTCGTGGCTATCTACTCGCGCCACCCCAGCGAGAAGGTGGACGGCAGACCACGTCATGGTGAAGCTGTATTCTCGCAGTGCTACCTGCCAGGAAGCTTACAGCTAGGCGATCAAGTAGCACTTACTTGTGTTGCATTGGTCGTGAAACCTGTCATCAGTTTCGCGTGGCAGAGATATCTCGAAAGTCAATGCTACGGCTCACACCTGACACAAGCCATGATCTCCAGACTGAGTTTGTAGCAAAGCTTGCGCGTACATCTCGCATGAATCATGCTTACTGGGGTGGTCAGGACGATTGTGTTTCGAAATGCTTCTTTTCATTCTATCTTGGCGCACTTCAGACCACGTTCGCCCTGTGTATGACGCAAGCTTTCCACACATTCAGGAAGAACCCACTCAGTCGTCCCAAGCTCATGCGGGGAATTCAAAGCCGGGCACGTGCGGGGCGAGGTAGGGCTTGAGGTAGTCCAGCTTGCCCAGGGGCACGCCCTCCTTGCGCATGATGTTGTAGGCCGTCGTGACGTGGAAGAAGAGATTGGGCAGGGCATAGCCGTTTGTGTATCCAAGGCCCGAGACTTGAACCTCCTTGCCCGGGCCCATCCCCAAAGGCACCTTTTCCGTCGTGTAGTTGTTGATGGCATCCTTGTCTGTCTTGCTCAGCATCTCCTGGACCTTGTCGATGCGGGCGTACATGTCCTTGAACGTCTTGAGGTCATTTTCCATCTTCTGGGGCTCCTTGCCCGTCAGGCGGGCCTGCATCTTTTGCGCCAGGTCGGTAACGATGTGTATCTGGAAGGTCAATGGCAGCATGTCGTCATAGATCCTGGCCTCGGGCAGCTTGGCGGCGTTGGGGTGGGCTTCGCCCTTCTTGAGGATGGCCGTCAGGGTGTTGAGCGAGTCCTGGGCCACTCGAATGGAGGCATCGTACAGCGTGTATTGCATAATGGCGATTTTGGTGTGGTGGTTTTCTTGGTCTAGGTGGGAAGGCCAAGTTAGTAATATTCATAAGACGAAATGGGAGCATGCAGCCGAGACAGACTGCTGGGCTAACAAGAGTCCAAGACGTCACCTTGCGCAAGCTAACCTTGTCTGGTTCCCTTGGGGGGTTGTACGAAGATGGCGCGATTGTTGCGTGATGGCAAGAAGGCCAAGTCTTGTCTCTTATAAATTCACGGCGTAGGCTGATGTGTCTGCGAGGTCTTTCATCACTGCTTCACGGGCGAGCTTTCTTCCTATATATACTGAAGTGACGCACACTGCATCGTCCTTCGGCCCATGATAACCTTGTTTCCCCTCCGCCTGCCACATCATCCACATCATCCACATCTCCGCCCTCTCCACCAGCTTTGACCCTTTTTTGTTTCCTTTTTGGTCTACACTGCTACAGGAGAAACTGGGCTAAACACTCGCTTACACAAGCCCACAGCACCCACTGCCACCCAATGTCCGACCCCTTCCCTGTCAACTCCTCTCTCCGCTTTCTCTCTTACGGCAAGGTGTCCGTATGCGCAGCTACTCATGTTGGTCGTGAAGCTAACGAACAAGCCGGCCAACGTCACATCCCGAGCTGATCTGGCCAACAGGGGCATGGTTGGGTCCAGTTCCAAGACCACGGGCTGACTAATTGCGGGCTCGTCGGGCATCGTCCATGAATTCAAGACGCAAGCGGCAAGGGCGTGTAGCTTTTCGCTCTTCGCTGTCAACGCTGATGACAAACCGACGAGCGAAACTCTCCGACAGGGCGGCGTCAGCTTACGGCACGGACGCATGAGCCTCTCACTCAGCCTCAGGGGCAACCAAAGTCCGCCTCCAAGAAGCTACGACAGAGACATTGAATATTGAGGCGGTCAGTCGGCCAGAAGAAACGGCTCGTCGGACACGGCTCGTCGGGCACGCCTCTCCACATTCAACAGATCGGTCATGGCATTGGGAGCCAGCCTTGTTACTCGGCGTGGACGGCGGACTTGCGGGTCTCGATTCCCCAGGTCATTTGCTGTTCCTGAAGTTGACGAACACCACCCCTTCTGCTTCTCGGGTTGTCGGCACTGCAAAGTCCACGTCACACTGGTCCCCGGGAAGGCCAGTGGGTGGTGGCATGCCGACAAGTCTTGGAGTCTTCGATAATGATCCCCCGGCCCTAGTCATCAAATCCCCGCCCGATCTAGTGGCCGCAAGGACCTTCAAAGGCCTCAATATCCGCTGCTGGGCTGACAAATCCGGAGCTGCGGTCTGGTGTCTTTGTCGTCATCCTACATGGCGCTTCTGCACTCAACTCCGCGCTATGGGACGTCAGCATGGGGCCTTGATCGTGTGGTGAGACTCGGCCCAGCATGGACAGTCCCAGATGGTCCTTCTGCGGGATTCGGATTTTATGCCGGACTTTAAGTGACGAGAAAAGAGAACTTCGTTATGGACGCGAGAGGAGACTAGAAGCCCAGGATTGCGTTCGCCTTTTCCACCACGTCCCTCTCTCCCGGCAGCGCACCCTCCCTCACGTCAAATTTCTCTAGCCCAAACGCCTGCCGGCCCGCCGGCGTTGTCCAACCCCGCATCATTTCTTCGGTTGGTCGGCCGACGTGCCGGGCTTCTCCTTCTCCACCTGGGAAGTCCGGGCCCGGCGTGCCCCGCCGGAAGGCGTCCCGCTGACGGGCCAAGTACTCGGCGTTGAGGGCCGTGACGGGGCACACGGGGATGTAGAGCACGCTGGAGTCTGAGCCGCCTCCGTGGACCTTGTCGACCGAGTGGATGGCTGCCGGCCGTGTTAGACTTGCGTCGCTTTAGGCACTCCCGATGTTGCCGGACGCAACGGGGAAAAGAGGCACTCACTATCGCAATGCCACGCGACGAAATCGCCGGGCTTGATCTTGGGCACGTGGATCATTGTTCTTTCCAGCTCCAGGTGCGGATGTAAGTCGTCGGTGAGCTCTTGGCCGTGGCCCGGCGACGCACCCTGAAGCTCGCTCGTCATGTCTGCCCTGCCGGTAAAAGCCCAGTTGCTCTCGTCGAGGAACCGCGGCCCCTTGGTTGCGTTTAGGGGTTTGAAAAAGGGCCGCAGCAGGACATAGGCAGTTGCCATGTGCATTAACGGATTGACGAGGAGCGTGCCCTCGTGAGGCCCGGATCGTGACATACTCATCCAGCCTTGCCACATGCGAAAGACGGAGCAGGCGCCGAGGCCGTCATAGAGGTTGTTAACGGCGTCGACGCGGCCACTTGCATCCCACGGATCGTGCTTTTCCCAGTGGCCCTCGAGGACGCGGTCGTACACGCCGCCGCGCCCATAGCCGTCCCGCTCCCAGCGCTCGACGCTGCCGCCGTCAATGTGAGGACCGAGGGCGAAGCTGGCATCCCCGGGCTGGCGGATGCGCAGCCTGTCGGCGTAGGAGAGGGGGTGGTCCAGCGATATCTGGGCCGTGGGGGATGACGTGTGCCACAGAAAGGACATGAGGTGCTTCTGGACCCGCAGGAGCGAAGGGTGAGAGCGTGCCTTGAGTTGAGGGCCTGACCAGTAGAGCTCGTAGACTTGGGGGTCTCGAGGCGGGAAAGCTATCAAGGGACGTGTTAGCACGGCTTGCTTGAAGCACAGAGTGACTTTGACCGAGACTCGAGAAGCTGGAATGCGCGGAGACAAGGCATGGATGGATCTGGCTGACCTCTGGTGTGGGGATTCTTCCTGACATAGTCCTCGATCTCGTCCTTGTACCCCCTGGCCTCGTCTTCGGGAATGACGCCTCGAACGACCAAGGCGCCGCGCTTCTTGATCTCCCCCTTCAACCTCTCGCAACCGGCCTCCAAGTCGGCAAAGTCGACCTGAGGGATGACATCAGAGCCCTTGGCGGCAATAATGTCATTCTCCCGCTTAAGTTGGCGCAACAGTCTCGACCAACTCTCGACAAGCTTGTCCTCCCGCCCCCGCACCAAGTCACACTTGAGCTGCCGATACCGGTCCGGAAGGGGCGCGCGCTCGGCTCCCGACAGAGACACGAAGGCGTCCGAGATGTCGCCCTCTTTCTTGGACGACGACTGGGCGGCCGCAGCGGTGGATGCCGAGCGGCAGAACTGCGGGCTGGCGCGCCGCGTCAAGTTGCTCAGGCCGGGGCGCAGCATGGTGCTTTGCAGAGAGTACGGAGTTGTGTGAGAGATATCAAGTCGTACAAGAAATATGTGGTGATAGGAGCATCGTCGAGTCGGAGCTGGGTGCCGTTCTGTTTATAACCCCCTCACCCTGGTGTAAGTTGGGCGGGGCTTCCCCTTTTAGGAAGTCCGCTTCCGCCTCCACAACCGGTTCAGTTCAACGGCGCAACGAACTTGCCACGCGACGCGACGCGAGACCTTGAACTCACTATTGAAGGAGACATGTGGCACGGCAATGTTCATGCGCAGCTTGGCACGCCTCCATCAACGTACATCATCGTCCAGCGGGTTGGAAATTGGCCATTCTTCACCACGTGCGACCAACAGACCCGAGGTCGTGGCGACTTGCATCGCATCGTCCAAATGCGGCGAGGCAATTTGAGATGAGAGCGCGAGTTGACTTTGGTGTTACTGGATCAAACGGTAGTGACTTTTCTGACACCCAAGCCGTCTTCAAAGCGGTTCTGGCATGCCTTGTACAAGCCGAGATCCTTGCCAGTCCGAGTCCGAGTCGCCAATGCGCAGCTCGCCCCTTGCAGCTGGCCTTCGAGGGGTCAAGACGTAGGACACAGATAAAGCACCGCATCCTCTGTGAACCGAGGCCACAACTCTAGACAGCTCGAACCTGCAACCCCGGAAACGAAAGGCCCATCCACCGAGTCAGTCGCCGAAACGGCGGGTGTTCTTGGGCGACGCCTAAGCCAGACCAACGAAAATCGAAGCCGGCCGGCACCAGTTGGCCCAGAGTGCCCTTTGCACCCTCAAGCGAGCATCGATGCCTCGACACGATAACCGCCCGGCGCTGATAGGCTGTTGGCAGTGCCGTAGCTCAACCGCAACACCATCAATGCCGCGATGAAGACGGCAGTTTGCACAATGCATCTCGTCAGGCCTGTCCGCCTGTGCGACGTTACCCGGGGCTCGGGCCACAGTTGTTAGGAGCCTGTCCCATTGAACGCTGTCAAACTTCGATTGGATCTGATTTTTGGCGGTGTGTAGGCCATGCTCCTTTGCCGTTCCGTTTGGTGGTTGGGTTCCGTTGAGCGGTCTGCTGCACTTTTCGAGAACGATAAGAAGCATGAGTAGAAGCAACAGGGCAGTCCTGTTGTTTGAGACATGTACTTGAAAACGGGAACAACGAGGCTTTCTAGGCAACGATTCTGGGCTTTGTGGTACCGACACCATCCGGTCCATGCTCTGTACGATAGACTCGCTCAACACTGAAACAATTCAGCATAACATGAGTGGGGAAATGGACTCTTCAACTACCATCCTGGCGCCGCACGCTTTGTGATCTGGGCTCTTCGATTGATGTTGGAAGGCAACGGCGTGAATCCAGGACGCGTTCAGTGTTTGTGACGCGGAGGGCTTCACCTCGTGACCAACACACTTATATCAGCTCATTCACCTAGCCATCGACAGAACCACGGCAGCAAAACTATAAATCGAGCTGTTTCCTCCTGTACGTACCGATCACCACCTCTCGCTCAAGCTTCACCAATCCGAAATCAAGGACGAGAAAAGAAGTCGCAAAGATGACGGACCGCAGCGTGGTTGAAACAGAGTTCTACTGCTCAGAGGATGAGGACGCAAAGACCCCGACTGCCAGATCGGGAGTCCTCCCCGACGGCGAGAGGCGACGACAGCTCGTCCGCCAAGGAATCGACAGCGACATCTTGGCCATCTTGGACCACAAATTCCTCGACGGCCACAACCGGTGCACCATTCTGAATTCCACGGGTCCCGATTTTTGCAACCCCCGAACCGGCCAGCCTGCTTTTGTGGTTATAACCGCCCTTCAAGATGCTCTTGACCGGCATTTTCTCAACCTGGACAAGAAGAGGACGCTATTCGAGATCCTGGGATGGAAGTTTGAGTGCCTCGCATGCCATGAGATCAAGGCACCAGCCGACTATCAAGGCACCTCGTACATATTTTGGGGGCCAGAGGTGCCCGGATCGTGCTATCTACGCAGCGGTCCTTGTGTGGCCTGCCAAGAAAAGGCGAGGAAGAGCAAACACCCGCAAGCAGGAATCGTGCCTTACAAGGTCGCTTATCCCGAATAAGCCACCACCCTACAGGGGCCTTGATGGGAGAGGGACGACGGTAGAGCTCATGTGGGCCCTTCCTCCGAGCAGTTGAGGTAGAGTTGACAATCTCATCTGACAGGGGCACTTCGGGAAAGCGGGTGAAACCGAAGGAGGGCTCGGTGGGTAGACTGGAAGCGTTGCCGAGGCAAGTAGTGCACGCATCTCCCAGCGGCGAGGCGCAATTTGCATCGCGCCAGACATGTCATGGGCTGGGCATGTTCCATAGCCCGACGATCAAAAGGTGATACTGCCAGGCGGCAAGAAGTAGAAACATCAACCAAGTAAGTCTATTCTCAAAAATCGTCTATTGCTAGCCAAGTAGCCCTAATAAAAGGCACCAGCTTTGCGTTCCTGGAGACAGTCCCACCTTGCATAGCCGAAAGGCTTGCAGCCTCAACAGCTCCTCATGTCCAGGGCATAACGTCAAACGACTTCTTTTCATAGTTTCCAATCATCTCCACGGTGTCCACGCGACAACATAGCCCAATCGCCTTTGCGGCCCTGGAACGAATCGACCGTGGCAGCCCCCGGCATGTTGACGAGGGGGGAATACTCGGGCCGCCTCCACCGCCGGGCGATGTGCTTGATATTCGCCTTGTAAGGCCAGATGACGATGACATGGGCGTCCAGTTCGGTGCGGTTGACAAGTCCATGATTCGAGCGCAACTTTGACTCGGCACAGGTGCTTCGAGACAGATTCGTCGGGTTCGCGAAGCAGGACAGCCCCTCTACATCCCCAGCTGCACCCGAGGACGGTAGACCACCCAGACGATCGAACTGAAGAAAACAAGCGTTCATTTCTTCGATGTTGGTGGGAACGTTCGAGCACATTCCCTGAACCGCACGAGCGCGCGGTTCAACAAGGAGACAGCCGGCAAGGCGTGACTCGAGCTCGGGACGACAGAGAATTTGAGGAGGTGCATACACGCACGCATCTCGTCCCTGCCGACCTGGAACCGGTCACAGAGCTTGCCGGGACCCAGCCAGGCTGCATTACGCACGCCCCGATGTCGCGCCCGTTGTTGTCCGCGGCTGCCGGCACCACCAGCATATCCGACCATATTCCATCGTCCGCCTCGCCCTCTTCCGTCACCCACGTCCATATGACATTGGCCAGACTTCTCGCGTCGCCCCGCTTCCGAAGCTCTTCTTCGCGCCAGCGTTTGATCTTTGGGCTCATGGCCTAGTCTTGCCTGGCGTTTCTGCGGGGTTATTGGGTTTCTCGCTCCCTCTTGGCCGCGCCGCTTTTCCTTTTCCTTTTCCTTTTCCTTGTCCCTGCGAGCTAATGGGGCTCGAGAGAGGGTCCTCGCCCTCGGACTCGGCGTCATCGGAAACAATCACTTTCGCCGTGTCGTTCTCGCGTTCGACGGCGGCATCGTCAATGAAGGAATTGTCGGCCGAACTGTTTCGGTCTGCCTCGGCCTCGGCCTCACCCTCGGACTCGGACTCGGGGGCAGGTGGGACACTTCTCGGGGGCGCGCCTGACCCACGAACAGGCAGCTTTCCGGGCGCCATGCCCGGGAAGCAGGCGTCTCAATGTCGTCGTCCTCTTCGTCGACGTTAGTTTCCGGTTCGGCGCCCTTGGCTGTCGCCGCTCGTTCCGCTGTCTTTCGGAGGGCTTCCACCTCCCGATAGAGAGGGAAGATCTCTCCAGCCGCAATTCCAGCGGCCACCAGGGAGCCATAACCGCCGGCAAGCAGCTCAGAGTAGCGCTCACGATACATGCGATTCCCGCCCAACCAAAGGCAGGGATCGGGGGTTGGAAAATACTCGGGGCCTGACGGCCGTGTAGTTGACGAATCGCTGGGCGTCCGACCACTTGTGTTCCTCGGTCGCTAACACCTGCTCAACGAATTCCTGGGCGACGTTGCGGGACTTAGCCCTGCCCCATCCCTCGGCGACGAGGTTGTCGAATTCCCTGGTCACGGCCGCCTTGCGACAGACGATATTGCGCAGTTTTGGCGGAGTAGGGAGGACCTCGGTTCTGCGGGGAGAGTAAGACGCGGGCCGAAGCCCCGTTTCACTAAGAGGTCGACGGGGAGAAGTCGGATGAGGCAGAGGCCTCTCGGCCTTTTCAGGCGCAGTGCGAGGGGTCGGCTTGGTCGAGTCGAGGCGGGGGCGCCAGGGAAACTATGCCAGGGGTCTTAACAGCCGTCTGACGTGGAAGCGCTCCCCGGCAGCAATACCAGCGGCTTCTCATCATTCCGGTGCTCTTTGAGACATGAAAGGGTCACCCTGGGGCAGTGACCTGTCCTGTGGTCATATACCCAACGACGTTTGCTTCGGAGGCGTCGGAGCCAGCGCTGGCCTGGCTCTGGTCACTGTCGGAAGAGCTCTCCAGCTTGTCTCTAACGTTTTTGGCGCTGGTACCGCTTTTGTTGGTAAGATACTTGGATTCAAAGCGCACTTTCTTGCCCGAGTTATCTTTGTCGGCCATAGTGCTGGGCTTCTTGGCGAGTGTTATAGTCATTCTGGCGGTCAACTTTTTAGTTATCTTATATACTCTGTGGGTCTTGCTTGTCCTTGTCGCCGGGCTTGTCCCCGTCCGTAGGCTCGGCCGGTTTCAAGGACTCTTTAATGGCCAACTCCTGCAGGCGCTCCTGCTAGTTCTCGGTAGAGAGGTCTTCGTTCTCGAGGATGGCATTGGCTTGGCTTTTCGTGAAGGTCGACCATTCCGGTTCATGGACAGGCGGTATATCCCCGTGGTGTAGGTGGTGCTGACCACGGCGCGTCCAGTCCAGACGGAATTTTAGCGCGGGTGCTCGACATGATCCGGGAGTTGAGGCCTGCGGCGGGCTTTGGTGCTGCGTCACCCATTCGTCGAGTTTGAGTTGCGGCTGGGGGGTCGAGTCGATGGTCTTTATCTTGCGGCCCGGGTTGGGACATGTCGTCTTGCTGCTCTGATACAGAGACCAGAGGTCGAAGATGCCATAGAATAAGTTCGAGATCTCATCGAACGCTTGGTTAACCGTGGCCGACGGCACGAACATGATACTGGGGGTAAACGTGCGCTCTCCGGGCATAAGCTGGAAGTCCGGATCCGACACCTGCTTTCGCGGTCGTCGCGCGCTGACGTGGCCTTTCTCATCGTGACTGATCCGTGTACCCCGAGGAGCTTGTAATGGAGACCTGCGAACACGTCCAGTCTGTTCGGCGGCGCGTCGGGGCGAGCGAAGGAGAACTGGGCGAGCGCCGAGTAGAGAAGCCCCTCTCGGTGGACGAGCTCGTCGTCCATTTTCTGGAACGGCACACGCGAGCGCGGATAGTGAGAGACCTGTCCGAGCTGCTGTCTGATGATCTCGGGTGCGTACACGATGCCGGGCTCGCCCTGGATTCGGTCGTCGATTTCGCCTCCGGTGGCGAGCGTAATAGCGTGGGCATACATGAGACGACCCATGGTCGGGTGTTCCATCGTGGTTTGGCATGCAACAAAAGACCCTGACGTCTTGGTCCCAGCGTTGCAGGTGCTGTTGAGGTTCTACTGTAAGACTGGGAGTAAGAGCTTCCAGTCTGTTTCTGGGTGTGATGAAGACCATTGCAATCGCACGCATTGGTCGGTCAGGGACGGGCACTGGCCTGTACAACCCTGCTGGTTGCTGCCTGTCTGTTTGCCCGAGGCAGCAGGATTTGCATCCGGCGATGTGATTCTGGGCAAATTTGGTGACTCCACGAATTGAGTAGCCTTCCAGTTCCTTAAGCATGCGTACCAACCCGAGATGGCTTTTGCTGTCATGCGCCGATTTCTCCTCATGGGGCATCTGGTACTCTCCGTTGATCCGATTAATGGGTCAATAGTGCGTGATGGAAGTATGCATAATGCATTACAAATGAGTTAACTTGTCCAGATCGACGGCCCTCAGAGCCTCGTCAATCTGATGCTGCCTACTGGCACGCAGGAACTCCTTGAGAGCGGCCATGTCCCCCGGGACAGCCAAGTCTTGCACCAGCAAGATGCAGCTTCCACGGACTTGGCCGGAGCTGTTGCATTTGGTTTGAAGACCTTTCAGGTCATCTATTTCCCGATAGCTCCAGTCGATGGCATCGCGAAGAGGATAACGGATTGAGGCAGGTTGGCAGTTATACGCATCGAAACCCACCAGGGCCGCGATGGGCAGCAAGGTACGATGGCCTTCTGGGCCCCCAAAGGTATACTGTTCCCGCAAGTTGGGGCGAGCAGTCTCCGCGGTCGAGCAGATAGAGCCCGTCCACAGGTTGCAGGCGCGACGACAGACCTTGACCTTCACCCACTGACCTCTGGGCTTGGGTAACCGGTGGTCGTCGACAAAGAAGGTACCAGCCCCGCTGGCCCAACCGAGAGTCTCTGCGTAGACCACGTTGTCCTCTCCCTTGGGGATCTCGCGATGGTCGACAGTTCGGATAGCTGAAAGGCTAGCAACACGGAAGGTCTTCATGTCAGGGTAAAGTGGTTCATCGAGCCCTGGGTGAGGGCCTGGGCCCTGGCTCAAAGGAGGGGGCTGGGGTTCCTCCTGCATGGTTCTGGGAAAATGAAGATGTGAGGTTTCCGCCTATTGTCCCAAGGACTTGGTTTTTGCAGCGCTTTCCTTTCTCCCCAACCACATAGTATTTGTATGCGGCATGATTGCGCACGCGGTTTGCCACTGTAGATGAGTCGAGAATGGATTGATGGTGAATTGGCAATGAATTATACATATGACTTTCGCGCTGCAAGAAAAGCTTTATCGAGGAAGAAGCAACCCCGGACAAGCGCTTCTGGCGTGCCGCCAATGTAAAGGAGGAGGGTTGAATCGTGTCGGCCACGTCGCTATAGTCGAATGGGAAGTCTTCGTTCCAGGTCCGCTCTTATGGTCCCAAGTGTGTGTGTTCTGGTGTTCTACTCCTCCACTTTCTCCTCCGTCTGGTTAACGGACGTCTCCAGGGGCTCATCCGGCTTCCAGGCCGCAGTATACGAGAAGCTTCTCTCCTCGGGCCTTACACTCCAGCGCCTGACGTAGGACCTCCGCATACTTGGTTGCGTCATGCACGACGTAGCGAATTTGGTTGACTCGGTCCGCATACCAGCTGAACCGTTTCCCGGGCCGTGTGGCGTAGAAGAGCCACTTCAGACCGCCGGTTGGGTCTGCGTCGTCGAAATTTTCCGCTTCGCGGGTGCCGGCGGCCGGGAGCGGCTTTGTCTTGCCAACACTGGCAGCCTTGTGGCTGATGGTGTCCTTGGTCGGGGTTGCTGCCCGATGTCCATGTCGTTGGCGTCTGGCAGAGTCTCAGAGTCTTCTGACTCCCCTTCACTGGCGTCAGAGGCGGTGTCGTCGGTGTGACTGTCCCCTTCTTCCTCCGAACCTTCCTCTCGCTGGCGCCGCCGCCGGCGACGGGGGCTGGGCTTGGGGTCACCGCCGAAAAGCTGGGCGGTTCCTAGGCCGAGCAATGCCTCGTCTTCGTCAACGCCGCCGCCGAGGTCACAAGGCGTCTGACAAGCCTGGCGGTCGGATCGGTGAGGCTAATGTTGGCTGAGGTCCGCGGACGCATTCTTGAGCCGGACGACTGACGCCCTCGATAATGGCGTCGTTGTTGTTGATCCACCCCTCACTGGGGTTAAAGGACATGCCGAACTCTTCGACCGTGGTTTTGGCCTCCCTTTCAACCGCCAACCCGGCCTTCCTGTCGACCGTCGCTCAGGCCTCTCCCTTCAGGCCAACCTCAGTAACGGGGATGTCTTTGGGCTCCGCGAGGAACTTGAGTCTTATTGCTAGGAAATGGTTGTTGGTCGCGGACCTTTGCAACAGAAATGGGGGTAAGCTACCGTCGGGCGACGGAAGATCCCGCCCAGTCCCTCTTTCGCTGCGTTATTGTTGCATGAGGAGAACTTCTATGGCACAAGACGCCTTCACACCCAAAGAGTCGACGAGACGAATGCCGCAATGGAAAGCGTAGAGACAGCAGGAAGAAGGCGAAACCGCAAAAGCTCTTTCTCGGTGAAAATAAAAGAGAGCATTCGAAGTATATGTAGGTGAAAGTGAGTTGATGAAGAATCTCGTTGAAAAAAGACCAAGCCTTTGCAAAGAGAAGAAGAGAAGTGCAGCTTCGACTTTTGCCTGCTTAAGAGGAGGTTATGGATAAGTAAATGTAGAGGCAACAAGATGCGAGAGATTTTGCGTTTAAATGAATGTCACTGGCGGCCTGACAGCCGCTGCTGCCTCGGAAGTAATTGGCCGTAATAGTTGGCAGTGCAAACCGAATGGATCAACGAGAACAATAGGCCGGAAGCTGCCAACTGATTCACCGACGCTCGTTTGCACGCTGAGACACTGCGCACGTGCCAATGCCTATTGCTTTCCAAACGAGCTTGGCCAAGGTATGGGGAAGGCGGAGGGGGATTGTTACGATGGCTCTTTTCCACCAAGGTTCCAGCAGCGCTGTTGAGCGGGAAGATGTTGGCTCTTTGACAATACGACCTTGGTCTTGCAAATGGAGGGAGTCTGGAGACTCGGCTAGGCGGATGAGAGTAACTCAAACGAATCCATGTGCGCGGTGATCAGGGGCAACTCACGATTTGACGCTGGTGTGAATTTGTCAAGAGGGGCTGTGAAAACACCATCCTGTGCACCCAGCGTGTTGCCAACGATGCCCGTAAAGAAACACTTGCTACCCTGAGTACCCTCAAGCGTCATGTGCCTTGTCGGCTCAATGAGAGTCCATCAAAGTCAATGTCCCCTCACCTACCCCCCCGTCTTCTCTGCCACGCTTTCGATCCACCGCGTGCTCAAATCCGGACTCTTGTCAAACGTTTGGTCAAACGGCCACATGGGTCGTTGTATCCGTTTGTGCCCCAGCCTTTGCAAGTCCTGATCCACGCCGCCGGGGGTCAACGCAAGCATCCAGCCCTTGGCCATGTCGAACAGCTCTGGCTCCAAGTACCCAATCTTGACGACGACAACGTCTGCACGTCGAGGGTCGAGGCGCAGGTCAGTGAAGTCCCTTTCCTTGTGATACGGCTTGCGAAGGCGGGTGAGGATGGCGTGGACGGATCCGACTTGAAGGACCACTTCTACCTCAGCGTCTCGATCACCGCGCTTGATTGCATGCACAACGCCCGTCATTGTCAGCGGAGGCGCATGGATCTTGTCAGCTTCCGCCCCTGCCGTGACCGTAACCGTGGCACCGACACCTGCTGCGACAGCTGTCTCGACGGCTTTTGGTCCCGGTAAGCTGGCGTAGATGACGGTGTAACCCGAGTCCGGGGCCTTGAACTCGGGGCGATCCAGGAGCTTGGTCAAGCCCCATGTCACATCGCCAGAACCACCGGCAGTAGGGTTATCGCCCGAGTCGGAGATGAAGAACGGCCGTTTTTCCTGGGGAGACTTGACGGCGGCGTCCAAGCATTCGGCAAGGGAGCCCGTGGGCGCGACAAATTTGAACTCGCCGCGCGCATCCCAGAACAGCTTCGCCAGTCGCTCTGCGCCCCAGGATACAGGCTCCTTGTCCCAGCCCGTCACCATGACCACCGCTCGATTCCTCGGCTCGTCAGCCCAGGCGTATCCAACCCAGATGGCAGCGTCAATGACGCCAGGACACGCCTCGACCTCGGGCACGGCCGCGTAGATGCGCTTGGCCGGCTCCATCCGAGTAGAGGTTTGCTCGCCAGGAAGCAAAATGGGGATGGGGATCCAGGCTTTCAACGGCCTGCGGTCGGACGAGGCTTGGATTAGGTTGACGAGATTACGACAAGCTCGCTCCTTGGTTTCTAGCACATCGGTGTGTGGTGCAAAGCGATAGCAGGTGATGAGGTCCGTCAAGCGAGCCAGCTCGCGTGACACATTGCCGTGCAAGTCCATGGAAGCCGAGACGAGGGTCTGGGGACCGATGGCTTCTCGGATACGCCTCAGCAGCTCCGCCTCGGCGTCGTCCATGCCCTCAACACACATGGCCCCGTGGATGTCGAACCACAGGCCATGGACCTTTCCCTTGGACATGATGCCACAGAGACGAGAAACGATTTCGCCCGCCAAGGCCTCGAAGGCGTCTCTTTTCACAATGCCCCCCGGGATGGCATGCCCGATCAATGCACCCTCCCACTTGGCATCTCGCCCGAGCGGCTGATCGGCGTGGAGGAAGGGATATCTGTTGATGATGTCGTCGCCGCGCTGGGGATGGAAAGCGGCGGCAAGCGTCCTCGACGGGGTAAAGGTGGACGTTTCGCAGCCTAGGCCTGCGACTGCTATGACAGGACGAGCAGACATGGTCTTGGCCGTGAATTGCAGAGCACGTAGGATTGAAGTTGGGAGGTTGAGCTGGCGCGGGGTTTGGAAGCCGATTGGATTTCCCGCCAACTAATTACATACAACCGCAAAGCTCTCCCTCAACTGCAGCCAAAAGGGGCCGAGTCAAGCCCATCCCATAATAGCATGTAGTAGGTGCGCCTTTGACGAGAACCGGAACCTCCGTCACACTCTGTTGACAAGAGATGCAGGCGGCGGCAAAGCATGACCCCGAGTAGGTAGGAAAGCAAACCCATTTCGCCAGAAAATATATATACACATAAACTGCTCGAGAGAGTTATGCTAGAGTACAAGTATGTTACATTATAAAATCATGTTTTATGTCCTGGAAGCAGCTGAGCTGCGCCATTCCCGCGCTGCCAATTACATGTATGTAGTCATGGAAGGACTTACTCTACCAAGGGAACATTCCAACAATTCGGACATTAATCTTCAATCGCTTCATCGCCATCTCATCCGCTCCTTGTCAGCGGTTCATGTCGTCGTCGTGGCATTATTCGAGTACAAGCTCATCCTCACGCCAGCGCCGCAGTAGACCTTTTTGTCTCCCGGGCACAGCATATCGCACTCCGTCTTCGTCACATTCTTGCCTGGCGTGGCGCCGTCGATGCCCGCAAGATTGAGCTTGTCGCCGCACCAACATTCCCGGCCATACTCAACCCCTGCCCACGAATAGCTCCAACACTTTCTCAAGCACCGGTCAATGGTCATGTTCTTTCCGTCGTCGAGAACTTGGAGTTCCAAAAGACGGCCATTTGAGGGCTCCAACACACAAGAGTAAAAGGTGAAGTTGGCATTCCCAGGCCAGACGATGGGGCCTGTCGGAGTCGCTGAAGCCAGCTGCGTGGTCACCTTTGTCGAGTTTGTCACCGTACTGGACGTCACAGTGGGCGTATCCGGTAGACCCTTTGAACTTCCCGACCCGGTGGACGACGTGTCGGGCGCCGTTGACGGAGATGGCGTTGCACCTTGGGTCCCTGAGCTGTCAATGGTAGCGTCGCTGAGCACGTCCCCAGCCAGGGAAGGGCTCGGCGGCGCCGTGGTTGCCGAATCACCTATTTTGTAAAGCTGAATTCTGTTTCCAGCGCCGCAGTACTCGGATGCATCGCCAGCACAGGGAAAAGAACAATCATTCTCATTGCTGGCTTTGACGCTTCCTTGCTGAAGGCTATTGCCACAGTAGCACTCCCTTCCATATTCGGTGGCAAAATACTTGAAGCCATCGCAAAACTTGGCGCATGACTCGAGCGTCATCTTGTCGTCGGCAGAACCGCTTCCAAGCAGAGCTCGGCTGTTTGTGGCTTCTGTCCAGCATCCTTGGGACTCGTACTTTCCGACCGTCTTCTTTACGGCCGGTCCAGTAGGCGTCGGACCGGCGGAGCTGCTGCTTTTAGTCGTGGGGCCTGGGCCGGCATCAGTAGTAGTCGTCGTCAACCCAGGGGTGGTAGTCGTAGAACTGGACGGCAGCGGGGCACCGAGCCTATAGACATTGAGTCTCGAAGGGCCACCGCAAAACTCGGTCGTGTTGTCTATCAAAGTCAATTTCTGCCAAGAAGCCGACCTCGAGAGCATACCTGTGCAAGTCATGCCACAATCCACGTCGGGAGCGTGCACCGAGCCGGTCCCCAGCTGGTTACCACACCAGCACTCCCCTCCATATTCCAGTCCTGCATAAGAATACGTCGCTCCCTTGCAGGCATTGACGCACATAGCCACCGTCTTCTTCTCCGTGTTCACGCCGTTGGGAAGCGCTCGGGCGTTCGGCGCTTCGGTAAAGCACCCCATACTGATGAAGCCCGATACGCCGGGGTTCACGACGGGCCCGGTGACTGGGGGCCTGGTGTAGTTGCCGTTCCACCGAAGCGAGTCGGCAAACAGCGACATGTAGGTCCCGCCGGCTGCGTCTCCTGCCCCATTGCCGCCGCAAATCTGGTTGATGTCTCCCGCACAATTGTAATTGCAATTCTGGTCATCAACCTTCTGCAGCGGAATCTGGTTTCCAGCCCAGCACTCGCGAAGATACTGTGTACCACAGAAGATGTAGCTGTTTTTCGCGCACGCCGCGATGCACTGCGCGTTGGTGAGTTTGTCGGCGTCGATGAGCTGGTTTGGCAATTGGCGGCCTGGAGTGTTGTCTTTATAGCATCCAATGTACCGAAACTGGCCTTGTCCGCTGGGCAGCAGAGGAGGTGCCTGCTCAGCGACCGCGTTGCAGAGGAATTGGATGAACTGCTTGCCAAAGCCGGGGTCATTGGTGTTCATGGTCCACTGCGCCGTGCCGTTGTAAGACGCCACGTTCCATTGGGACTTGGGCGCGGCGCAAGTGAGAACGGCAGTGCCGCTTTCGCCGGGTCCAAAGGACGAGCCTTCGGCCAGATCGACCTGGTTGGCTGCTCTCACTATGCTAGCAACGCCGAACGGAGGCTTCGAAACGGTCAAAGATAGCTTCACCCCGCCGGGAGGGGCATTGTTGGTGACTCTGAACTTGAGAGATCTCGACGTGTTCTCAGTCACGTTACCAAAGTTGAAAGGAGTGCCAGACTGGTACTTGACCCAACCTTGGCCATCGGGTGTCTGAAACTCAAGAAGCGCGATAGCTGCTGGCCCGGAGGAGCCGGCAATGGAGACTGTGCCATTGCCGCCGTCGGTAACAAACTTGACGAAGCCTGTGAAGGTGCCGCTGGTCGTTGAGTTGAAGGCGACGCTGACGGTCACGCCCGAATTGGCCGCGACGGCTGTCGGGACATTTTGGAGCGTAAACTTGCCGACGACAAGGTTGCCATGGCCATCCCAGGGCTGAAACGGTCCCGTCGAGTTACCCACCGAGTACAAGATGGATATAACGTTAAGCGGCGAACTGCCCCTGTTGGAAACCACGAGACTCTCCGATACGCCGCCGGGGTCTTGTCCGGTGACGATGCCTTTGAACGTGATGGTTGTTGGGCTCAGAGCCAGGAGCGCACCAACGCTGCGTCCCGTCCCAGTGAGCCTCGCGTGAGTCTCGGTGCTATAGCCAGCGATGCCGTTGGTGGTGTTGATCAGGAGGTCGACCGACTGAAAACCGACGCCCGTCGGACGGAAAACGGCATCAACGCTAAACGATTGTCCCTGCAACAGTTGAAGCGGCAACTTGGGCGAGTCAGAAATTCCAAAATGCTTTTTCTCTCCCAGCCCGATGCCTGTAACGATAAGATCGATAGTGGCCTTGCAGGTGACAGACTCGGTGCTGCTGCTGTTCTTGATATTGACGTTGCCAAAGTCGACAGGTGAAGAGCAGTTGAGCGGGGCATTGACTGGGGCACCGAAGCCGTAGACGTACCCAAGCGTGGTGCCGACATAGAGCATACCATCGCCGAAGACTGGACGAGTAAACTTGGTGATGCCTGGGACGTTGAAGGAGTTTAGCAGAACGAGGTTACCATTTTTTGGAACGGCATTGTAGACTTTGACCCCAACGCCCTGCACGTCTGTAACCCACAAGAGTCCTGTTCCCTCCTGTCCGTCGAGGGAGGTGACGGTTCCGTGGGAGACACCGAGGATGTAGGCGTTGGGCGTTGGCGAGACGGCCACCTTTGTGAAGGCAGGAACGCCGTCATTGCAGGAGAATTTGAACACGTTAGTTGGGTAGCCGACCACGTTGATGTAGATCCATCCCCCTTCTAGCGGGTAGACACCCGCCCCGGCATAGACTGAGTTTTCGTTCTGAAACACCTGCAGGACATCGTCGAGACCGTCTTTGCCGTTGCGATAACCACCCAGATTGTCCAAGTTGAGCCAGTAGGTTTTCCCTGTCTTTCCCGTAACCACACCGACGCGCTTGACATCACCGCACGCAAACTGGCTGGGGAGCATTTCGAGGGGCGAGGTGCCAAGGTCCTTGTCAGCCCCGTCCAAGGCCTGCTTCTCCCACGGCATGAAAAAGTCGACGAGGTTGAGGCTGCCGTCAGCGTTCATGGTCATGTGAAGTGCTGCTTCCTCCAGGGCTGTGGGCGGGTTGAAGCCCTTGACAGGAATGTTGCTAAGCTGGGACGCGTATCCGTTTCCCGTGGCGAGGTAGATGGAGCCGGCGTCGTCCGAGGAGAGACCGCCGCCACTCATCCATATGCCCGCGCCCGGAACAGTGTTGGGGACGCCCTTGCCCTGCGTGGACCAGCGTTCAATAACTTTGCCGGTGGCCTTGTCCCAGCCCATGATCCAGCCAGTGAAGTTGTACTGGACACAGTGGGATGCGAATCCGGCGTAGATGTACTGGCCGGTGAGCAGCAGGGCGGGTCGCTGGAGGTGGATGCCGCCGGTAAACATGCGATTGTCGCCGTTTCTCGATAGAATGCCCTCGAGGTCGACGGGGAAGTTGGGGCGCTCGCTCAAGTCATTTACGTCTAAAGCATGGAGATAGTAGCGACCGGCGGGGCGCCCCTGAGGCTTGTCGCCAAACTTTTGGTTGACATAGGTTTTGGCCATGAGATAGAGGGTATCTGAGCCGTAGTCAATTACACCCGTGGATGTGACTCCGATGGTTGGGTTGATGTCTACACAACCGTCGAGGTCGGCAGTGAGAAAGGGGATGTGGAGGTTTCTGGACGCGAGAATCTCGCCTGTTTTCGAATCAAGTCTGTAGACGTTGTTCTGCGTCGTGGCAAAATAGACGTATTGCTTTGTGCCGCCGTTGGGGGTGTACACGAGAGGTTGGGAGAAGATCTGCTCGGGCTGTCCTACATAGGTGCCGGGGAGAGGTGTGCGGAAGACTTGGCCAAACTGAGAACTGCCAACAATGGCAGGATCCATACGATGGTTTCTGGAGAAGTAAAAGTCAGCAGATATTCCAAGAAGAAGGATGGGCCACTCACGTCTGAAATCCTGAACGTGTATTGTCACCTCCCCATGTGATTGTGTCGGTCGAGGCCAGCGCGCCGACCAAGGCCACCAGGGCCGAGGCGACGACGGCGCCCAGCGGCTTCATGGCTGCGACGGCGACGGCGACAAGGTGGACGATTAGCGGTTAGTGAGACGAGGCAAGCTGTCGTCGACGACGGCGAGCAGTCGCTGGCCAGGCAGGGGCGGAGTGGAGGACGAGAGGAGGACTAAGAGAGCGAGAGGTGGCCATGCTGTGGTTGATATTGTCGCCGCCCGGCCAAGGTACCATTGGATCCGGCTGCAGGACCCTTGTAGCTGTCTTCCATTCTCTCTCTACCTGCTCTTCCAGCCCGGTCAGCACGTACCGTCAGGCCCTGGCACCGACATGCATGTAGATGGATACCTACCTACCTGAGGCTGGCGTGCTGTCGTCTCAAGACGGGCTGCCGAGTGAACCGCGGACACTCGAGGCACCCGATGAATGACGGACCGCTCGGCACCCAGACACTCGCTGTGTGGCGCCGAGCACCCGGTGTGTTCGTCATGTCGGGCTGCCTGGTCGAGGCAGAGCAAGGCCTAATGTCCTGCTTGGGCGGAGGTTCTGGAGACCTGTTCTAGAAGGCGAGCGGAGAGCGTCGGCAAAACGGCCGTGAAAGCGTTGCACAAGGGTCGAGCAGCCACCAACAAACAGACAGGCCTGGGCCGGTCCATCAAGCCAATTGCATGCATGGCGCCTAAAGGGCGGCGTTGTGATGGATGGATGCGGGAAAATGGCACCAAGAATAGGTCGACGTCTTTTTTTCTTTTGCCTTGCTCGGCCGCAAGGCACCCCGGCAAGGCCCCGCTGATCAATCGGGGCGGGGTGCGGTCCCTGATGGCTCAGCGGGCAGATCCGCTGAAGAAGTCCGCTGAGGAACCAAGCTGGCGCCTGGGTAGCAGTACCCAGCTTGCCTCGCACCTACATGCAATGACTGCCCCGCAGCTCTACCGTGTTCTGCTGGTTATAATAGGTAGGTAGTCAGGCTTCTCCTGGGATTAAACGAGGACCCGGTAACATCCAACCCCTGCACATGCTCTGCCTGATGCATGGCGCCGAGGACCGAGAACGCAATGCAGGGGTCATCCATCACCGTAGCCCAGGAAATGCCCGATGTCATGTTACGTGCACATGGGAGCAAGCCACCTTTTGCAATCTCTTGCCTGCCTCAGACCGGCCCGGACCTGGCGGCATGATGCAGCCAACTTGAAGGTGGTAGCATCAATTATTGTTATATTTTTATTCCCGGCTCTGGACTCGATGCAGCATGACCCGTCAGCCCTCGGCACGTCGTCCATCTGCCATCCTCACATGCCCAAAGTCCAGCCCAAGGCTATCGTATTGACTGGCTGCATCTCAGGTCCGCACTCGGCGTAGTTGCTCATCTTCTTTTCTCGTGCCTTGCATCCATCACCGCATCTTCCCCTTCCTGTCATCATTCACACCATTTCGCAATGGTGCTCGACTGCGCATACGAAAGCTGAGGGTAGGAGGGCAGCTGTTTATGTAGTATGCAAGCCTTGCTGCTCGATCCTGATCAGCTCTGCAAGGGGTCATGCCCTTTAGTGCCCCCCCTGGTTCATCAATGCTGTGTAACGTACGGGAGCAAATCTGGCATTTCAGCTCTACCGAACGTAGAGGTCAGCACTTAAGCTCTCACTCTTGATGCATTCACTTGACTTGGCAACTTGGGCCGTCAATTTTTTAGGCAAAATGCCGAGTGCCAACGAGTGTCAACGGGCAGCCTGGAGAAGGCCATTGATGGCACTTTCGGTGGCCTCGATGATGCTCAAAGGGAGGCAAGGCAAGGTAGACAGTTGGCTGGCTGTCTGTCTCGCAACAGTGACCATGTAGACAAGTGTCTTAATTCAGATCTCGGGTGCCACTGCTTGCGACATCAAAACGGCGGGTTCCGCACATACATCGTCTTGGCCTAATGCATCCCGCAGCGAAGACGCAGGTGACTGATGCCCTATCTTTGCGGGTGACCAGCCTCTTGGAACAAGGAGAAGAACACGGAGCACAACTGCAGAACATGAGGGACAAGCATTTTCTTCTTCACACCGCCCGACATGCCGGCGAATGCAATGAAAAGAAAAGGAGAGGCGTGCCCCCTCGAGGGAGTGTAATACCAGAGACACAGACGAATGTTGGACAACCAAAAATTGTGCCTAACGGACCAGCAGCACTCTGAGGGGCTAGTGGCCTCAAGGAGAACCTCGGAGATGCCAGTCCGTGTCCCGATCTCTTGAGCACCGGACTGGAGAAAGAAGGCACACGTCAGTGGGCTAGGAGAATCGGCAGGCACCTCTCCATGTACCAGGAGAGTTGGGCAAGCGGGTTGCTTGACAACGACCATCACAGCAAGTCACTCGCATCATGACGAGGCAGTCACGGGGCTGTCTCACTGCCTACAGTGTCTTTTGACAGGGAGAGAAGGAGACACTGCATTGCGACCGAGTAAGCGGGAGGAGCCAGACCGAAGCTGGGCAAGCTCCAGGGCGATCCTTGGTCAGCGACCGTCCTACCAGGCAAGCACAAGTCCTGACGACAACATCATCAACCTCGCCTAGCACGCCGCGCAAAGGTAAGCGAAGGAAAGAAACCGGGCCTCGCTTATCAGGCACTCCCACGGTGGAGCAAGAGAGGGTGATGCCATGGCCAGGAAACCAATCAAGCAGCATCCGAGGATGGAAAAGTGGCCCCGTCTTGACGGCCATCGAACCACACAGCGCCGACACGATTGTCATTCGCAGGCCCCTTGCTTGGCCGCACCCCCTCGCAGGACCCCTCTTTCTGCAGAGTCTCATGATAAGGGAGAGACCGCGGCAGTGGGCTCATGGCCCCAGGCCAAGCCGATGCTGGGCGGGCATCTCCTCTTTGGTACCAGCAGCCCCCATGGGTCCTTGTCAACCAGACTCTGTTGAGATGTCGACCCGCCACGGTTGAGTACCAGGTATCCGCGCATCACAGAGGTCCTCCACTGCGTCGTCTTCATGGCACAAGCTCCATTACTACTTGACATCGACCGCTCGTGACTATGAGGCTCCCAGTCCTTGGCCTTCGAGCCCTGCGCCGACCTGCCTCTGCCTGCTCCTCGCCTCCCCCATTTTCCTCGAGGACTTGTTCTGCCGGCCAGCCGCGTACAGGTGCTACCCTGGTCGACTCGCCCACGGCCACCCACGACCTCGCCCCCCCGCCCGAAGCCAAGCCAAGTCCCCATCGCGAGGCAGAGGCCGACAACATCTTCCGAGATGCAGTGGCCGCCAGAGCGCCGCGGCAGGACTGGACACGCGAGGAAATATCTGCCATCTACTATCAGCCGCTTCTCGAACTGGCTCACTGTGCCGTCAGTCTCCCCTGATCTGGAGCGCCTTGGTAATGCTGACAATGTGGAGCACAGAGCACCGTCCATCGGCGATTCCACAAGCCCGGCGAGGTTCAGCTCTGCACCCTCATGAACATCAAGGTAGGCGGCTGCACCGAAGACTGCTCCTACTGCGCCCAGTCCACGCGCTATCAAAAGGGCACTGGGCTCGAGGCCAAGCGCGTCGAGAGCGTCGAGTCGGTCCTGGCCGCGGCAAGGCGTGCGCGCGACAATGGCAGCACCCGCTTCTGCATGGGCGCGGCCTGGCGAGACATGCGAGGGCGCAAGAACAGCCTCTCCAACATTACCGAAATGGTCCGCGGCGTGCGCGCCATGGGCATGGAGGTGTGTGTGACGCTAGGCATGGTGGATGAAGATCAAGCGAGGCAACTCAAGGAAGCCGGCCTGAGCGCGTACAATCACAACCTGGACACAAGCCGAGAGTTCTACCCCTCTGTCATCACCACGCGCTCCTACGACGACCGCCTGCGGACCCTGGGCCGAGTCCGAGACGCCGGCATTAGCGTCTGCTCCGGCGGCATCCTCGGCCTCGGCGAGTCGTCGAGCGACCGCATCGGTCTACTTCACACAGTCGCCACCCTACCTGCTCACCCGGAGAGCTTCCCGGTCAACGCCCTCGTTCCTATCAAGGGCACTCCGCTGGGGGACACGCCCCCTCTCGCCTTCACCAGCATGCTGCGCACCGTTGCGACGGCCAGGATCCTCATGCCCGCCACCATCATAAGGATTGCAGCTGGTCGCAAGAGTATGGAAGAGGAGAAGCAGGCCCTGTGCTTCATGGCCGGCGCAAACGCCATATTTACTGGCGACAAGATGCTCACCACCGACTGCAACGGCTGGGACGAGGACAGCGCCATGTTTGGCCGCTGGGGGCTGACTCCAATGAAGAGCTTCGGCAAGACGCCGCCTGGCGAGACTGATGCTGCTGGACAGTAGGGGCTGTTTGTACGGTCATGTCTGATGATGAAGCGGAACAAGAATCAACAACAGCAACAAGCGGTCCCGCTCTTGCAAGTTTGCTTGGGATACCATGTCGTGATGGCTCTTGAATCTCTCTTCAGCAGTAAATGATCTACAGCTTGGGCGGCTCCAGCCGCTCCGCGCTCACCGCGGCCATTGTCTCTGCCACGGCGAGCGTCTTTCTTCCTGCCAAACACTCGCAGATCCATTCCTCTATGGCCTGGCACAGGCCCCGTATCTCTTGTGTGCTATTTCCTGCGTGTAGGCAAAGCCTTACTCGGTCAGTGCCAGTGGGGACAGTTGGCGCGACGATGGGCCGGACCATGAACCCCCTCTGCTGGCAGTGCTGGGCGAGGCTGCGAGCGTGGGCCGTGAAGAGGGGAATGATGGGCGACTCGGGCTCGTTGGGGCTGATGCGAAAGATGTGCGGTGGTGGCTGGTGGCGGGAGCAGAGCGAAGTCAGGAGGCGATGGACATGGCGCATCAAGGAGCGGAGATGACGTGTGTGAGGCTCGGCCTGGCCGCTCATGAGATACTCGTAGGCCGTCTGGATGCCTGCGAGAGAGTGGTAGCCCATGGCTGTGGTGTAGATGAGACTGCGGGCGTAGTTGATGAGATAGGAGCGAGTTGTAGGCGAGCAGAGGACGATGGCTGTTTGGTGAAAGTTGGTCGTGTAAGCCAGAGCAAGCCGACAGCACAGAAGGAAACGCACCTCCAGCACAGCCCAGGGATTTCCCAAAGGTGTGTACTCGCGCCCACACTCTTTCCTCCAGCCCGAGCTGACTGACCAGCCCCCGGCCGTGATGCCCAAGCAAGCCGGTGCCGTGGGCCTCGTCAACAATCAGCTGCCCGTTGCCGAGTGGGAGTCGCCCCTCGACGCAGTCGACCATGTCCCGCAGCTTCGCGACATCGCCATCCATGCTATACACGCTCTCGACGGCGACGAAGACGCTTGCCTGCCCAGTCCGGATGCAGCGACCCGCGTCTCCCTCGGCGAGCTCAGCCAGGACGGCATCGAGGCTTGAGACGCAATTGTGGGCAAACGGCACCGCGCGCGCTCGCCCCAGCCGTATGCCGTCGCGAACACTGGCGTGTATAAGCTCATCGAAGACGACGACGTCGCCGGGCTGCGGCGCGCAGCTAAACAGGCCCGTGTTGGCGGCGAAGCCCGAGTTGAAGAGCAGGCCGGCCGGCGCTCCGTGGAACGCGGCGATTTCTCGCTCCAGCGCCTCGGCCGTGGCCGAATTGCCGTCGAGGAGCCGGGAGCCGGCGCCGCAGCCCAGCAAATCCGGAGAGGCCGTCGACGACGACGCGTGTAGGCGGGCGAGGTAGGCGCTCTGGACGTCGGGATTGGTCTGCAGGGAGAGGTAGCTGTTGGAGGAGAAGTCGACGGCGCCGGGGGCGGGGAGGGTCAAGCGGCGGAGGCGGCCCTGGGATGCTCGGCGGGCGAGCAGAGAGGCGTAGATGTCGTCGAGGCGGTTCCGCCGGGGGGGCATGGTGACGATGGCACGTGCAAGGAGTCCATTAATTCATCCTGTATCTGCTTCAATTCTCACAAAACACGGGTGGCGGGACTACAAGATCAGGAGAAAGCTGCAGGCTGCTTGGAGGGCCTGCCTACAGCTGAGGCAGCATGGTATACTTGCTCTATACTTGCTCCTCGGCACAGGCTGTGGGCCGGGATATGGACCCGGCCCTGCCTACTTGGAGCGATTCGGAAGGTGGTGAAATGGGATCGCCCATGCGGATGCGCACACGAAAAACCCCTCTGCTTGGACTCTCCCGCGTCTGTGGTCTTTGGTCCCGTCCCGTCAGACTCCGAGGAAATTGCGCGCCTTGCTCCGCCGACGTGGACCTTGCTGAGGGAGCTAGTAGGTTGGGTGGAGTCGAGCAGGTAAGGGAGAAGAAGTCTGACTTCTTCCCAACCCAAAGCCTCTGACGAAGCAGCCCGCGTAGATCTATCTACTTTAGCCTATTGCCCTCCTGTGAGGTGGAATGGGCCTGACCACGGTACTATGCCCCTCATGTCTTGGCCTCGAAACCCGGCCATTTCGCCACGATTGGCGGCCCTGGATGTCTAGTCGACCTGGATAAAAATCGGCGGCAGTTCCCCGAGGACGTGGCCATGGCGTTGTTGAAGACAAGCCAGATCTCAACGCGCTCTATCCGAGTCATATCTTTAGCAGATCGGGTGCGCGGTGAGTCGAGCTTAACGGGGTGTTAGACGCCGTCGAAGCTTCGCCGAGGCTCAACCTATACCCATCCGTCGCTGCGCAGCCAAGTGAGGCCAATACCACGCGTATATCACGCGCATTTTGTCGTCAACGCAAAAAGCCAACTCATGCCGTAGAAATTCACTAATAAATTCAACCTGTCGTAACAGTCTGGGGCTGTGCAGGCCTGACGAACAGCCCCGCCCACAGGCTACTCAACCGCCTAGTGTCGCCTTAACAGGTCCCACTCAATTCCGTGTTGTCGAACAAGCAGCGGCGAGTGTTAGTTAGGGCCGGACTACTTCCAGTAGGCAGCCTGATGCGGCGCCATTGGGGGCTTTACCTATTGAGACTGCTAACTCTGTACTCCATACGGTATTCGTAGAGGTCTCCAGAGTCTCGGCGTATCTAGTGTCTTTCCATGGTTTCACTGCAACAACCCAACCACTTTAATTTAAAGAAGGGTCCAATAAACCCCAGATATGATCCAGGGGCTCATTCCTACTCCACAGAAGAGTTTTCCCGGGAAGAACCGCTTTCTCTATCGCGATGCGGGCGAAAGTATGTACGAATGAGCAATGGCTTGAGTGTACTGTACGCAATAGCTCGCACATGGAGTTCGTTTGGTTCGTGCATCACTAAACCAGCGGCGAGGACAACCCTGATGGAGCACCGGCCAGCCGAGATGCAGTGCAGAACAGCCTTATGCTCCATCCGCTGGCTGGGAATTCCAAAGGGCCATGCTAGAGTGAAGAAAAGTCGCCGCACATTTCACGGCCAATGGCAATTGGACAGCGCCAGACAGGAAACGGGAGCGCCCACCGACCACAGCAGCAGCTAAACCACGGTATTGGCAGGGGCCAAGTGGCCGCAACAAGTCATAAGGACCTCTATAGCACCTCTTATCTCTCTCATCGGGAAGTCGGAGGGCATTCCAGTGTCTCTACTACGAGCAACACATGAATCTGGGCGAGTCTGAGACAGGTCGAAATGTTGCCGCCAGGCCATGGGGTGGAATGGAGGCAAGCGGAAGCCCAATGGCACGGCGTATAAATTGAAACGCAGTTGCCGACGGACTTTTTTCGCGCGGGTTAATCAAGTATTGCCCGCGCCGTCTACAGCTCGCCAAAACCACCCCGTGTCGGCTTGGCCAGGGATCCTCTCCCGTGCGGAACAAGAAAGAAGGATAAGATGAAACTACAGCCAGGTTGGGCCAGTACATTATGCCTCTTGACCTCTTCTGCTGCGGCAGCCATAACCCAACCGAAGCTTGACCTAAAGGACCCGCGCTTTCAGAGCTGGTCCCGTCCTGGGGCCGGTGACGGTAAGATTTTGTTTTACTTCATCTCTCACTATCACTCTCACTCTCTCCCTTCTCTAGCAGTCTCTGTCGTCCTCGGTGCCTTGCTGATATAAACGCTTCCATAGTCCGCTGCGCGTGCCCGGCCCTCAACTCGCTCGCCAACCATGGCTTCCTGCCTCACTCCGGGAAGAGGATCAATTCGACGAACATCATCATTGCCGCCTTCAATGCCTTTGGTTTATCGCCCGACACCGCCGCCGTCATCATCACCGACGACTTGCAGAACGCAGGCGCCTCGTTCGACCTCGTCTTCGACCTCGACGACGTCCAGCGGGACAGCTGGAATCACGAGCACGACTGCAGCTTATCACGCCGTGACGCCGCGGAGGACCCCAGCTTCGCTTTCAACCAGGGCTCGTGGAACGATACACTCAACGCGCTTAAGACCTGTGACAAGATAGATGTCAACTGCTTCGCCAAGGCAAAGGTCGCCCGCATCAATGCCCAGAGGAAGAAGAGGCCGGCCACAAAATACAACCCTATCGCCGCCGCTCACGGAGCCACGGAGATCGGCCTGCTGCTTGGTGTCTTCAAATCGTCGGCGGAGAATATGCGGTTGGCACACATTAGGTCGCTTTTCGAATCCGAACGCATTCCGGTGAACCTGGGCTGGGTGCCCGTGGAGTTCGCGGCTGGAGTTGAGGACGTCTTGGATATTGGCACCCAAGTTCTCAAGGCGGACCCTGCCGTTTTGCAAAATGCCGGCGGTGTTAAAGTGATCAGCCGAGACGCAAGTCCTCCCCAAGCCTCGCATGTGAAGAACCGCGTTGACTCTAATGAATCACCATAGGATATCGTTAATGCCCTCGCGCCCCCCACTAATGTTCCCCAGGATCAAGTGAAGGCACTCATCCGTGCCGCCGGCTTCCCTGATCCTGACCATTTAGGGCCGCCTGGTGGTGGTACCACCACCACCACCATTGTCGCCCCCAAGCCTCCCGATAAACCAAAAATTCCTAGCAAACCGGCCGACCCCAAGGATGTAAAGCATTCCGATGACGATGGAGACGATAATGGAGATGATGATGGAGACGACGATGGAGGCGATAATGGAGACGATAATGGAGACGACGATGGAGACGACGATGGAGACGATAATGGAGACGATGATGACGACGATGGAGACGACGATGGAGACGATAATGGAGACGATGATGACGACGATAATGATAACGGTGATGACGACGATGGAGACAACTAAGACTCTTCCAGTGATCAAAATTCTTTCGACAAAGATTCTTTCAACGATTAAGATTCTCTCGGCGACTAAGACTCGTCCGGTAGACTAAAAAGAGTCAACTCTATTGCAAATCAATATGAGCAATAGTTCACCTTGTCCGCACACACGGACTGTGAAGAAGTGGATGGATGATATTGATGATGTCTCTCTAGCTATAGAGAGGTGAAGAAGACTAAGTCTTATATAGACGTAGTTGACAGGCATCGACATGACCGATTAGCCTTCTAGAGACAACCAGTCTCTTGCAACAAATTATAACGAGACTGCATTGCGACGGCGACATCAGGGTAAATAGCGGTCAAGACAGGATATCGAGAACTTGTGTAAGTCATGGCTGTCATAATAATAAGAACGGGATCTTATTGCCTTTATTCATAAGCTTTCGTCTTATGAGATTGCCCCTATCCTACCTATGATCAAGAACCTCGCTCAGGGAATTGCGAAAGTAGAGGTCGGGAAGGGTGATTGATTGAATGATATGCGTATTTTCCCTTGATGTCAAAAAGCGAGGCAAATTACATGCTCGGTGTATCGCAAAATGGCAAGCGATAAGTAGTTTGGTCCCGATGTCTCCATACGCCGCGGAGGGCGGTTCGTTGTCGGCCACCAAACACCATCGGTGTAGGGTAGGCGAGGTGGACTCGGAGGTATAATTATAGCGCCAAGCCCGGGCAGAGGTCCCAACAAGGAATCCCCACCGCACAGACTTGGCACGGCGGAATGAAGAAAAAAGCAGGGGGCCTCATCTCACAACGAGCAAGAGACAAAAAGACTGCGGCCAGTGTGACTCGAACACACGACCTTCAGATAGGTATCCGTAGGATTGAAGTATTACTTCAGTCTGACGATCTCCCAGCTAATCTATGGCCGCAGAGATTGGCTTGGTGACGGGGCAACTCGCATATGCCTTAGATAAAGGGAGCCAAACCCGTGTCTGCTCCACGTCGGCATCGATCACTTGTGGTTACCGAGAGACTGGACGCTCTGACTTGAGCCACTGCATATGGTAAACCTGGGACAGTTCCCGTCCCCCTGGTGAGTGAACTACGGTACGGGCCTGGACATGCACGCAAGCAGCCTGCAGGTCTGATCTTCTTCTCACCGTGGCTGTAAGCCCTCTCTGCACGGCTCATGTGCCTCTTGTAGCCGAGCCAGCGGGGTTGTATTAATTACTGGGCGTGCCATTGGTCCAACCGGCACTTGTTGGCCCCTTGGACTGGAGTACTGGAGCCCGACAGGAACCCCTTCTCGAATACTTGTAGCGCGGGAGACTCGTCCACGGCTTCAATGCTACGTGCGATAGCACCGAATGCTCCCGCGCAGCTCGAGTGCCATGGAGTCGCCCCTGGCGTCGCTGCTCTGGCGCTCACTCCGCGTCTACCAGGTGTTTGGCGCAAATACCGACGTTGGCAAGACCGTCTTTGCTACGCTGCTCGGCAGGACCGCCAGGAAGCTCTGGCGAGACGAGGCCGTGACGTATCTGAAGCCCGTGTCGACGGGGCCGGCCCATGAAGCGGATCATTGGTGTAAGTCGTTGAATCTATCCGTCTCTCATTCGACCCCTTCTTCACCTCAGCCTCGCCAGTACCTGGCTCTCTGCTCATGTGCTCTTTCCTGGGGCGTCACATAAACGCTGCGTGAAGCTGACTTGATAACAGACGAGCATCTCCTTGCGTCGCCTAGGTCTCTTCATCTCTGTCCGAACTGCCTGGTTAACACCCGTTCTCCTCTCTCCCTCCCACAAGCCACATAAATCGCTTCGTCCCTGGCGTCGCCTACAAAACGCTATTTCAGTATGACATACCCGTCAGTCCGCACAAAGCTGCACTGGCCTCGGGCAAGGCAAGTTGCTCAATGGCAGGGACAGACCTGGCCGAGTTGGTCTCTGACATGTTGCGCAAAGCCCGTCCCCTCAGAGGACGCCTTGCTAGCCAAGTGCCGCGAGTACGCCGCCGATTGCAATGCCCGGCGCGGAAAGGGCTGGCTGTTTCTCGAAACCGCCGGCGGTGTTCATTCACCCAGTGTCTCAGGCCGCACGCAGGCTGATCTTTACATCCCGCTGCGCATCCCAACCGTTTTGATAGGCGACTCTCGCCTCGGCGGCATCTCGCAAACCATTTCTGCCTTTGAGTCCCTGCTGCTGCGCGGCTATCAAGTCGAGTCGATCCTGCTATTTGAGAATGCCCGGTATGAGAATCACCGCTATCTCAGTGACTACTTCCAGGAGCATCACCGAGTCCCCGTCACCAGCGCGGCCGAGCCGCCCCGTAAGAGCGACGATGCTCGTCTCGACGCCGAGGCCATGGCCGAGTACTATGACAGGACGGGTTGTCGTGAGACCGCCGGCAGTGTCCTCGAGCACCTGCGTCGCCGCCACAGCGAGCGCATCGCTTCACTCGAGTCGCTACCCGAAAAGGCTCACCGGCACATCTGGTACCCCTTTACGCAGCAGAGCTTGCTCGGCCCGGCAGACATCATGGCCATTGACTCGGCACACGGCGACCACTTCCAGACCCTGATTCCCCAAGCCGCCACCGAGGACGCCGCGTCGGGCAAGTCGCTGCTTAGGTCCTCGTTCGACGGGTCGGCGTCTTGGTGGACGCAGGGCCTGGGCCACTCCAACCCACGCCTGACTCTGGCTGCCGCCTCGGCTGCAGGGAGGTATGGACACGTCATGTTCGCCGGAGCAGTCCACGAGCCAGCCATGGAGCTTGCCGAGACGCTGCTGCAAACCATGGGCAACCCTCGCCTCAGCCGCGTCTTCTACTCGGACAACGGAAGCACCGGCAACGAGGTCGCCCTCAAGATGGGCCTGCGGGCCGCGCGGCTGCGTTACGGGCCAGACGACGAGCAGCAGCTAGGCATCCTCGGCCTCAAGGGTGGTTATCATGGCGACACCCTCGGGGCCATGGACTGTGCGGAGCCGTGTCTGTTTAATGACAAGGTTGAGTGGTACGACGGCAAGGGTTACTGGTTCGATTACCCGACAGTTCTGTGCTCGAATGGCGAGTGGTCTGTCAAGATCGACGGTGGCGGGTTGCGAGCCGAGTTGGGCGACGCCAAGCGCTTCAGGTCACTCGATGAGATATTCGACATGGAGGCCAGAGAGAAACGTGGCGAGCACCAGCCGTACGAGAAGCACATTGTGGATATTCTAGATCGTCTGCATAAGCAGGGCCGCAGATTCGGCGCCTTGATCCTCGAGCCCATCGTCATCGGCGCAGGCGGCATGGCTCTCGTGTAGGTCGAGAAGTTCTCGCGAGCCCTTCGCCAGAGCTAACAGAACAATGCCAGCGACCCCCTCTTTCAACGCACGCTGGTCAACGTGGTGCGACGGTCAACCCGTCTCTTCAGCGCGTCCTCGGGCGCCGCCTCGCCTCCACCAACGACGGGCCCGCATGACTGGGCCGGCCTGCCCGTCATCTTCGACGAGGTCTTCACCGGCTTATACCGCCTCGGCCGGCGCACGCCGTCGTCCTTTCTCGGCGTCCACCCGGACATTTCAGTGCATGCCAAGCTCCTGACGGGGGGGCTTGTCCCCCTGTGTGCCACGCTGGCTTCCGAGTCCATCTTCGACGTCTTCAGCAGCCCAGACAAGACGGACGCCCTGCTGCACGGCCACAGCTACACGGCGCATCCCGTCGGGTGCCAGGTCGCGCTCGAGTCGGTGCGCGCGATGCAGGCCATGGAGCGGAGGGGGGATTGGGACTGGGCCAAGAATCAGGGGTGGACGGGGGCGGGGAGGCAAGAAGGCGACAACTTGAGCGAAGGCGTCTGGTCTGTGTGGCCGCGCGACTTTGTCGAGTCACTCTCGCGCCGGTCGCAGCGCGTGGATGGAGTATGGGCTCTGGGAAGTGTTCTCGCGATCCATCTTCGAGATGGGGCGGGCACCGGATACAGCAGCAACGCCGCCGCGGGACTCCGCGAGGCCCTCGGCCGCGGACGAGACGAGCCCGGCGTGCGAGGGCCGTGGAATGTGCACGCCAGGGTGCTGGGCAATGTTCTGTATCTCATGACGAGCCAGACGACGACGGAGAGTAGCATCAGACAGCTGACGGAGCTTGTCGAGGAGAGCCTGGCGACGTAAACGACCAAGCGTCGTACGTGTAGAAACCATTCCTCTTCCTATACTTTAGCCGAGGGCCTGTTCAAGGACTTCGTGCTCCCGGAGCAGAACCATGAAGTGCGCCTTACGGGGTGACGTGGGATTTACGCCACCCTTGCTGTTGCACACGTCCTCTGGTCTCGTCCTTGTTGTGAATTTTGCATAACCCAGTCTCGGGTAGATGCACAGATGCCATCGTTAGGCACCCATGTGGCTCTGATCTGGGATGGGCTGGCAGCCGGCTCATTGTCAGTCCACCTTTCTGATCGGACGAGACACGTCCTGTTCAGCGAACACGGTTGGTTAGCCTTTGTCAACACTTTCTTGCTGTTTGCTTGTCGCCCCTGGATATAAAGCTTTCTGCTCTTCCAATGTTGTCTATGAAGCTTCCAGTCGCGACATGACTCTTCTGCAACAATCTGCACCTCAATTTGTCGCCCTCGACTCACAAATCTGCTATTTAACTGCTCAAGACGTATGAGCCCTCGATCGCAAACACGACTTTGAAGCGAACTCGATGCGAGCCAGAGGGCCTGTGAAAGAACCTCGACGATTCAACAGTGCCTGCGGTCACGCCAGGGTATTGCATCTTCTCAGAAGCCTCCCCGGATCAAAGCTAATCAAATATTCGGAAGAACGCATGGATGACTTGTGAACTACGCCAGTCTACGCCCTTGTTCAGTGTTTGAGTTGCCCCGGTGCTTGCTGCAAGCATGCACGTACAGGAAGCAGGGCATGTCGGCCATGCAAACAGCCAGAGTGCCACAGCAACACGCCCCGTCTTCAAGAAGTGGTCGATTTTCGCCTCTTTGTCGCGCCTCGTCTGGCCGACGTGGAGTCCAAGACGACAAGACGCAGCGGCCAGCAACGTCAACACTCGCACATCAGCAGCTCACCGGCGTCCTCCGACCAGAGGGCTGAACTGGGTGACGGACTCTCGTGACGATTTGTTATATGACGAGTCAGAATTCGCAGTCGCAGCCGCGGCCGACGTAGACACTGTCCTGGGGACCTCGACGTGGGAACTCGTCATGGCGCCCGAGTCGGAAGAGCTTGATCGGTTGACGGGCTCCTTCTATCCGTCGGTTATCCACATGGCAAGGCGCGGCCGGTGCCGCTTTGAGCGGCTCGGCTGGGGGAGAGAAACGACGGGCGGAGGGGAGGAGACGGGTGCATAGGCTGTGCAGCTGGTGGTGGACTTGGTACGGGCATAAGATCGGTTCGATGATGCGATGGTCTGGTGAGAGTCAAGATGGCCGCAACGAAGCGGTTTTGCTGCGCTGACCGGATACTCGATAGATGGCTCCCGTTGTGAGTAATTAGCTCAACCTTCCTCAAAGAAGCCCGGCTCTACGCCGTTGCCATCAAACGTCTTGTGAACAAGATGATGCATCGTGTGCTTGGCGACATTGACGTCCGGTGACGCTGTTGGCCACCCGATAGCCTCGGCATGGCATCACGGCCGACTTCCAGCACTTGATGAACTCCCGAGACGCGTTGCCGCGATGATGAGCTGCTGCATGCACAGTGAGTAGTGGATACATACATGCACGAATGCATGTATGTGGCTGTCCGAGACAGCAGAAAGCAACGCCGACTCCCCGGGCCTGAGGTTCGGCAGCCGTCAGTCTCACGAGAACTGGCCCTTTCACTCAGCTCATCTCACCATGTAACGCCCCCTCGGGCGCATACAGCTGCCGGCTAGTTATGTTAAGTCGTCTCTACACGTAGTGCGTAGTCCTCCTGTCTCACTTCCCCGCCCTCCGGCACATCCGCCCAGGCATATTTATTCCAGCAGTCGCCAGCCGCCCTGTTGTCCGTCCGTCATCTCAACGTTGGGCTTAGCAGCTTGAAGCGCGGACCCAGACAATGGCCCTGATCGAGTACGCCCTGTCCTGGTGGACTGTTGCCGCTGCCCTCGTCGTCCTTGCGGCGTCCTACGCCTACGACCATGTCGTGACGCATGCCCATCTGCGAGGCATTCCGGCGCCGTGGGGAGCGCAGTTCTCCAACCTGTGGCTGTTGGCCACCTGCCGCCGCGGCGAACGCTACCGGCGCGTCGACGAGGCTCACAGCAGGCTGGGCAAGGTGGTGAGGATTCAGCCTGGGCACGTCAGCATTGCCGACGACGGCGCCATTGCTGCCATCTATGGCCACGGCAATGGCTTCTTGAAATCGTAGGCACATTACGGCGGCGAACCCGGCTTCAAGGGACTATCCTGCTCACCGTTGTTTGGCCACCAAGGGACTTCTACGATTGCTTCGTCTCGATTCAGCGCGGCCTTTTCAACACGCGCGTCCGGGCCGAGCACACTCGGAAGCGCAAGCTCGTTTCCCACACCTTTTCGGCAAAGTCGGTCGCCCAGTTTGAGGCATACATCCAAGACAACCTGCGCATCTTTGTCCAGCAGCTCGATTCACTCGTGGAGCAGAGCCGGGACCGCAACAGCGCCGGGCAGAAAGAGGCCCAGGTCGATTGCCTGCCGTGGTTCAACTACCTCGCCTTTGACATCATCGGTGATCTTGCCTTTGGCGCCCCCTTCGGCATGTTGCGCGCCGGTGCCGACAGGGCCGAGATCAGGGTGTCCCCGGAGAGCCCGCCCGTGTACGCGTCGGCGATCCAGGCCCTCAACCGCCGGGGCGAGGTCAACGCAACCCTGGGCTGTTTGCCGGGGCTCCGGGCCTATGCCCGCTGGCTGCCGGACCCCTTCTTCATCCAAGGGGTCGACGCCGTCCGTCAGGTGGCGGGAATTGGGATCGCGCGCGTCAAGAGCAGGGTGGAGAGCCCGCCGGACGAGCAGCGCAAGGACCTCCTCGCCCGGTTGATGGAGGGCCGTGACGACAATGGGGAGCCGCTGGGCCGCGACGAACTGACGGCCGAGGCACTGACTCACACAATCGCCGGCAGCGACACCACGTCGAACACGTCGTGCGCCCTGGCGTATTACCTCGCCCGCTACCCGCGGACGCTGCAGAAGCTCCAAGCGGAGCTGGACGCGGCCCTTCCAGATGACGTGCCTGTCCCGACGTACGACAAGGTCAAGGACCTCGAGTACCTTGGCTGGGTCATCGACGAGACGATGCGGCACCACTGCACTTCGGGCATCGGCCTACCGCGCGAGATCCCGCCCGGCTCGCCCGGCGTGACGCTCCTGGGCCGACATTACCCCCCCGGAACGGTCCTGTCGGTGCCGACGTACACGATGCACCACTCGAGGGAGATTTGGGGCGACGACGCCGACGACTTCAAGCCCGAGCGCTGGGCAAAGGCGACGGCGCGGCAGAAGAACGCCTTCATCCCCTTTAGCATCGGGCCGCGGGCGTGCGTGGGCAGGAACGTGGCCGAGATGGAACTGAGGCTCATCGCGGCCACGTGGGCGAGGCGATATTCGGTCGAGCTGAGACAGGGGGACATGGAGACGAGGGAGGGCTTTTTGAGGAAGCCCCTGGCGCTGCAAGTTGCTCTGTCTCGGAGATGACGGGGCATCATCGACCGCGACGCGTTGATGAAGGGCCGTTTGATTGATGAGAGAGAGAAATGTAGGAGGAGCGGTGAGCCCAGTCCGGGACGACAGCAAGCTCCATAGCAATGCTACTGATTAAAGTATGACACCCAACCCGATGAATTAATGGGGCAGGCGGTCTCATGATTAGCCTAGCTTAACAAAAAAGATTTGCCCCAGCAGATATTATCAAGTTATATATTTATCATGCCAAAAAGAAAGTGATCTATAATCCCACGTCTTCGAGGCAAAAATTACCATTTTCATGGGTGAAACATGACCCTGCCTGCCCTGGCTTCCTGGGCAAGGAAGAAATTGAGAGGTAAAAAGATTGACAAGACAGGGATTCGAACCCTGGCGGATTGCTCCAGCAGAATACAGACTCAGGTATCCTGAGCAAGAGTCAAGATCTACGATCTATTTCTTGAGTCTGCCACCTTAACCACTCGGTCACCTTGCCATTCAATTCACGGACTCCTCCGCTTCATTGTACCTTTCGTTGTCTATACATACTTATGTACCGTTAATTTAAAGCTGTGAGCAAACCCTGATGTATTGACGCCGTACAGTGACGCCTGCAGGCCATCTTGCCATTGCATCTACTGTTCACTGTACAGACTACAGCATATATACCTCTACTACAATCAATGCAAAGTCTTCGCATTCACAGGCTGAATATTTGAGGCACTCCTACCGACCATTCTTGGACGGTGCCGAGGGCATCAAGCCAAGATCCTCCATCCGTTGTCGTCAGCTTCCGTTCAAAGGCCACCCCAGGGGATGACACACATGCTGCATCTCTTTGTGGATATTATCAATCTTGCCGGGCTCATCACTGGCATGGCTCAACATCTTATGCCCTATTTCCTGCAGTCTAGCACTGCATTGGGGTTCTGTCAGCAAGGGGAGGATATATACCGCACCAATGGATGCGAGGATGGCAACCGAGACTCTGGATCCCGGTATCAAAGTTTGGCATTCGAGGAAAGAGTTTTCGAATGACGATGACACTCGCAAGTTGGGGGTGCTTGCGAGATTGCTGACTTATGGCCTGCTCTTTCTATTACAATGCCTTCCTCGATGCCCAGCCACCAGGCGGGCAGAATCGGCTAGACAGGAAGACGAAGTCCCGACCAAGGTCACCAAGCGAACACACCAACTCTCCGACGACGATAGGGCATCAGGCCAACGACACCGCCACGAGGCCATCTAAAGGCGCGAAAAGGCTTGGGGGAGAAACGAGCAGGACAGCAAAAGGTGCCAGAAGTAGTCGCCCTTGATGAGGGGGGCCGTCGTCATCCTAACCAGGCAGAAGACCGCAGCTTGCCACAAGACGTGATTCCCCTCGGCGATGAGGATCGCGAGATTGTCACAAGCTTCGTCGCTGTCAGGAAGCGCACGACGAAGGATTCGTCCCGGATGAGATGACTGAGCTGGCGAAGCGTCAAGTGGAGCTTGAGATGCTCGATGAGGATCCCGAGGACATCGATGCCACCGGGGACGACGATAAACTCAAAGAATCTTTGACAGAAGGCTGCACCAACATTGACGGTTCAAACGAGCGAAGAGCCTGCAGCGAAGTCGCATCATGCCGAGCCTGGTTCCAGGAAGATGCGACCGCTCTTGCAGCCAAGGTCCAGAAGGGAGGAGGCGTTCAACATTTTCCCGAGGCAAGCTGTATCCTCACGTGGTTCCTAAGTCGGCCGCCAAGGACAGTCTGAGGCAGATTTGCATGTGGCAGCTTTGCTTGACGTTTCCTGATACCTAGTCTGGCCATTCGGTCACCTAAAAGAGGGGGATTGTGATATAGCCAGACTGGGTGGCCGATGATTCTCACGACAACCCTCCTAATCGTCCACATCGGCGCACTCCCGTGGCTCGCGCTCCAAAGTACTCACTGTCTCGGTCGTGCGTTGCCTCTTACGCCGCTTTTTGCGCTGATTTTATGCTGCGATGTTTGCTACCTGGCGCTGCACGCGATGAGTACTTCAAGAATGTGCTGATGGTTGCCGGGGAGAGAGATATAGTTATGGGAATACTCGGTAGCATTTACTCTTAAGATACTACTTAGGGATTGGATCCAGACCTATCTTTAGTACCAAGTCCATTAGCCTGATCTTCTTTCAGGGCGTAACATCTACCTATAATAATGCCGGCCGTTGCCTATAGAGGGCAGGTGTGGGTTCTGATCCGACTCATGTCCTAGTTGCCAAGTTTCGCGCCAACGTTGCATGAAGAAGGAACTGACTTTATTGAGGTCCACACAGGCGGATTCCTTCGCCGCGCGCCCTGTCTCCCCCCGTCCATCTCGGGGCTCGACAACTTTTGAACTATCCTCGTTGACTTGTCGCTGAACGACGACTCTATCCTTCATCCAATACCACAGAAACGAGACGCTCAACATGGCGCGCGACGCCAACGCCCTTGTCAAGACGCCGGCGAGCGAAGCCGACAGCCTGGACCTGCCGGCTGACCAAGGCCAATGCCTCAGCATACGCTGCGAGCAGTGCCAGGGCCGCGATAGCCACATCCGGCTCGAGTTTACCATCGCGGACAAGACAAAGCTGCTGGCCAACGGCCTCGAACTGTTCCCGAACCCCGGCACAGAGCACGGGCTGGAGATGACAGCCTCGGTCAACGACGACGACGCAAAGAAGGAAGATCCGCACGACCAGCTCATCAGCTACGGGCTCAGCGTCGCGCTCGAGGACAAGGACGCGACAGAAAACGTTTCGCTCATCAACGTCGACTACAAGATCCGCGAAGTCGACGGGGCCGTCGTTCAGGGGGTTCCCGTCGTGCATCTGAAGCTCATCGAGCTCGGCAGCGACGAGCTTCTTCTCGGCAGCATCACCACCATGGAGAATGACGACATCAACTGCGGCGCGGTCCAGTGCTGGGCCTACAAGCTGACGGGGGCGACGTTTGGAGGGCCCGGCGAAGAGGCCCTGCTCCGGTGCTGCAATCTGAGGAAGCCCCAGAGTGAGCCCTCGAGGAACACGACGGCCCACGATGCTCACGATTGGTACGAGACGGTCAAGCTAAAGACTCCGCAGTCTTTTCAGCCCATGCTGCTTGGCTTCGTGGCTTTTGCCATGCTCGCCGTGTAAGTTCCTTTTTTTGTTTCGTTGCCTCCGCGCCATGTACGCTTTCTACAAGCAACGACTAATGCGACCGGGCTTAGATTTGCCGTAACTTGCTCCAAGGCCATCTGCAGGCGCAGGAGTCGCAGAGCCGGCGGTGAATTCGGCAAGAAATACGCGTTGTAATGAAGTGGACCGGTCCAGCTTGAGCCGAGAGTCCTGTCTGCTACGCGTATTTAGCTTTCCTGGAGCCCGGAAGACATCTATTTCCCGTTCTCCGACCTCTCTTCCTTTTGTGTTAATTGGAGCTGGGCTGCCAGAGTCCTGGCCGAGAAACATTTGACCGCAAGTTAGCATTCGGACCTCCGTTCATCTGCATTTTGCAATGGAAACGACGCTCTGCGGATGCACATCATGGAAGGTAGGATGCCTTCAAATTACGTACCGATGCGATGCAACCAAGAGACAACAAGACGGTCGGTCATATGGGACCAGAAGCGTCCCAAGTGTCTAAATGTCGAACGGTGCAGTTTTCATAGAGTTGGCTCTAAATGAGCCCTGCGCAGCAGTACTCTTGTCGATGCCAAGGTGCAGAAATCCTGCGCAAATATGGAGGCTTTCAGCCATCTTCGGCTTTACGAGAGCCGTGCTTTCAAGGATTGGATATTGTGGCAGATTCCTCAAGTTTGGATACAAGAGGTCAACGTGAGGGCAACATGTATCCAATAGAGAATGACCAGAATCAGCGAGCCCGACTTCGGCGAAACTAATATATACGGTTGAGCCATTCAGACTGAGGCAGCGGAAGAGATGAGGGCTGTGATATGTGCCCATCATGAGTGCTTGTCATGCTGCCCCCAGTAGTGTTTGCGTGTGGCTCAGAGTGAAGATTGAAGCTCTCATGCCCTCGACGTGTGACCCGGTGGCGTCCACCCTCCGAGTTAAGGTCGCGAAATTCCAAAAAGCCCCCAGCGGGATTGTACTTGAACACACAAAGATCATGCCTTGGGTGCTTGGTCTGCGCTGGTCGAACTCGCCAACAACGGACATGGCCTGAACTGGACTTGGGACACCCGCGCTTTATATGGCGGTGCTCGTGGTCAGTACTTGGCCTGTGTCCGAGTCATCTGGGAACTGTCCAGTTGAGCGACTCCCGACCGAATCATCGACGGGCAGCAAAGATCTCTTTGATGTCTCGCCTCGGCCTTCTTAACTGTCGGCCCCATCGCAGTGAAGCATCCTATGCCGGGACCAACACCCTCCTGATGATTTCCTGCAGAGTTAGGCAGCACAGCTTGCGATGCAGGCGTTATCACACGCGCCTTTGTGCTGCATATGAGTCACACTGCCAGCCTACTAGCTGCAGTGCTGGGGGCTGCGAAGAATTCCACGGGACCTCCTGCATACATCAACATGTAGAGGGCATCAGCGCCGTATTTCAGCCTGAACAGCTGCAAAAGAAAACACAGGAGGAGTCGTTTCACGTTCAGCAACGCACTGGATCGTGTGTGAGAGCATCGGACAAGGCACCGAAACAATCAGCCCCCTTTTGCCGTGACGCGGATTGGGCTCTCGAGCAATCGCCTCCCTCCACGGCTGGCCCGAGAACTGAGTTGAAAAGAGCCAGTCCTTATTCGCACGACTCAGTCCAAGCTTGCACTCGGTTAAACACCATTGTGGTGGCCTTTACGCCGTATTGCCAGACGGCTCCCGTCGTCTTTGTCCCGGAGAACAGCAGCAGCCCACGCCTTGAACCATCCAGCTGAGCGCAAACATACGAACAGATCGCGAAGCCGCCCAGAAAGCGTCTCGAGACGAAATGGAACAGAGTCGAACACAGGCGACCCAGGGCCGGCGCTGCGATCCGTGCTTGTTTGTTGTGTGTGTGTGGCACCGGAACACAAAGTGAGCAGCAGCTTCATCGGACCGTCGTAATTCACAGCTCCGATTCAGTTCAATTTCCGCGGTGCTTAAGTAGCCAACGACTTTGGCGGCCGCTCTTCACAGAAATTCCTGGCTGGCTCGTTTTCCGTCCCATCTGTTGCCGATGTGAACCTCATCCTCCATGTGCAACGGTCCACTTTGATCCTGTTCCTGCGCCCGAACAGCTCTCTGTTCTCTCACCCTTTCTCTCTCTCGTCACACCCCTGGTCAGTCGTCAAGTACAAAAGGGCAGCGGCCCGTCACCCCCCTTGAAGACGAGAAATGCCACCAGACGAATATCGGCGCGGCGACAGCACCAGACGCAAGAACGTTGCCAAAGACCATCTGAGTCGAAAGGCGAGAAAGACCAAGCGACTAAACAGGGCGGCCACCATGAAACGCCTTGCAACCCTGCGTAAGAAAGACCACGCGCCGGCCGTGCCGTCGCCCCTGGGCAAAAAAAACCTTTCTATCGACAGCGTGCCGACGCCGACACCCCCGGGGAACGACTCGAGCGCAAAGTCTCCCAGTCCGACGCCTTCGCCGGCTGTGCCCTCGCCGCCCGGTACGCCGTCTCGCGAGACCTTGGATTGGGACAAGTGGTATCGTTCCCAGGGGCCGCGGGCGGAGAATTGGGAGGAGGACATTCGCCGAAGCATCAGTGAGCTGTGGAACGATACGGAAGCGGACGACAACAGTGGCCGATCCGGCGATGTCCCTACCGTATTGCAGCCCCCGGTCGGGTCGCAGAGGCCTTCAAGCGGACCGTCGAGCTCAGAATCGCACCACACCGAGTACGCGGCTGCGTACATGGCTTCCGTTGGCGGCCGTTCCGCCTCGCCGCGTCTCGGCAGACAGCAACAGCGGTCAAGCTCGGACTCTCGCGAGAGACCATCGCTGCGACGTACCAAGACTCGTCGTCCTGATGCGATGGATTGGGAGTCGGACGCGCCCAAGGAGCCGAAAAAGGAGTGACGCTTTGCCCATGGGCGGTGAAGCCGAGATTGTTCATCTAGTCGGGCGCATATCTCTGTGGATCTTTCTTCTTGAAACAATGGAGACTCGGTCAGCGGCGCCAGGCATAGCGAACAGAACGCCGCCAAAGACGGAGAAAGTAAGGGTTGGTTGGTTGAGAGCATGCAGAGCAGGAACGATGAAAACATGAAAACTGATAATTCATCCGAGAGCGCCGAGTGAGATTCGTCTGTGGTTGGAGTAGAGTCGCCGGTAGAATTGTTTTGCAAGTCAGGAGATCTGGCGTAAACACTCCGCCCTGAAGTGATCCTTATGGCTCGAAGCCACAGGCTGCAACGGGCAGAGGACACGACGTTTCTTGCTCTTATCAGCTAAACATGAGATATAATTCGGGGACTAGAGGGAAGTAATTGCTCCTCTTTCGGAGCTGTTCGGACAGCCTGTTGTCCCTTGACTGTCAGAGACCCAACCTTATGTGGCGATTGTCGAGTGCTTCAATACTAAGCTGTAAGATGGCGCAAGGACCTTGATTCGCTTAAACTCTGTCTATTGTCGCAGAGCCCGTTGGCCGGAGCCACGATGGCGCTGGGGACAAAGTGTCCTTGTCCGTCTAGTGACAGAAACGACGTCTCGGGCGACAAAGATAGGGTCTGGTTGCGAGGCAGAGGTTCCGCACTGCCTGAAAGCAATCCATGGCTTCTCGTGCCGACGAGTATAGCTGTATACAGCGTTGTGCCGTGATGACAGGGCATATGTACAGACAAGGCCTAGACTTGCCGGCGCAAGATCGACTCTCAACTTCATCTTTGCCCTTTACTTGTCCAGATTCGGTAACCTGCCGTGGAAAACGTTGATTCAATAGTCAATGCTACTTCCGAGAGCAAGTATGTCCGTTCTCATGCATGTATGGCCCGCAGGTTTTCGCGGTAGGTAGGAGTCAGGTCTAGGTCGATTCGTCGTTCGACCGAGAGCGCGTCGACAAGGATCCCGCGAGAGGTGCGGGCATGAATTCGACGAGCTCTAAGTTGGGATTGGGTCAAATAAGAGATGATGGTGTGGATATTGTGGCGCAGGACTGCACCTGAGTGAATGTTGGACACAGCTTGGTTGCTCAGGGGCACCAGGCCAGACGTTGTTGGAGAGAAGCCCCCCGAGTGTGCGAGGGGGTAGTTCTTTAGATTGTCGTGTGGGCAAAGTCAGGGAGGGAACTGTCCTTTGTCATGGCCTTTGACTGGACAACACCGAGGACAATGAAAGACGCATTTCGACCTGGCCCCCTTTCATCTCCTCGAGTGTGGAGTGCGGATACTCGCCCATCCAGTGCCCGCCGCCATGCATATCGATGCTTGACCCCTTGAGAAAGAAGACAGTGAATTTCGACATGCATTGTGAGACACGGCGGTGGCTTTTTCATTCACGGTGCTGTCGGGGAAGTGAGGCGGTTGAAGGATGGTTTGTCACAGCACGCACCGTGGCTATACAACTCGTTACCTGACTTTAACTCCAGATGGCTTCGTGTCACTTTCATCATAGCCTGCTGGATGCTTTGAAATTCTGCAATCTTTGGCTCTCTCACATTGCTTTGGAATTATGCTGAGGCTCACCAGGTGGCTATAGCAACGACAGTGAAGAAGGGAAAGAGTGAATAGCCAGACAAGGAGTGAAAATCGACTATAAATCCGACACGCCAATCGCATTTTAGATGGCCTCATGTCTGCAGCAGTCGGAGAATTTTACAAATACAATTTTACCATTCGTCATGTCCACATGATGCAACTCCCAAGCTCCCATGTCGTCCGCAAGACGAGCCAGGTCAGGCTTCTATGCTCGCCTTCTTCTCCACGTGCTGCTGGGTGACGTGCTCCCCCTCGGCGGCGCGCTGCTTCTCGTCGTGGGCGCGGTCCTGCTCCTCGGCGTGGCGGTTGCCGTACAAGCCGACCTTGTACCAGGGCAGATCAAAGAGGCGGTCCATGCTCTCGAGGCTGCGGCCGCTCGTCTCGGGCACCGAGAACCAAACCCAGATGCCGCCGAGCAAGGTGACGGCGGCGAAGCACCAGAAGGTGCCCTTGGGGGAGATGCCGCCCTGGGGGACGGGCAGCAGCATGTTGGGCACGGCGCGCGAATTGCCGTACTGGTTGGCAAAGTGCAGCGTCATGGCCCACGAGGTGGCGAGGGCGCGGATGCGCAGCGGGAACAGCTCGGCCGTCAGGATGTACTGCATCGAGTTCCAGCCCAGCGCCCAGCCGCAGCCCGAGAGGTAGATCATGGCAATGGCCCCGCGGCTAGCGGCCCTGTTCGACTCGGGCAGGACAAAGTCTTCCTCGACGCCCAGCTGGGGGACGGCCGTCAGGAACGAGGCCACATAGATCATGGCCACGGCCTGGAGGACGATGCCCGTCAGGAGCGAGCGCTTGCGGCCGATGACGTCGACGAGGAAGAGGGCGCAGACGAGGGCGGAGACGAGCTTGACGATGCCAAAGACTGCGGTGACGAGCAGGCCTTCTTCGCTGCCGGTGATGCCCAGGATGCGGAAGAGATCGGGGGCATACTACGACACGGCTCGAGTTACTAAAAGGGTCTAGGGGGCCTTGACAATAGACGTACAAGCGTGATGCTTCCCGCGCCACTCCATTGGGAGAGCAGCTGCACCATTGTGGCGAGATAGACGCGATACAGGTTGCTGCGGTCGAGAAACATCTCGCGCAGCTTGCCAAGCAATCCGACGCCGCGGGTGGCCTCGAGCTCGTGGTCGAGGGCCGCCTGTATGGCCGACACCTCACGCGTGACGTATTCGCCGTCTGCGGGAAGCCGCCGCAGGTGAGCCATGACCTCGGCCGCCTTGTCGGGCTGGCCCTGCTTGACGAGGAAGCGCGGCGACTCGTATTGCAGAAAGGTGAGGATGAAGATGATGCCGGCCATGGTGATGTGCAGGCTGGTCGGCACCAGCCAGCGGTTGTGGCTATTGGGATCGAGGTTGACGGCGCAGCCGTAGTTTGTAAAGTAGGCCAGAACTATTCCGAGGTAGACGAAGCCGGTGAAGATGGCTGTGCAAAGGCCTCTGATGGCCGATGGTGCTATTTCCGAAATGTAGACGGGGCTTCATCACGATGAGTTCAGTCGTCCTCTGTTCGGTGAAGGAAAGGAACAGACTCACCCGACGACAGGAGTCTGGCCAACGCCCAGGCCGGCAATGAAGCGCCCGGCATAGATGGCGCCCAGGCTCCCGTTGACGCCGCCGGCCATGAAGATGATGATGCCCGTCACCCAGAGCACGCAGAGGAAGCGCGTGGCCATGATGCGGCCGATGCGGTCACAAACCAAAAAGGCGCTGCGACATTAGTTTGGGTCAGCTGAATCCACTGGAGAGAACGGCGACAAGGAAGGCAGAACGGAGAGACAGAAGGACGCGCACATCAGAGCACCCGCGACGGAACCAATCTGGACCATGGCCGAGACATTGGCTTTGATGTTGGCCTGCTCGACCGACGAGTACTCGCCATAGCGAATCGTTTTCTTGAAATCGGGGGAATTAAAGGCCCCCGAGATGAGGCCCTCGTCGATGCCCCGTGCCGCCCCGAGCAGACCAAACGACACGACGGCGAACCACAGCCGCCAGTTGAAGACACCCTTGGGCTCGCCCAGGTCCTTGAGCCGAAAGATGTTGACGGGCTTCTTGACGCCGCCCGCCATTTCTGCTGCGTTTTCTTCTTTGTCGTCTTCGTCCCCAGGTCAAACGGCCTTCGCTAGGTCTAGCTCTTCTTCTCGTGCCTTGAGCTGACGGTGTCTTGATCTGTTGCAGATGGCGGGGTGAGATGAAGCAGCATGCCCTCGCAAGCCACAGGCGAAATCAGGAAAATATCAAAGACACACAGCCAGTCACAGGATCGATGGCTGTATACACCGCAGGGGAGGGGAGGGGAAAGGGGGGTTGATGAGGGGTATGCGACAGAGCAGATCATGTCTCGCCTCAGCGCGTTCATGGCTTCTCATCCTTTTTATCATTTTTTCTCCATCCCCACCAACGCCCCGAAACCCGAAAGCCGTCCTTTTAACACGAGGCTTGGGAAGGCGCCTCCCTGCAAGGCGGCTTACTAGCAGCAATTCGAACCGAGGCTCTGAGTTCCGGTGAGTGGGAAAACCGACGTGCGGGCACCCATCCACGAGCTAGCAACCGACGGCTCAAAGCCAATTTTTCGGCAATCGACTGGCTTCATTGGCTGCCGTCGACTTGTACATGGAATTGCCTCCTCCGGTTTACGCCGAAAAGGAGAGGACCTCTCCTTGCTCACTCCCCGCCTGGGTGTTGACTCGGGGTCGTGCGTGTGGGGGTCCAGGTGACCGTTAAAGCGCTGAAAGACAAGCCACTGAGACCAAAGATGCAGGTTTTTCGGGCTGGGGCAGCTTACTCTCGGCCAAGGTGTATGGTGTTAGAGCCTTGGTATGAAGACAGCCCAGAACGTTGCCCGCGGCGGCATGGCAGCGTTATCCATGCACCCAGCACCCATGCACGCTTTCTGGGGTATAGATGGGGAAAACGGATGATGAAAATTGGAGAGAACAGTCTCGTGACTCCTCTCCCCAGGAGACCGTCTCCCCATATTCATTCCCCGGATCTCGCTCGACCTCTGGTGCCGGCAAGGGGAACCCCTGTTCCTTTGCTTTCCCCGCGCTCCGCGCTCCGCGTTCCGCGTTCCAATCCTTGTTGTCTGCCGCCATCGGCCTTTCCTCGATTAGGCTTCTCCGCTCGGCGTCGTAGTTGTTGCCCTTGCCTTTCCGGGCCCGGTTGCTGGCGGTCCGTTCGCGATATCCGGAGGACGGGTTGCAAGGCTCGACCCCTCAGTCTTGCGTACTCCGTACTTCAAGTCGCCTTTCTTCTTCGCTGAAGGTTGCCTTGCCTGGCTTGTACTCTGCTTTTCTTTCTTCCTCTCAGTCGCCAAGTCTCCAGAGTCCCAGGAGCGCACCAACCTGCAACCCACTCAGCCGCTGGCAGCCGTCGGCTAACCTCCGACGGGGCGTTCCGGCTCTGTCTCCATCCCCATCACTCGGGGAGGTGCGCGGCAAAAGTGGGCTCGACCCCGGAATTAATTAACCTTGTGCGAGGCACAAAGAAAAACGGGGTCGCTCTCGTCAAAATATAAATTTCGATAGTTGATTTGAATGGGCGTCGGTCGGCGATGCTCAGCTGCGCCCTTCTCCGTTCGAAATAGTCATCCTATTTCCAGATGCAAAGCAGGGATCCATTGGTGTAATTCCCCCGACGCTTCGACGGATAATGCCCGCCACGACTCATGCCGATTCGCACGGCGCCGGGCTTGGCGAATTGTCAGCTGGCCCACTGTCTCCCTCCCCCGCTGCCGAGTCGAGAATCCGGGGCAAGGTCGAAGCAACACCGAAGCGAGCCCGTGGTCTCGACGCACCACTGCCCTCCTTTGCTGTGTCATGGACGCGAGAAAAAGGGAGATTAGGCAACCCTCCCTTCACAGCCGCACAACACCGCCCAATCAGACGGCATGCCAGTTCGCCCAGCCGCGGAATCCTTGCCGCTTGCTTCGAGCTGGCGCGGTGGCTGTCACCCGCCATGTCATCAAGGTGCAACGATGACTCCCGGTGGCAACCCCCGCAGTCTTCAGGCCAGTCTCGGGCTCGTGTTATGTCTGCCGTGCAGGGCCTTGTGCGCCCCACGGCCGCGGTTCGCCCGATTCTCTAATCCAAAGAGGGTGGTTCGCCAGCCCCAGAGCATCTGTGCATGTCCAGAGTCGCGCGGCTGCATGCAGGGTCTGCAAGTCGCCATTTTGGCCCTCGGAGATGCAGCGCAAGTCTTGAGGCTTGGTAATATCTTCCTCGGTCGGGCCCAAGTCGACTTGGGATCCCGGAGGAAGCCAGCTCCCCGAGTTCACGTAGTAGACTGATCTGATGCCTGCCCCGCGTCTCCTGGAGGGTAGCCGGCTCAATGGAGGGTGTAAGTTTGCTGTTCATTCGAAATGTGTGGGTTGGGCTGCAGCAAGGCGTTTCCCATGTGCGCCGAGCAATCGTCTCGCCCGTCTCGTGGTTTACCAACATATCCAGCAACAGGCCTATCGTATCTCTCCAAGCTCCCGAGCTGGCGACCGTTGCGACTGTGCTTGGCCCATGCTCAACGCCAGTCCTTCGGTACTCTTCTTCGGTACCCACTCCCTCACGTCCAATATCGTCCCCATGTGTCAAACTCTTCACGTGTACCCCGAAACTTGAAGTGAATCTCGGTGACATCTTGAAAGCCTTCCTGCACCTTGGGCTCCTTGAAGCGTGATGCGAAGCCCGTAAACGCCAGCTTCGGCAGCCCTTGCCTCGCCTCCGGGTTCAGCACCTTGTTGTGTGCCCGGACAGCGTCGTTGTGCTCGCAGAGGTGCAGCGGCGTCCTGAACCACAGGCATCGGATTGGCAGCTTGGCCTTCTTGGCCAGGTCCACCCACACCGCTCGCACGTCGGGGTCGGGGTTCGTATTATCTGTCTTTCAGTTAGTTCCATGCCTCGCACCGTAGCCGGGATGGCAGAGCGAACCAACGACTATTGAGCTGCCCCCGGCCATCAGTTCCCTGGCTGCCTGGACACACTTGTCCCGAGATTTGAGCGTGTCTTGGTTGACCCTTTCATAGCCCAGCGGCTTGAGATGCCTCCAGTAAAACGTGCTCTTTCCGGCTCCAGGAGGACCGCAGTACAAGACGATGTCTTGCTTATTCTTCTTCTCGAACAGACCCGATGCTCCCAGTGATGCCTCCTCGAATGGATGACTAGCCAGGTCAAAATCTCGATGAAAGTCCCTGGGCTTTTGCCCCAGGAAAAACTCCTCGGGCGTTTTGTAGGCGATTCCGACGTTGTGGGCAAAGTTCCTGTCCGAGCAACTAAAGTCTTTGGCAATAGCCTTGACGTTGCCGCCCCCAGTGCCGAGGCCCGCGATTCGGCCGCCAGCGTCGCCGACGAAGAAGCTGTTTGCCAGGTCTACCTCGTCTTCTGCCAGGCCGTAGTCGTCGCACACCGCCCTCCACATCCCTGGTCTTGGTTTCCTGTACATGTCCCTCCCCGTAGCTGCGTATACGCTTGTCGGCAGATCCAGGCTGCTGAGAACAGCGCTGCATTTTTGCTTGAATTCGTTGACACGCTTTTGCGCAGACGCCTTGGGGCCCTTGTAGCCGGGTTCAAAGTGAAGCATCAACCCACCCTGGTTGGAAAGAATGACAATTTGATAGCCTTGGGCTTGGTGCAGCTCGCGAAGTCTGCCGGGCACGCAGCTATCCCACCATTTCCAGTCGGTCGCGTTGCCTGCATGTTTTTTGCCCGACGACGTGGCGATCAGGGTTGAGTCGAGGTCGAATGCGGCTATCTTGCGGCGCACCGAGCCGTTTTCATCATGCACATCGGGTAGATAGCGGCCAACGAGCAGGGTGGCCGGGGCGGCGTCGTTCGGGGCCCTCTGGGACCATGCTGTGCGGTCTTTTGGCTTCTGCGATGTCGGCGTGAAGAAATTGGCGACGGCGGTCTCTAGCAGGCGGATCAGCACTTGCACAGTGATGCTTGGGGCCTGGGACTCACTTGTGGTGCCGCTCTGCAACGTGCGTTTAAGTGGCGGCGGAGAAATAGGGACATCTGTGGCATTTCGCTTCCCTGGAGGGCTCGAGGGTGGCATTGTGCGTCTGTCAACTACCTGTGTCGCAAGCTCATCATCGAGAGACGTGGAGCTTAAGGGGCGCGCGGGTCTCTCGGCGGAACGCGGTGGAGAACGCGAGGTCACGTGCCTGTCTGCAGCCTCTCCCAGACGCGATACTTATGCTCGTAGACGGCTCGCTAGCAAACACCTTACCAGCTCTTGGTCTGTGGTTTTCTCCAACGACGGCAACAACACTCTCGGCTTCCTGCCATTGAACAAAGCTCTTCTACCTGGCCCTGACGCCTCTCCCCGGGGCACATCCCTGGCTTCTCCTCGCCTCCAACGTCTGAATCCTCCACGTCTGGCCAGCATGTATGAGCTGTTCCTCACGGCCCTGGTCGAGCAAGCCGACTTTCACGCGGCCTGTGCCGTCTTGAGCGGCTTCTGCGCCATGCCGCCGTGGGAGACGGTCGGTCGCGTGCTCTACTTCCAGGGCCCCCCCCGGGCGTCTGGCATCTCCAACCAGACCTCCATCGACAAGCCCATGCGCAAAGATGTAGCCTTTCTGTGGAAGGACCTTCACCAGAGCCTCAGTCGTCAGTCTTTTGTCCTTCAAGCCCGGTATGAGGTTGCCAAGGAACGAGACATGGGCCCATCCGGTGTCGCAGTGGAACTCGACAGCACGCCCGGCATCTTGCGGTGGACGGACTTTCCCGATCCTCCGCATGGACGGCCGCTCCTCACTCAGCGCAAGATTGTCGAGATCTGGGAGCAGAAGAAGCTGCCGTCGGTGATGCGCGACAATCACTACCAGTGCGTCGTTGCCCTCCCTGGCCTCCGAGGCGACCGTGACTGACGCGACCCAGGTTTAAAGCCGAAACCGTCGAGGAAGTGTACCGCTTCTTCCGGGATGACATGGAGTTCTCCTTGACCAAGCACTACTTTCTGCAACCCATTAATGACTACACGCCGCTCGAGTCGAGAGCGCAGCCGTCTGGGCCGTCGACGACGCTGCCAGCCTGGGACTCGTTGACACCGGTGGACATGCAGAGTCGATGGATCCTCCACGTCAAGTCGCATGTTCTCCAGGACAACAAACCAGACGAGATCCGCAAGGCGCAGGACCGGCTCATGTCCATCCGCAGCGAGCTCGAGGGCATCTTTGACTTTAAAGCCATCGACCGCAAGGTGCACGACACGCGGGTGGCAATGCAGCAGCAGGGTATCCAAGCTCTGCCTCAAAAGGTCATGCTAGGAAAGACTTGAGGACTCGAGTGTCGAGATTGTATAACCATCGGGCAGAGTTGAGCGCTTCGAGCCGACTCTACCGCCTGTCCAGGCATATTTGTTTGTCTTTAGACCCGGCGTTGGCGATACCCAAAGGACGATTCAATTTCAACGCAACCTGCTTGCTCATCCTACGTGCTTTTCTGCGCCAGTGCCGTCAATTCTCATGCGATGCCTTACTCTGAGCTGTCTCTGCCATGTACCTTATGCGCAAGACTTGGTACGCCAGTGGCGGGTGCATCGAGGGTAACGAATCTCCCAGGCCGCCTACATGACACCTACGGACTTGAATCAGGTTCGCTTCCATCTCATGAGCGACTGTCCATTTCAAGGCGGCTGTGTCTGCCTGGTTCTGCACATCAGGAGCCCGGGTTGATCGACGCCCGTCAAGCCACTTCGCACTCCGGAACAAGTGTACCATGGGGTAAGCGCTTGAGCACCTTGGACGTCAAGTTGACGATGCCCAGATCAGTAATTGAAAGTGGTTTAGTGTCTGCAGAGGTCGCATACGATCCAGCCCTGCGGCATTAGTTCAACTCGGGTTTCTGACATGGGTCCTCACATCCGCCGGTTTATGCTCAAGTCACTGAATCACTCGCATGTGATGAGCAGATGGTTCTCCCCATCTGGGTCAGATCCGGGCTGTACGTAGCCGAGCGTAAGCACTCAAGACAGTGGCAGAATCAGAATCACGCAGTCGATGTCAACTTAATCTACAATGCAGAGGCTACAGATCAGATCTGCAAGGTGTCTGTAAGTGGCCCGGGGTAGCCGGGCAAGATCAGCGTGAGGCCACGTGGGTTTCGTCTTTTTCTATGAATTACCGAGGACGGCTGCCTATCTAGACCTTGACCATTGCTTGCCTTTGCTCACTGGCATCTTCACGGGCATCCTCATCGACGTTGCTCGATAGGGTTGAGGGAGCGAAAGCGTCGATCTCTACGCCTAGAGAGCTTTAGGTAGGATCCATCTGGACCACGAACGACGCTGGCAACGAGGGTCCATGTCTTGCCACGGTTAGCAGATCCCGCAGGCTTCGAGCATCCTGAATTGGAGCGCCAAGCCATGGGCGGCAGCTTTCCTCCAACGCCTCAATCGAGTACAAGATCGAGCGGCGACAGCCCTCACCATGACGGCACCGCACATACTCGCCTTCCCTCCCGCCCACCATCGTAGGTAGCGACGGCCCACGCATGCGCAGCCGGTCAGTCGCTGCCTGGGTGGCACTCGCGCAAAGCCCGCAAAACGACGTCTTGGCCCCTCTCTCTCTCTCTCTCTCTCTCTCTCTCGCCATCTGTGCATGTACATGCGCCAAGCAACACGGAGGGGGAAGGGAGGGGGGGATCACCAAGTAGAGGCCGGCTTTCGACGGCCGATCGATCGGCTACATGTGATGGGAGTGGAATGACACGAAGGAACACAGGAATGGAGGCGCGGGAGCGGGAGCGGAGCGGGAGAGCAGGGAAAACACTAGACTGGGCGAACACAGGGAGTAAGTGGGTGAGACACGGGCTGAGTCTGTGTCTCTCCTTGTCCGTTTCCCCCATCCCCCTTTTGCGCTCCCGACAAGAGTCAGTCAGTCCCGAGACGGAGCAAGACGGCGATGATCCCGGCCGGGCCACGCGGCGGAGGAGCCGGGTGTGGGTGGGCAGGTGGGGAGTGAGGGAGGGAGGGGCCGGACCGTCCCGTGCTGGCCGGAACGGGAAAAGGGGGGAGGCGGAAGCCAACCAGTTGGAGGTCGCTCAAGCGTGATATCGCCACATCAACGATGGCGGCTCGCGAGGAGGCGCGGAGTGTCCAAGAAGTGTTTTATCGAGCGGCAGACGACTGAACTTGAAAGGACGAAAATGAATAAAATGGTTATATACATGCACTTCGTATATATGTGTACTGTGCCTATGACATCGGCATAGACAGAGGAGAGAAACGGTCTGCTTCTCCAAGGAGAGCGCGCATGCATATACATACAACACACACACACAACACACACACACAACACACACACACAACACACACACACAACACACACACACACACACATGCATGACGCCTCAAGCCTGAGAGGCAGACGCCGACGACGAGAAAGGAGGAGGCGTGGGCCAGCGGTGACCTATCGCCATGCCGTGCTCGATCCTCCCTCACACCCCCGCGTCACCAGCCAGGCGGTTGCACATGCATACTGACCCTTCAGGCCCGGGCTCGTCCCACCGACGAACTGCATGCGCCGCCCCCTTCGTTTTCTGCGTTGCCGTGTTCCCGAGCAAAAAGGACCCTGCACCAGAAAAACGCGGCCATCGCATCGTTGATGCTTGACGCGGCGCACGTCCAGTACGTGCCTTGGCCGAATAGAAGGCGACTGAGAAAGGGGAGGGGAGGAGAGAAGAGGAACAGAACACGCCATTTTTTTTGGGGGGGGAAGGGCTGCTTCCCGTGTCAATGCCGTGCTCCGACCTGTTCAGTCGAGTCGCCGAGGCCCGCACGGGAGAGCTTGTTGAAGCAGAGGTCAAGGAGAGGTCGAGGATGCCTTGTCTCCTTTCCCATGCATCGTCGCCTCGTCCAGCAAGCAACCCGTACAGTCATCTTTCATATTTCCGTTCCTCTCCTGTTCAAAACACGGTCTCTCCCGCGGCACAGCCACTGCCGACCCCACGGCAAGGCTGAAGGAAGCTGAGCGAGCAAAGTGACTGATCACGATGCACCTCTTCGCGACGGTGCAGTGCAGCATAGACCAGTAACCGTTTCCGTCACCGCCAGCCTCTCCTCCTCCGCCCCGGCCGCTCACAAGGACACAACGACGCCGTCTGTCCATCTCCCTCCCATCGCCACGTGGTTTGTTCAACCTGCCTCTCCACCTGCACACACCGCACATAGATACACGCGCACGGCACACGTCGTGGCGGTTGTAGCGAGAGGTCGGAGTAGCAACAGCAGTCCTCGTAGCATACACGGCTAACGACGAACAAACACTTTGCAAACCGAACAAAGAACCTGAAACCCGTTCCTCTGCAACCAGATGCCGTCTCCCTCGTCGGCGGTGCTACTACCACCACCCCCTCCTCCCACCCGTCGTCCGATCCCCATGCTGCAGAGAAACAAAGGAAAAAACCTGTGAGACACGGGGCGTACGGGGTACATACATGGCATCGAGGCCGCGGCACCGCCAGATGGAAAAATAGAACCGTATCCCGGCTTTATCCCTAAAATAAATCTAAATCGTCTGCCCCCCCCGCGCGGGGAAGTCAAGCCATGCCATGCCATGCCATGGATCAGCTTGTGCCACCGACCAATCGCCTCGTGCGACATCGCCTAATTGGACCGCGTGGCCGTGTCGCGTACCGTAGGGCCCTCACCTGCTCAGCCTCTCTCCCTCTCTCTCTCCCTCTCTCTCTCCCTCTCTCTCTCTCTCCGGAGCAAGGGGGCCCATGTTGGACTGGGGAGGAGCAAGGACATTCACGGGCTGATCTTGGAACCCAAGTGTTTTGTCGTCTTTCTATTCGTTCTTGCCAGCGCTTCTCTGCGCCGGAAATATTCTGCACCTGCTGCCACCTCCCTGTCATCCAACCCGCTCTCGTCTCCCTCCCGCCCTTGGGCTGGACAAGCTGTGCGAGGTCAGTGCCCAAAGACCGCCTCCACAGCTTTCCTGCGCTGCAGCAGCGGGAATTCATCCTCCTAACCACGTCCAATCGCGGGCAAATCATGCATGTGCCCGTACCGTTCGTGACCCCTTCGGGGTGCCTCCAGCCCGGCCAGCAGCCGAATAGAAAGCATGTCATTCGTGGCTCTCGTCCCGAATCCACAGGATCCATTACCAGCCCGGACGCATCCTGTTGCGTCGCGCAATCCAATTCCTGGTCTAAACTTTTGTTCCTGAAGGGCCCCTCGCGAAAACAACCAGGGGTTCTTCGGGCACGTTCAACGCCGTAAACTGTGACATGTACAGATGTGTCTAGGGCGTGAGATGAAGTAAATAGTCGTGCGGCGACCCGCAGCCCGCTGAGATTTCTGAATGCCGTTGAGGCTTCAAAGATCCGGACAAGTACATGAAGGAAAAAAAGGAGTGACGGCGGTAGGGGGTATCTTTTCGCATTATCGCATAGAAAAAAAAGGGTACTTTTCTTGTCGAATAGTTGAAGACAAGTCGTGCGTCGATGTCGTGAAACCTCGTCGGGGCGGAGGCCAGGTCGCCCACGGCTTGCTGCCGCGGGCGCGTGCCGCCCAGCATTCGTCACTTGCGGAAACCGACCTTGTCGGCCAGGCTCCTCCAGAAGCGGCCCTTGGCGTCCTCGCTTCGAGTTCGAACCATGACGGCGTCCCGCTGCATGGGGCCGACAATGTCCTCGTCGCCTCGGCAGGGGAACTTGCCCTGCGCGTCCAGGGACTCGAGCATCCGCGGCACGACGCTAGGGAGGCAGTCTTCCACGCGTCGCCACTGCAGGTCGTCGAACGAGTCGTCGTGGGAATGCATGCGCCCGACGACGCCCACGGAGCTGCTGGAGCGGCCGCGCCCACGACCCCGGCTGTGACTGCGCGAGTGGCTGGCGGAGCCCGGGGCGGAGCGGCTGTTTTGGCGGACAATGTCGCTGTAGATGGTTTTCCACCGTCGCTCCGTCTCGGCCCACTTGGCCTCGGTCAGGGCATAGATCTTGCTCGTCTGGCCGTAGTGCTCGCCTGTCCGCACAAGGTGCTTGGTATAGTTGACCCGCGCCGCGTCCCAGTCCTTTCGGAACTTGCCCACCGTTTCCGCCGAGAGAGTTTCCAGCTCGTAGGGCAGGGGCGTGATGGTGAAGTTGGCGTGGCCCAGGCGGTCGGACCATTCGTCGTGCTCCTGCAAGATGGCAGGCAGCGGTAGGGGGAGCTCCGTGCCCGTGGGCACTTGGCGCAGAGACGTGGTAGACGGCCGGCTGCTGAGCGACGGGCGCGAGTAGGGCGGCGGCGGCGGCTGGGGCGTGGTGGGAAGCGCCGTGGCCGACACGGGCGCCACAGTGGGTGACTGGAGGGGCGACTCCTGCGGTGGCTTGCCGAGCGGATCGGTGAGAAGAGGGGGAAGAAGAGGCGTCGTGGCCAAGGAGCGGTCGCGCTCGAGGCTCGACTGCTCCTCCAGGGTCATCTCAACCATGGATGACCTGCTGAGGTCCTCGGCACTGCCATAGTAGGACATAGTAGAGCTGGAAGCCATACGGGGGGCAATCGAAAAGTCCTGGAAACGGTCGGGACTCTGCTGGTTCGAGGCCGACATGGACGAGGAGCGGCTGGACGAGAGCACGTTCTCGAGGCTCAGGTCGGCAGTGGGCGAGGATTTGAGATTGGCACGCCTACTCGACCGCCAGCGCTTGATGGTGGGCAGACGCGAGCCGAGGCGAGACGTCAGGCCGGCAAAAGGCGAGTTGTCGCTTGACTTCTTCTTGGCGGACTGGCGAGGGTCGGTTGAGCAGTCGCCGTCGCTGAGAAAGCCCATGTCGTAGTCGATGTCAAAGTCGCCCGTCATGTCGTCGGAGAACAAGCCCTCGGAGCTGTTGCGGTGCTGGCAGTCTGCATCACCTGCGACAGCAACAGGTTAGCGGGGTAGGGGTCGAGGGTACACGGCATCGACTTACAAAGACAGCTGTAGAGGCCAAAGTGCTCTGACGAGGGGCTGCTGTCGTCCTCGTAGAGCTCCATGGGGTCTTCCTGGACGTCGGGAAGCTGACGCTTCTCAGACTTGGCCGAGACATATTGGGCCGAGGGCGACGACGCTGGGCTCTCCTGCGGTGGCTGCGGCAGCAGTTCGAGCGACGACGAGGAGCTCGGGAAGCGCTGGTGGCCTCGGGGGGAGAATGTCGGGGTGACGGGCGAGGCGACATCGGACGAGGAGGAATTGGTCATGTAGTAGACGTGCGACAGGTCGGCGGCGTCGGGGCTGGCCTTGCTGTCGAATTTGCGGCGCTCTTCCACGAGCTGCGGTAGCAGCAACGGCTTGAGGTGCGGCGACATGCCTCGCGCGGGAGGGTCTGCGACCGCAGACTGTGGCCGACAGAAACAGTATGAGCGAGAGACGGTAGGCTAGGGCGAGTCGAAGGGGGAAGATGAGGTCGAGGTTGAGATGGGGGAGAGGCGAGGAGTAGAAAAGAAACGGAGACTGGAGCGGACAGAGGTGGTGGTGGTGGTGGTGGTTGGCAGCAGGCCAAAAAAAAAAAAGTACTTCTGGGGACCTGGCCCGTAGCTACCTGTAGAGGATGTGCTGGAGGTGCGGGAAAACAACAGCGGCGGCGCCTCAGGTGGTGGTGGGTGGGGACAGGACGAATGGTGGCAGGGGAGGGGGGTGCAGGGGGGTGCGGGGGTGTTTGTCAAGTACTGGCAGGTCGTCCAGGTGAAAGGCCGTACTTTTGTTGTCCAGGGCCCAGGTTGGGTATCGCCAGTACCGGGCTGGGGTAGGTACCTGCTGGCGTGCTGAGAACCGCGCGCCTCGGCGGTACCGGTACCTGGCGTTTGTAGCGGGGTGTTTCTTTCTGTGTTTCGTTTCGCGCCCCACCGGGGGCTGGTGGGTGCAGGCGGCGTGGGGCCCTGTTAGCGCCAATCGCCGTGGAAGCAACCTGACTGTATCCGACCCAGCAGGCAGGCAGGGCTTCGGGAGGTACCCGGGAGAGCTAGTGCTCTGGAGGACCTGGAGGGACCCCAACCGAAACTGGCTGACGAGGCACCACTTGCAAAGGCCCACGCCGCTCAAGCGCATTCAGGGTGGTGGTGGCCGTCGGGTACGGACGGTGCTGTCCCGTTGATAAGGATGAGGATGAGGATGATGTCTGCGGTGCCACCAAAGGACCTGGCGATGAAGGAAAGCCCGTGTCTCGGAGCCAAAGTCGGCCGAGGGCTTCGCGGAGGCTGGGGCTCTGATTTTCCTTTTTTTCTTGGTTCTTTAGCCTTGCGCCGACGACGGGACGCGGGAGGCTTGGCCGGGACGGACAGGGGCGGCGCTGAAGAGGCAGACTGCTGTGGGATATATAGTAGACAGACACTGGGTAGCCAAGGGGGGCTGCACCGGGACTGTGAAGTCGGCCGATTTCCCGGCATGTCTGGCCACGAGCAACGCCGGCCCGGGGGGGGTAATGATATTATAATATCTGACGACATTCAAGGGGACGGGGGCTTTTGATATGTACCCGTTGCTACTGGATGGGCGAAGACATTTCACGTAAGGCGCAAATGTATGTACAGTATGTATGTATGTAGATATGCAGGTGCCGTCGAGATGTGTCGACACGCGTTGAGACAGCGGGGTTTGGGTGGTGCGCAGTTACCCCGGGCAGGTTCCAATAGGCCCGTGGGGAAGCAGTACGATTGACCTCTTTTTCCTTTACTGTGCAGACAAACGAGCAATGGGTCCCTTGTACGGCAGTCGGCTGTCTGTCTGTCTGTCTGTCTGTGTGCTCGGGAATGATTGCACCACAGTTGACTTGGGATGGCAGCCGCCCTCTCTGCACACTGTTGGGCGCCATGGTCGACGAAACGGTCCACGTGTGGTTGAAGCAACAGCAGGTTGGGCGCCAAGCGGTCGGGATTCGACAACAAAGCCGGCAACGAGTGCCAAAGACGGCTGCTGGACAACAGCACCGCCGTTGCTGGTCCCTCTGCCGGTGCCTCTCGCTCTGGCTGTCTGGCTGTCTGTCTGTCTGTCTTTGCCTCGATGCACACGCGCGGAAAGGCTGCCTAGGCCGCAAAGGAAAAGCTCGCCACCCCGCGGAGGGGGGGGGGCTTGGCTTGGCCGCGTTACTGCTGCTGCTGCTGCTGCTGCGGTTCCAACGAATCTGGACTGCCGCTCGGCCACCTTTTTCTGCTCTTCTGTCGATTCCAGGCGATTTGGCTGCTGCTGGCAGGCCGTCCCAGGAAGCAAATGCGACGACGCGCGGCACGTGAGCTGGGGCCGAGGCTTGCCAGTCTGACGTGGTCTCGGCGGGCTTGGCTAAGCCTAGTACTTTGTACCTCGCGCACGTGCCGAGTCTGCGCCTCTGCCCAGGTTCCCGATACCGGGAGGACGAGTCATGTTTTTCTCTTCAAATCCATCGGCCATTGCCGATGCTGCTGCTCGACGAACCGCCCGGCGCAGGGTCTTGAACGGCGGCGGCGACACGACGCTGTGGATGAAAACGCTATGCATACATGGTCCGTTCATTCGGGCCATTGCTGGCAAGTTGCATGCAGCGTCGTCCTCGACAAGCACACACAGTGGCAGCCCATCAGGCCGTCGCACATATTCGTCTCGGACGGGCATCACGCTCTCTCGCGGCGAGTCACGATGGCGAGCCCAAGCCCGAGCGAGCGAGCGAGAAGCCTCTGGCCGGTCCCGGCTCCTTCTGACTGACTCCTCTCCGGCCTTGTCAGCTCCAGCGCAGGACTGCGGAGGCAGGCCAGCCAATGGTCGGGCGCGGGCGGGCAGGCTTCTCCATGCGGCCGGCCTCCGGGGGAGCTAGCTAGTGCGTAGCTTGTCGAGCTTCCCTGATGCTACCGATTGGGAAAGGCGAGGGCCCGGGGAGCAGCGAGAGAGGACTGCAACATGTGCGCTCCAAGTCCGCACGCGAGTGACTCCGCGCATGCACATACGGCACATGTCATTTTCCCACCTGGCTCGGGGCAAGCCGACCATGATGCCAGCACTTGGTGACAAGGAGAAGCGAGAGACGACGGCCTCGGCCGACCCAGCAGTCGTCTTACTAAACTCGTGCGTCCAAACAAGGGCCAAGGGCATCTAGGTAGGGCAGAGCCCCAGGCGAAAAGGTGCTTACAGCAACAAACTAATGTACAGTACATAGCTAGTAATCATCACCGCAACCCTGGCTGCAGTGTCCGGACAAGGAAATGCTACTCATCACTCATCCAACCTCGGTGCATGTGCCTCCTGCTGTATACTGTTCAACTATGTTAAATCCTTTTCACTCCCTGTCTTTTTCTTCTCTCTGCGCCAATTGGGAACCCGTTGCCCTCTGCAGACAGTACGTCTCCCCTCACGCGGAGGGGTGGGAAAAGCAAAGACATGGCTCATGGTTGGCCAGTCCCCAAAAGAAGACAACACGTTTCAATGCCCCATCATGCCCCATCATCAATAGGGCTTGGTTGTGCGTGATGGATCTGGCGCGGGCGGGCTACGACCGAAGAGACAGTGGCCCCGCACGCCACGCTCGGCTTCCCCAGGCGCCTCCTTTGCTTTCTTTCTTTTTTTCCTTTCTTCATTCATCTGCTCTTGCTTCTTTTGTTTGTTTTACTTTCCGCCCTGCCTTTCGTAGACGTCAATTCTTTTCCATCAACGTCAGAGCCTGCCGCTTGCCTGATTGCTTCTTCTTCCCCAACCCCACCGGCCTGGAACCCTGGTCCATGTCAATGTCAATATGCCTCTTATTTATTTTTTAGAGAGCTCCTGATGGCCGTGTTTCCTTGCCGTGCCCTGCAGGTTCATGTTCCCTTGTTCCTACGCATGCTCCCAGGTCCGGGCCCAGACGAAACAAAGAAAACACCGGGCGGTGTCAGTACACGTGGTGGCCGAGACGTAAAAGCAACATATTGCCGAGTCGAGTCGACAAAGAGGCTGTTGGTTGGCCGGCCCTTTCTTGTCTCGACCGTCGACCGCCGTGTCATGATCCTTCTCCCTGCCTCGCCCCCTTTCTCCCCCCCTCTGCCCATCTGTGCGTTGGGCAAGGGTGCGGCCTCGAGCCACGTCCGGATTTGACCTGTTCGTTGGTGTTCAAAGAGGCAAGCAAATACGAAGCAGGGTCTACTGTACATACCGAGTACGGATAGCTACAGTGTGTGTTTGGTACGTGCACGCGGAACCTTGCAGTTGCCCCGTTTGCTCTCCCAGGACAGGACTCGCGGGAGTCGACCAGCTTTGCAGAGACTGCCTTCATCCTCCGCCTACTTTCTTCTTCTCCCCGTTTCTTCCCCTTGGAACAGAACTTGTAGGGAAAAGTCAATTGAGCGAAGAAGGAAGACCGTGGGGAAGTCCCTTGGTCAAGGATACACGACATGGTGGCGCCACCGTCGACAAGCGTCGGGCGTTTCTTTGCCCTCTGCTCCGGGTGGTTTCACTCCCCCTTCCGAGCCTGTCTGGTTGATTAATTGCCATCACCCTCTGTCCCTTGCTTATATTAAGCACAGCACGCTTTCCTCGCTTGTTTCGTACCGCGATTCATTCATCGCTACCGAATGGAATCAGACAGTCCGTGTCGTCATGATCCCTTGCCCTGCCCCATCCTTGTCGGGATGGATGGGGCCCTCACGGGACCCCCCGGGCGATCTCTGGTGACCTGACACACACCCCTGGACGCTTTCTGGCACCTTCGGTTTGCGTAGGACCAACAGGCCTGGCCGGGACGGGACGAAGGAGAGTTGGCCTTGACCTCCCCTGGCTTGTTTCGTCTCGCTTGCCTGGACCATGGAATTTTCTGCTCCGTTGACCTTTGGCAACACTCGCCGACGGGATGAGAGAAACCAAAAAGAGGCGCGACGCGATCCTGGGGGGCATTGCCTGCCTACTTGAGACCGGGGGGCTTGTTGACTTCTAGCAAAGCGGAGATGGACGGATCCAACGCTTTTCTCGGGTAGACCGCACAAACCCTGGCGCCTTTGCTGACTGAAGAAGAGGAGGGAGCAAAACATGGCTCGGCAGTTGTTGGCGCCATTCGAGCCCACAGCTTCACTTGCCTTGTCTGGTCCTCGGGATCCGTGCTCGATTTTAGAACATTCTTCTACGACCGTCTGATAGACAGCGGATAGCTCTCTATCCTAGATTCCGGAGGTACTTGGACAAGTGGAGAGGGTGGTGTCTGCGTCCGGGAATTTTCCTGCTCAGATCGAGGCCGGAACTTACCGTAAGTTCCTCGTGCTGACGAAGTCTTTGTGCCCTAACAATTTGTCTGTACCTAAAGGTAGCTACGGATGTTACACCCGTGTGGAAGAGGATGAGTGTGTCTTCGCCGCCGCGCCAGTGTCGTCCTCAAGGCCACCTTGTCACCAGCAATTACCCGCCCCAAGAGCCAGGGTTGACTTTTGACATCTTGAAGCCTTGTCACCCAAGAGCTTACTCGTTAACGAGCTTCCCCGTTGAGCAATTGACTTTCTTCCGCGTCTCGGCCCGTTTAGCAACACCAAAAGAGTAGCGCCAGCGGCCCCAACTGGGAAGCTCTTCGCATATTAGCACGCTGAAGGCGGGCATGATCACTTCAGCTGAGCTCCAAGGTTGGCATGGCGTTTGCCCTTGGTGTCTACTTTGCGATGCACCGGCAGGAAACAGGTAAGGTCGGCCAGTAGATCCATCATCCAGGCCAGACCGCTCGCTCCGTGCTCAAGATGGTTGAGTACAGTACAGTAATTGCCTACCTGTCTGGCCAACTGTACCCAGCGGCCCTTGCTAATGCTTATGTACGAGGAGGGTCCTTGCTCATCAAGGATTTGACGGCGGATGGCTCCGGTCATCCTGGCTGTTCGCGATAGATGACCTTGCTGTGGCCTGTACAGGTCACTGACACGTGTGCGGGTGTTTCTACCGAAAACAAAGCAGCAATTGCAGCAATTGCCCGTACAGTACATACTGTACAGTGCGTTGGCGCTTTTCTCGTGTGTCGCCAACGAATCGAATTCATGATTGCTTCTTCCATTCAGCCTGGCAAGCGTCGGAGTCGGCATCCAGCCAGCTGGCTCGTGGTGCCTGGGAAAGAATATATCCGGCTGCTCGCTCATTCGTCCCTCGACCCAAGACGTTTCTTCTTTTAATTGATTAAAAGCAGGCGGGAAACAAGGGCGCCGATTGGGTTCCGTCTTCCCCGGCCTTGCCTTTACAGCAGTAGGGCCCAGGAAACAGGTTTCTCTCTCACCTAGCACCCAACCACCAGAGACTGGGGAGGGAACCCTGAATGCTGTCCCTACGTCAATGGGAGGAGGTTGGCTCGTCCATCAAGCCCGTACGGTGTTCCTTGACTGTACTCACACACGAACCATCGAGCTGCGCGTTTGCTTCGTTGGCGGCGGCGGTGTTGCTGGCCGAGACCTACCACCCCAAGCTCTCTCGCTCCCTACTGGACATGGACAGGCGCAGTATCATTGGAGAGGGTCGGCGACACCAACATCTCCGCGCACTGGACTTTTTGTTATCGACCAGCAGTTGGATGCTGCGCCTCCCTCGCCGCGGTACGGCCCGCCAGAGCCACAGCGTCTGACGGGAATCACGAGAAGCATAGCGCTTGCCGGTAGGTATGGCGTGCCGGGGGAGGGGGGGACAAGAGAGACGAATGGGCGCCACACACACCCTTGGGAAGACTTGCACAGCGCGTGCTGGTTCCACGGCAGCAGGACATAACACGAAGGCACAACTCGGCACGCGGGGGAGGGAGAGAGACAGGGCGTGGGAGATGGTTCGTAGATGATGATTATCTGACAGATGGATGGGCAATATCCGCAGGCAGTGCGACCTGCAGGGACAGGAGAGCGGCATGTCCAGTCGACAGCCAGCGTAGAAGCCCTTGACTGTCTGTCCCCTTGTCCGTACTCCCGCACGCACGCACGGCCAATCTCTCATCCCCTCCTCATTTGCAGAAGCCGACATTCGCCGTCCCGGGAATGCCGCCGCCGCATAGGGACAGCCTTCGGATTTGCTGTGTCCTGGACGGGACGGGAGTGAGCGGTGCCGCTGCTGCTGCATCGCCGGTAAGAGATGGGACGGGATGGCACTGATACATGTCTTGGTGCAGGCACGGCGTCATCATGGCGTGCCACCGAGCCGCGGAAAACGGCCGCGAGGCTCATGAGCGAGCCGAGTTGAGCATTCCGTTTTGTTTTCTTGGCGGGCTTCCTGCAGGACGGGAGATGCACAGGATCCTGCCCAGATGGCGATCTTGATTGGATCCGGTGCTTGGCATTCTGCTCGAGCCCAATGCGCCACGATAAAAGGGGGCACTTTCTGGAGAGGCATTCCGGTGGGTAGCTTGCATACATACAGTACAGCCCTTACGTGCATGCGCGCGTACGTTCTTGTAGATGCACTCATACATGCAGACATGGAGCGAGAGAGGCGGCCCTTTCTTACCTACAGCACTCTCAGGGTCAACAATATCTACACTGCTCCGTGCTCCTATCCAGGAGCTCCCGGCCTGTTCAGGCCAGGTCAGGTTTGTGTTTAAGAGCAGCACGTGTCTCGTCCTCCGTCCAGGATCGGCGAGTTTGTGTCCATGCCGTACAATGGGCTCTTGTCTCGGCGGCTAAGGGATTGTCTAACTGTGTCCTGTCTAATTCCGCCTGACACGTCTATTTTGGCACTCCTTCGGTGCGTTTCGGCCGCAAGTCTCACCTTTTCATGCTGTCTCTGTGCCTCCGGAGAGCGGCAAACAAACGCAAACCCGGCCGTCGCCCGAAAACCCCGAAGACAGACTACTGTAGGGGAGGCAATGGCTTGAATCCGATCGAACGGGCAGCAGGTCCTGCCGGGAAGAGCCCTCCATCCCATCCGGCCGGCGAGCCTTGCCAGGAACATGGGCGACCGGCCGCGGACCCCGTCCCCCGACCAACAAGAGGAGCGGGAAGGAAGAGGGAAGAAAGGGGAGAAGGAAAAAAACTCCGCCGCGAGGCATTTTCTGCTGCGTACCTTGCATTAGTGGCCCACCCTCTTCTTGTCCTGGAGGAGGGATCGTTTGCCGCGCGGCGTGATTTGCGATCCACGACGGCCGGCCAAGAACGGTGGGCAAGGCCGAGTTTAAAATACAGTAGGAACGGGTCATGTTTACGGCTTTTTCTACTGTACATACATGCTGCTGGATTGCTGTCGATGGCAACCCTGGCCTCCGTGTTAATGGGTGGGGTGTTGTGGGGGACGGGAGGGAGGGAGAGCCCGGCCACGCTTCGAGGCCCTTTGTCTCGGCTGATTGTTCAAATTACCGCTCCTGTGGGCTGTCGTTGATCCCCCGGTTGTTACATGCAGCTGACGTTGAGTTGATGACTTTCTTCCACACGCGGCCATGTCAATCAGGGCCAAGAGAAAGAGGCCAGAGAGTGGCATCATCTGCATGTAAGTCCATCTTTGTCGTGCTTTATCACGACGTTGCATTGCCATCTCTACCCACTGTTTCCGTACCTACATACACGGGCGTATGTCGGTACGCATGCGAGTAAGTATGTAGATGCAGTCCATCACCCCTGTACTCCGTACAGTAGCTGTAGATACTGTCGGGTAGTGGCAAGATGGATGGGAGACAGTGTGCCTCGAAGACGTCATTTATCGCAAGTCTTTCGTCTTTGCTTTCTTTTTCGGATTCTTTTCAGCTCCACCGTTGCTGGGTTGGTTAGTTGCTGCCGTGGACGTTGCACCGTTCTTCCTTTCTCACCCATTACTGTACAAACGGCTTTAGCTTTCCGTCTGAAGGAGCAAATCTGGCCAAACGGGATGGCGGGCCGATGTGGTAATAATTACAGTGCGCTCGGTTTGGGTGTAGGGAGGTTCCGTAGATACAAGCACATGCAATGCACGCATCGCATCTTGAGAGCCATCGTGGACCGGGCCGCGGTGTCCGTGTCGACGGCAGCACGTGCAGTGCATTACACACAGACATGCCTTGGGCTCGTACTCGTAACCAAGGCTGGGACAAGACAGGAGGGGCCGTTCACATGTCGACGATGCTGAGTGGGATGCAGCAGCAGGCCGATGAGGACGGCGACGTGGGTAAGGTATGGACGAATCGTGTCTGTTATCTGCTCTTCATCTGGTTCCTGCAGAGCACGCAATAACGAAGGGTGAGTCGATGGCTAAGAGCTGCCCGGAAAGTGGGCCGGATAGTGTTGTTTTTCTTCAATGCATGTTGTGTGCTTCTTGTCTACGAGTAGCGGGCCTCTTGTTTCCACCGCGCGAGAGAAAAAGAGTGGCGACGTGTGTTGTTGCTCTTTGGCCAACGGTGGAAAACCCTTCAATATTGGCGATCGAGACCGTTTGCTCGACCACACGCCCCCTCCACCTATCTTCCACCTACCCTCCACCTACCTCGGCCAACGAAAAGCAAGCCAGGAAACAAAAGAGAGAAGAATAGAAGACGCCAAAGAAGACGCCAAAGAAGACATGCTCCAGCCATCCACCCCACGGCTAGACCGCTCGACACAATGCTCTTGTGTTGGGAGGGCGCCAACGTGAGCAAGCAGTCACACGTGGGCATGTACACACATGTAGGAACGAAACGTCCTCTCGGTCAATTGAGTTTAGGCGTGGATCCGTCTCGTGGACGTTAAACTCGTAGACGATGGCGGCAGGCTATGCGTAGAGGCACTCTCGCACCCGATGACAAGACATACAGTCCGGCGTGGGACGAGGTGGGCAGCATTCATCCTGAGTTTTGCTTCACCGAGGCTGACCTGCATAGAGCTCGCTGCCGCGAACGTCGACGATCCATTCCAAACCATCCGGCCCATCTGGGGCCAGCATTGGCCAGGGGAAAAGCTTTTCCCTAGGATCTGCCCCGTGGTTAGCGGCCGTTTCCTTCCTGGACCCCGGACAAGCCAATCGTTTGGCCGACCACGTTGAATGCCAAGGCGAACTGCTCTGGGTCAACTAACTCTCGCTCGGTCTCTGGCTCTCGGCACTTTTCCTCCATGGCCGGAGACGTTTCTGTGTGAGTCTCGACGGCAAGCCAAGGTTCAATACGGGGGGACTTGTTTAGAGTACCAATGAGTCGTTCCCCTATGGCCGTGCTGCATTGTCGAGGCAAATGCCACAGACAAACACCAATATATGGGCCACCCCGCCCAATAAATCCCCTCCTTTGCCACGCCGCGGCGCCGCAACGGCTCTCGCTCGCTCGGGCGGCCGAAAGGAAGGATGGAGGCGAAGCCCGTCACGGGAGGCGCCGGTGTGGCCGTCGCTCCCATTCGTCGGGCCGGGTCTCATCTTTGGGCCCAACGCCGATTCCGGCCTTTTGGTCCATTGTGCGCCCGTCTTGGATTTTTTTTTTACATCGGGTTTCTTTGCATTGTCGATAGACTTTCTTTTTGTTGTCTTATTTTAGGTTTCGACGGCTCTGCTTTGAGTCTATTCTTGCTTTGGCCCAGACAACATACCCAACCAGGTGATGAGGAGGACGAGGGAACGATCGCCTGCCGGCCTTTGCCCCCTCCTCGCTCTTGCTCACCGAGGCTAGGAATGTGTCAGGCTCGGCTCGGCGGATGCGGAGGGGACGCCCAGAGGGCCGAGCAGGCAGACTGCCGTCTTCACCGATGCTGCCCATGACGGGCGGTGTGCGGTTTACGTGCATACGTAGGCCAACGGCGAGCTTGGACTTTTCCATGGATGCATGGACTGACTAACCTCTCGCTTCACGGAGCGACGATGACGAAGCCAGCTCGAGGCGTCTGTCTGTCAGATGCCTCGTGCCCAGGCACATGCTATAAGTGCCAATGTACTACTTGGGTTGGCAAATCACCAACCGACAACATCGAACCAGAGCCGACATGCATAAATACATACGTACAGTGCAGTAAATACGTGGATGCGTGTGGTTCGACCGCACCGTCTCCCTCGTGGCGCCAAGTGGTTTGGGATAGAGAGAGACCTTGGACGTGCGGCCTCTAAATCCAGCGGGCATTTTGAGCTGCCGCCGATGAGAGCGTGCATCTGAGACAACAATGACTTGGCGGTGGCTTGGATCGCACAGCACTGACTACTCCGTCCTACTCCCATGGCATTATCGCCGGCGGTCAGAGGACAGGAGACACGGTGCGACATGGCCCTGGGCAGCGGGCAGGGCAGCGGCTTTTCTTTGAGATGAGAGGTCACTTTCCTTCCGTCCGTCTCTAACTGGTGCGAAATACGGCCGTGTCTGCTGGAAAGCACCGAGTCTCTACCCGTGGGGGATCAACAAGCCTTGTGCTCGGCAGACGTGATGTTCTATGACGGGCTGACCACTATGCTAAGCCTGGCTTGCTCGCTGTTACCAGAACCTCATGCTAACTTCCAGATGCCAGTGGCAGAGATGAGCGGCATCTGGCCCAGCGGCTTACGGAGGCTCGGCTCCAGGGGCAAATCATTCATTCTCACCACGCTGCTTTGCAAGCGCCTGTTTGCAGGTCGATCCGTACTATCTACCCTTTCCACTAAAGAGATAAAAAGAATCGTCCTTGCAAAGTATGACCGGTGCCAGAGCCTCGTACGCACCAGAGAGTGTCTCGCAGTATCTGACTGAGGCTGCATTGCCGACACGTCTCGTAGGTCGACTCACCTTTGTCGCCATGTTAGAATTGTCCATTATAAATGAAATTTGTTCATCACTCTAGCACATACGGTCATACCTGCAAGAAAGTACCCGCTCTCGTCTGCTCGCGGTTAGTTAAGCTTGTAAGGGGCAGATTAGTAGTTGGATCGGAGACGGCCAGCGAACACCGGCTGCTGTATGTTTTTTTTGCCCATCTTCCCCTTCGCTATGACGGGCTCGAACCTCCTAGCAGTAAATCACCAGGCTGCAGGCTGATGAGTGTACAAAGAGCCTGAGAGCCAATCTTATGCCACTCAAATGTTCTGGTCCCGTTATTTTGGTCGCTTAGAACTCCTTTCTCGCTCCGTCCATAAATGTACATAGAACCACCGAGGGGCTGATCGGGTCATGGATGTCGACACTCACAATCCCATCAAGATTCCCCATCAGACTGCTGCCGATATCTCTCGTGTTCCGGTTTCACGCGCCGCAATCTTACTGTGCCGGCTGACGGTGTTCAGCCATGAAGCAGCCAGATTGCCGTGACGCCTGCCAACCACCCAGACATGCAGCATGGGTGGGAATCAAAAGGCTCATTCGATTTCCTATTATGGCCTCGAAGAGTCAGAGAGGACAGACGAGGGTTCAGCCTTTGTTTCTCCTCCGTCTGGTTCGTGAGAGGCACCGCCAAAGCAAATATCGAGACATCCACAGCTCAACCTTGTCGGCGGCTGGGCCATGCCTCGGATGCCTGGCCTCGCGATGCTTCACAGCCGGTACCAAACAATCTTCCTCGTCCTTGGTGAGACACCCGAGACACCTCATCGAGCGCTGCCTATAAACGCCAGCCAGTCGACAGCAAGGAAGCAAGCATCATGTGGTTGAAGACGCCATCCATGGCCGGTTCCCTCTCTTCAGTCCGGTCTTGTCCATTCGCATCTCGCGTCGAATGCTATGACTAACAGGGAAAGGCGACTTTGCATCTCACCGCGATTCCCTTGGCTTAGACCGGCGCACTTGCATAGCGCTCGCTTGTCTCCCAAGCATGGCCAACCGCGGCGTCTGCACAGCCCAACGGCGAGGCCTGGAAGCAGCTTCGTCACCAATTAGGAGCCAACCCGGTTTGGCTACCAGGTGCTGGGTACTATTCATGCCGTGGCACTTGGTCGTTTCCGCGGTTCTCGGCCGCGACATGGGTCGCTCACCTGGTGCCAGCTATTGGCAGTTGGTGCTACGAATACCCATAGCCCAGGTGAGATGGTTGGGTATGAAGAGAGCTGTTGGTTGCACACACACCCGTTTCTACCCCCTTGGAAGGGAAAGACGCTTACTGGACGAACACGCCGCCAAGTGGCCCATCTGATCGACGAGACCTGTGACGTCAAGTGGATGTCACAGGTCCGGCTTTGGTGGGCGGTCAGCGGATTACCCCGCAGATTACCGCCGATTACCCGCTTGCCCTTGACATCACCTCTGCCGGGTTGATGTCATCTTCGGAGCGCCATAAAGCGCGAAAGCCGGGACCGACGACGAGAAAACCAGTTCGACTGGATAGCCTGCGTTTGTGCGATCAGAATGCACCCTGTCTAAGGTCCTACATCCTGTCGGTTGCGAGGTTGCGGTGATTTGAAGCATTTTCTAGCCTTGACGCACTGGAGCTACAGCGGCGCTTAGCGGATGCATACCCTGTCTACAGGCCACTACCGCTGACTGTAGCGACGCAGCCCCTGACGGCCTGGGGCACTTTCGCCGCCAAGGTCCTCGTCATTCTATCAGACGGGTGTTCAAAATCACTGCGCCATCGACTTTTCGCTACCACCGACGTTGAATTGCCCCGACGCACGTTTGTGTCCTTTTTCGCCTTGCCTGTCCTTTCGGATGGCCTTGAACAACTTATCCAAAGAGCTGGGTCCACGTTCTTCGTCCATTTGCCTCGCCACGATATCTTCAGTTAAGCCGTCCGACTGGGCCCGCCTCCGAACCTCATCGACGATGATCTTGCGCGTGGAAAGGTAATTCTTCTCTGCAGATGGCCGCCATCGAGCACCCCAGTCTCGCTCAAGAGAATCCACAGAAGGCATTTCGCCCCAGCCCTGCCGCCAGAGACGCAGCAGCTCCTGTACAGATTTGACAGAACGGGGAGCTTGAAGCTCGGAGGTTCGCGCGGCCCAGGCGGCTCGCCATGCGCTCTTCCTGGGGGCTTGCCCTGGCCCGCTTGCACCATTCCTGCTGCTGCTCTAGAGAGCGGAGCGTATGTCGGACCGCCCGCTTGCGAAGGGCCTATCTCGGACCTGAGGACCGTCTCTCGTGGAGCGCGGCGCCTCTGTTGATGAGCTCCGCGATCTCCGCATGTTGACCTGCAGCACCTTGGCCGGGGCTGAAGGTGACGGTGTAGGTGGCCTGCGCAAACTCATCCAACTTTGTGCATAGTTCGTAAGAAGCCCCCAAAAGGTCTAGATGTCTTCGCTCAGCTAACTGCTCGGCTGCGACCTGTTGAGTCAGTACTGTGCGCAGCTTCTCCGCAACCACCGGGATCGCTTTTTGAATGACCGTGGTATGGCTGTCTTCGTGGTCCCGTGTGCATGTGTCTTGAACTTTGCTGGCGAACGCTTCAAACTCGGGGCAAGAGAAGACCGGATCCTGAAAGATAGGATGGTCGGGGTAGGACTCGCGAAGGAAGACAGCGTCCTGCAGGAGCACCTCTCGAAGCCACTCCAGGAGTTCCAAGAAGGCGCCGGCGGCCATGTTCTGCTCCACCCGAGATCTGAGAAAGGGCTACTGTGGGCCTCTTTCCATTTGTCGAGTTGAGGCCAGACCTGCACGAGTAGCACCACAGGCGGCCTCACGGTGGCCCGGGGCACGAAATAAGACCCCGACCATTCAGGGTCAAAGTCGGCCACGGCCTCCTGAATTCGAAAGGCAGGAAGTCAGATAGCAGCCGGTCATTTGGTCTCCGTTATTCCAACGACCGGCTCGGCGGATCTGTATAGTTCGGGTCAGCCCAGGCCAGGGGTTGGCGGCTTGCCTAGGGCAGATGACATGCCTGGCCTTCATCCACCCGGCCATGTCGGCGTTTTGCGTCGCGGCCACTCTAGGCGCGTGGCTGACCTTGGAGACCTTGATGCCGGCCTTCTTGTAGAACCTGGACGTCCATTCTCGGGCAGTCTGGCCCGACAACGGAGCTGTATATTCGGTGAGTGAAAGGGTCGATGCACCCTCTGAGTTATGGGATTCCGGTGAATGCCATCACGCTTACCTTGAGGCTCCTTCGCCGATCGGCGGAGCACCTTCGTTTCATACCAGTCTTCGCTTCTTTGGAAGACGGAAACCTTTCCGCCTTTTCTACCTGCCAGCGCCAGAAAAGCCAGAACGCGAGGGCGCCGATGAGACAAGATCGCGGATCTCGATGCCGCAAAGCAGATCCATACTCCATGCGGCCGTGCTGGTTGGTCTTCCCACAGTTCATCACGACAACCAGCGCCTTCGTGGTATACCCTGGGCCTTGAAGCCCTCGTTGGGTAAGTCCAGGGAAAGCAGTCTGCCAACTCCATCGGCAGGCGGTTGCCGGACCGCAGCAGCATGTGGTTCCCGAGCAGAAAGTCCACCTGCGTCCTCAGGGCGCAGGCGATCTCTCCTCTCGGACCATGCCACGTTGGTGTGGTCGGGCATCTGCGCCGGCGCATACACATCTCTCAGAGTTCCAACTCCCTGTCCATGTATTCCTTCCTCTTCCGGCTCCAAGTCGTTGCAAGAATGCTGCGTTTGAGCGCCTTCAGTGCCACCCCGTGGCCGGGCCGCAGGATTGACTCCCGGCTCTTCTGCTCGTCGTAAAGCTTCTGTATGGCCGAGACGTAGCCCCGTACAGTATTATACTGTAGTTTGAGCGTGGACTCATACAACTCCAAGTCGGAGTCTGACTCGTATTCGCTACCTCCGCCGCCTACAACGATGGTATCTGCTGGGGGAAGCTGGGTGTTAGTATGATGGGCTGGCTCAGTCCGACGACCACATCCCGTGATCAACATCTGTTACCTGATGGTGCTCTGCGTCTTTTCACGGCCCTCTTGGCTTCCTGAGCCTCGAGGTGTCGTTTTCTTTCATCGGCGACCCTCTTTCCTTTCTTTGGAGGACGTGATGCCACTACCTCCTTCATGAAGAGCAAGAGCTTTCCTTCATCGACCAGGTCTCCCGGTAGCTGTTGGCCCTGTGGTACCGAGGCCGGCCAAACGTCCGGGATCGCAGGCCAGTTGGCTTGACACCACTCCTGTGAGGCAGTCAATGCATGGATCTACATGAAGATTGCAGGGCGCGCATGCGGGCTTGCCTTCCATTCTTCCTGCTTGGGACGATAATTTCGCTTCGTATTCTTCGGCTGGGTGTTCTCCAGATCTAACAGGTAGTGCTCAATGGCCGCCCTGACCCGGGGATCCTCTATCGCGTTCGACATGGTGCAGGCGGTCGCCGTCGCGACGGTGGCAATGGAGGAGGTGGTGGAGGAGGTGGGAGGAGGGAGGTGGAGCGCAACGCGCGTGAGCGAGACCGAAATCGAAGGTCTCGCGCAGGGCCCCGCGGGCGTGGACCTTCGATTTTGCCGTCCGATGGCGGTAATCCGACTAAGAAAACGCCAGCCCCGCAGGGCCGGGCCTTCGAAAACGACATGGTTTTGCGTGGGGCGGGGCGGTAATCCGATTACCGGATGACCGGTCAGCCGGCCCCGGGACCTGTGACACCACCCGTTACTTTTCTGGGTCCCCCACGGGTACCCGTGGGGCCCCAATTTACAAGTCTAGCCCTGACGCAGTAGGCATGGGGATCTGAGTCTCGGTCTCGGTGCAGAGCGCAGTGTCAAGGGAAGAACCACACCATCCAACTTGTTCCAAGACAAGGGCTGCCTTCCAACCCATGTCTCTCATGCGCGTTTCAGCTCTATACGAAGCTGACGTGGTGAACTGCGACAGACCGCTATTTCAGCCTGTTACACAGCTCGTGCCGGGACATGAGCATGCTTAGCCGCGTCTTGGGTATTTAATCCTTTCAGGCACGTCACTGTCACTACTCAGTTTCGTCGTTACTCCATGTTCCAATAACAGCGTTTAACAGTTGAAATTCAAAGAGTGACAGACTACAAACAGATCACTCAAGCCCGCTAACATGGACATACGTACCCTAGGTACAACATTATTTTCGCTGCTCCTGGCTTACAGGGCAGCAATTATTTTCTACAGGCTCTATTTGCACCCCCTGGCCAGATTTCCCGGTCCGAAGCTGGCGGCAGCCTCAACCCTATACCGCGCATACTACCAGTGCTGGAAGCATGGGAAGTTGCTACACAAAACCATTCACCTGCAAAAACAATACGGTAACTCCATATATCACTCAGATAGATCTTGTCTAAGAATCATTTAGGGCCAGTTATTCGCATTTCTCCAAACGAGGTAACCGACCGATGCACGGTTTGTAGTATGGTATTTTGGGCAGCTACTTACAATTGGTAGCTGGAGTTCTGCAGTCCGGCAGCATTTTACGATATTTATTCTAGCACATTCAATGGAATTAAAGATCCAAACTTTTACGCTCACCTTCGTGGCGAGACCGACTCATTCTTCAGCATGAGTGACCCGGCACTGCACAGAGCACGCTTTGACCCGTTGTCCTCATTGTTTGCAAACAGGCATGTTGATCGGTGCGAGCCTAGTATCAGAGAAAATGTAAGTTCTTCCTGAGCGGCCCTGGATTGACCTTGTCTTGCTGATTCTAAGGAGGTGGAGAGGTTCAGCAGCCTCCTCTCACTGAGGGCGCAAAACGGTCTGCCCTGCAATCTGGCCAAGGGCTATCGTTCACTTTTTCTGCGCATAATTAACGAGTTCATTTTCAGTTACATTCCTATAGACCTGAGATCCTTAGCAAGCGAGGACTTTGATGATCCGGTTACTGTTGCCATTGGCAACGCAATCAACTGGACACTGTGGTTTGCCAGGAACTTTCCAAGATTAAATGCTGCTGTTAATCACCTACCCCGCTCATTAGTGTCATTGGCAACTGGCGCTTTTGACGGGATGTATCAGGTGTCCGACGTAGGTTCTTCAAACCTCAAGGTGTTCCACAAGCACTTACATCTCATACAGATTGTGGCAGATCTTGTCCGCCTTGAGAAAAGACAGACCGCACAGAAAAATGCGGACTGCATAATGCAGCGCCTCATTAACGCTCATTTGAGAAGTGAGTCAAAGATGGCCACGCCTCTTTCGGATGCGGTCCTGCGGTCTGAGGCTTTTGGAGTTTTGCTGGCTGGTGGCTTTGACCAAGCAAATATTCTGGCTTTCGGCACGTTCATGACGTCGCAGGACCCGCAACTGCAGAAACGTCTGTATGAGGAGCTCCAATCTGCTTGGCCCGACGTTCGCACTTCTGTGCCGCCATATGAGATTTTGCGTCATCTTCCCCTGCTTGTGGGTATTCGCTGTATACGACGCACAAATGCATTTCTAACGAAAGAATACAACGAACACAGAACGGAGTAGTTAGAGAGAGTATACGTCTAAATGGTTTAGCAACTGGGTTTGCCCGATTAGTCGGCCCAGGTGGTGCCAAAGTCGACGGCCATAGCATCCCTGCAAAGGTAAAAGCCCACTGTCTCGGTCACATCGCTGTTCGCCTTTTATAACCCCCTACAGACTGTCGTTGCCGCGTCTTCGTATTTTGTACATATGGATGCGGCAGTATTCCCTGATACGGATAAGTTTAAACCCGAAAGGTGGACCACCGCGGACCAACCTAATTCGCTCGTGGCCTTCTCGAGGGGACGAAGGATGTGTCGCGGTGAACGGTATGCCGTGTAATGAATCGTATTTTCCTCTACCGCAGCTAACTTCCACGGTAACCTGACAGCTTCGCACTTATTGAGATTTTCACTACATTTGCCACTGTTTTTCGGAGATTTCACGTTGATCCACATAACATGTCGTCAGTACCCCAATTGTCACTTCGAGGATCTTGCTTGACACGTCTCAACAGGGAAGAAGACTTCGCATGGGACCAATACTTCGCCATAATATATACAGGGAAGCCCCTGGAAGTCATTTTGAAAGAAAGGATAGACTAGAGGCGAATTGGGAAGCAAGCCATACCAGCGACATTCGACGGTGTGCGTCTGGTTATAGCATTTCTTCGGTTGCGGCGGCGAGTATCCACAACGGTTCTAGTTCCGAATATAAATTGTCGTTACTGTTACTCTCAAGCATAGGCTTGAGAGCACAGTAGAGGAAATAGGGGCATAGAAAGGTAAATTTAGTAATATATATCTTTGTTGAGGAGAGAGAGTGGGCATAAGAGGCCACAGTCATGCTCAGTAGACCCAATAGTCATGCACAAGGAAGCCTGCCTGAACAACATGACTCCCCTAGCCCAAGGACACTATGTAGGCCTAACTCAGGTATAGGAATATCCTATTGCCCTCTTTTAGCTAGCTATATATAGTCACTGTACCTATATAAGCCCCTCCCTTGTCCCAATAGATAGACGAAGATATACATCACTAAATTCACCTTTCTATGCCCCTATTTCTTCTACTATGCTCTCAAGCCACTGCTTGAGAGTTATAAGCCCGGCCTACACGGCTAGACTATCTTTTGCCCGCCGATATTACCTTTAAAGCTATTTACGAGCTATTAACGCCGTTATAACGCTTAAATTATAGTATTAAGGCAAGGAACCTAGCTATACTAAGGGGCACTACTAGAAATACACGAATTATACGAATTACGTATCCCTTAAAGAAGGATATTACTTATTAAGCTAGAACCCCTTATTTTCCTAAGATAACGTTAAAGGAAGTAAGAGGGGATAATTATATCGTAAGACTAAAGGAAAGCCTTAATTAGACCCTATAGATTAGGGGGATTAAATCGTGGGCCTAGACTCACGAGATTTAGGAATATACTAACCTAGACGGCATAAAGGAGCTTAAATAGCCCTAATAGCCGGACTAGGAGCAATTTATTGTTAACCTTAGAGGGAGACCTTCTTAACGAGAAGATAAAACCGAGGCTACGTTCCTAGCGAGCGAATAGCTATAACGAACGATACTAGGATATAAAGGACTTTCGCAACCTTAAGAAAAGGTTCTAGCTATAATTCGATCGCTATAAGGTCTAGTAGAAAGCCCTAATCGCACTCGAAGAATTAATTAAGAAAACGATTAGTAAAGGGCTTTAGGGGATAACCCTAATATATAATAGCCTAAGAGAGAAAATTATGGAATTAAAGAAGTAAGCCCTACCTTTAGGGGTAAAGGAGAAAAAGCTAATTTACGAGAGATATACGACCTTTATTAATAAAAGAGGCATACGAGACTAGAAAGCATAGGTAGAATAGCTCGACTAAATTATTATAGATTTACGAGACCTTAAGGTCGATATACTTAACGATATAAGAATTAGATAAGACTTTCTTATAGCGGTAGACGAGTAGGACCTATATTAGTCCATAATAATAAGGGCTCTCGACCTCTATAATAAAAGACACGGTAAAGATTAACTTCCCCTAAGGAACCTAATCGCTAACTTTAAATAAGAATATACCTATAGAAAGAAGTCGTAACTACCCGTAAAAAGGGGAAGCGCTAATTAAATTTCTAGGAAATTAGACACCTAAGCTAAATGCGCTAGCTATAAGTAGCACGTTAATAGCTTAATAAGCTAGTAGGAAAATTGCTACTTACTATAGGTAATATATAATAAGAAGCCCTTAATAGGCTAGAAATATAGTGATCTAGCTAAATAGAATATCGAAAAACGGCTAAAGGACTATTTAAACGAGAAAGTAAAATGCATAGCCTAGACCCCTAATTCCTACCCTAAAGGAAGAGAACTAGCAGATACTATTATTAGCAATAACGGGCTAGGAAAGACTATTAATATAGTTACTTTATCTAGGGTAAATACGGCTATAAAGGGAACGCCGTTACTTACCGATAAATTAATATATAACTTAGGGGCCGATATTAACCTCTTTAATAACCTAGGTTAGTTCTAGGAAGGAACCTTTAAGTAGGGTTCTACCGACGAAGTCTAGGTTAGAGACTAAGCCTTTAGGGTATAAGGAATAGGAATAGCAGTTATCCCTATAATTAATAGTAGAAAGATAACCCTACTAGATGCCTACTTTATCCTAGAAATGCCGATAAGTGTCTTCTTAGCTAGGCTAGGGATAACGGTAGGGATATTCTAGAACTAGCTCCTAGGATACCTTTATTTAGAACCTATAAAGGAGGTTCGTATTAAACTAACCGACTTCGAAGGTTAATTCGTAATAGGAATACTCCTATAGCATAAGCGGGTATTCGCAGTTATATAAGCGCCTAAGCCGCTAACTAGGGGGGTAGGTAACCTATAGCATCGCCGCCTTAGGCATCCTAGTCTAAAATTACTAGAGAAGCTATTAGAAGCCTGCTTAGGTACTAAGCTTTAAGGCCCTATAATATATAGCTATTAGATATACGCAATAGGGAAAGCTAAGAGGGAAGTCTTAAAAAAAACACTATCCTTAAGGCCTAAAGGTCCGGGGGTATAAGTTAGCTTCGACCTTTACCCTAGCCCTATAATAGTATATAACGGGGAAAAGAACTTCGCTCTATTTACCTATATAGATATATCTATAAGGTTCTATTACCTAATAGAAAGAAAAACGGGTATTAGGGATATCTTTAATAACTTCGTAGCGTTACTTAAGACCTAGTACGGAGTTAAAATAACTATATTAGTTACTAACGGGAAAGGGCTCTTTTAATAATAGAATAAATAGATTATATAACTAATAGAGGGATACGAGTTATATAGTTAGCCCCTTTAACGCCTACGTAAAACGGTTACGTAGAGAGATTAGGGGCAATAGTAAAGGAAAAAGTAAGGGTTATAAGGCTTAACTTAAAGCTTCTAGAAGAGCTATAGCTAGAGATATACTATATAGCGGTATACCTACTTAATATAATACCCTTCGAATTATATAATTATAGCTAGCAGAGCCTATATAAGCGTTAGTAGACCTAGATAAAAGAAAATAATCTACTATATTACTATATTAAAGATATTAAACTAGATATTATATATTTAAGGGTCTTTAGCTATATAGCGTTCCTAATAATAATTACGGTATTAGAATATATTAAGTTATATAAGACGTAATTACCCCTTAAGTAGAGAGCTTATATCGGCTACCTAGTAAGCTATAGGTCTACTTAATAATACGTCGTATAGATACTATTAATTAGATAGAATAAACTAATAGTATTAGCTAATATATAGTTTAACGAGTCTATAAGCTACGATATAAAAAGAGAAGAGTAAGCCTAGCTAGTCTAAATATATAGCTACGATATCCTTAGAGATATAGCCGTAACCGACGTTATAGATAGCGGGGAACCTAAAACCTTTAGGGTACTAAGTTTATCCGACGATAATACGGATAACGGTTAGACGCCGGAAGAAGTAATTACCCTCTTATAGGACCTATTGCCCCTATATACTCCGGAAGATTAGGGATTAAAGACGCCCTTATAAGGATTACATAGATATATATATCTTTCCCCTCTAGAAATAGTAGGCCTAGGGATAGAGATTTTAACGTTACCCCTTCTACCTAATACTATATTTAACACGGAGTTACTAAGCTCTATGCCTCCTACGCCCGCAATAGATACTATAGCTAGCAACCCCTCCTATATCTCGTTAGGGAGATAGCTTAAAGATACGATACCTATATTAATCGACTCGTCTCCTTAAGACGAACGCAATAATATACCTCTTAACCTAGGGGGTAAAGGAACGATTATAGTATAGGTTTAAGAAGATAACCCCTAGTCCGAACCCCGCACCCTTAACCTAGCGGTTAGTAGGGCCGGCTTAAGGACATTATAAATATAAGAATAACGTAGACGAAAGGATACGTTATAAGGGATTAACCTAAGCAACGTTATTAAAGGAAAACGGGCTCGTAGGCCTAAGAAATCCCTTATTAATAATATTATCGTAAAGGTAAGTAAGTATAAGCTTTACGTTAAAGATATACCGCCTCCCCCTACCTCCTTTAACGCGGTAATAGCTTTAGAATTCGTATACGAGTAGAAGGAAGCTATAGACCGCGAAATAGAGGAAAACCTAGTAAGGGGCATATAGAAGACTATCCTAAAAGCTATTATTAAATAGAAAGGTTACTTCCTAATCCCCTTACGTTAGGTCTTTATATATAAGACCGATAAATAAGGGTATATTATACGCTTTAAAGTATATATTATAGTTCGTAGAGACTTATAACCCGAAGGTAACGAGGATATATATATAGCTACCCTATAAGTACGAATATTTCGACTACTAATAGCCTTCTGCTGCCTCGAGGACTTCGAGACGGAATAATACGACGTAAAAACAGTATTTCTATACGCAATCCTACGCTAAGAAGTCTATTGCTAGCTCTACCGGGATTCTTAATGCCTAGGCTATGCCTAAAGCTATTAAAAGCACTATACGGGCTCTATATCTCTCTAAAGCTATAGTTTAAAGAGATATCTAGTTTCTTTACTAAACTAGGAGCCTAGCAGCTAGTAGAAGACGCCTACGTACTAGTCTATAAGGGCGTTATTATCTTTATCTTCGTAGATAATATCGTTATAATATATCCAAAAAGGCAAAAATAAGATTAGGAAGAGCTATATAAGGCTATTATAAAGAAATATACCGTTGCGTATATAGGAGAGCTACGCTAGTCCCTTAGTATCGAGATTATTAGGGATAGGGATCTTAAGAAGATATAGCTCTCGTAAGCTTCCTATATCTCTAAGACCGCAAAGAAATATTATATCCTTAATAATAATATCCTTCGTAAGCCTAAGATCCCGCTAATAATAGAAGAGCTTGTCCCCTACGAAAAGTAGGCCTTAAAGGAAGAGATATATAAATATCTCTCTCTAATTAGGTCGCTTATTTATCTAGCAATTTATACTAGGCTAGATATCGCATTTATAGCCGGAAAGCTAGCCTAATATAATTATAACCCCGGGCCGCGCTATAGGCACGAAGCACGTAAGTGCCTAGCTTACCTCTATTATACGAGAAACCGCTATATCTACTTTACTACGATAAACCTAATAAGGCGGCTAATATATATATCCGACTCTTATACGCCGATAACCTAGAGACTAGGAAGTCCTTATAAGGATACGTATTCCTACTCCTTAGTAGGCTAATTAACTAGAAAGCTACTAAGTAAGCTACTATAATAACGTCCTCTATAGAAGCTAAATTATTAGTACTCTTATAGATAGCTAAGGAATAGGTAGTATTTAGCCGACTAATTAAGGAGCTTAGTATTAGTATTAAAGGGACTATAGAGCTCTAATATAATAACCTTTAGACTATTAGTGTTATGCACTAGTCCCTCAGTACGGGGCTAGTACGTTAACCTTGCCGTCTGCCCGGATCCGGTGCGGGTCTAACGGGTAATAAAACGGACTGGCTACCGTACGTAGGTTTTAAACGTGTTATACGGACTAGCTACCGTACGTTGTTACGCGCGTTGAATACGGACTGGCTACCGGTCTTGCGAGTTAAAGTGAGAGTAGTAATGACTGTCTGTATTCTTCTCTGCCCGCCTAAAATCTAGCGGGTTCTCTATCCTCTATATATACCATAGCGAGCGTAAGACCTTACTCGGGGCTTTAACCGAGTAATGTCTTAACCTTGTGATCGTGCGACAGTGGTGCGGTGTCTTAGTGGCATTTCCCGGTGTTTTCCCCGGGTAGGCACGGGTATTTCTCTATAATTTCCCCGCTATGTTCTCGTGGTAACTTCTTAGGGAAATATCGGTGCAGTCCCTAAGGAACTTATTATTACTCGGGAAATTATAGTGCATTCCCCGTGCAATGTGTCCCTAGGGGAAATCTCCGTGAAATGTCCGTGCAATCCGCTTGGTTGTCGTTTCCGGGAATTCCGGGTGATTTCCCGGAGTTTGCCCGGTGGCTTCCGGGTTCCTTCTTCCGCGGGGAGCCTTAGGGAGTTAGGGGTGTCTTCCTTAGGGGAAGCAGATGTCGTTCCGGGTACCTGGATTGTCGACCGTAAGGTGTCCCGTAATAATTAGGCTTCTAACTAAATTAAGCGCGAAGCTTAAGACGAACCTTAAGCACGTTAACGTTTATAGATACTAGCTTCGTTAGGAGGTATAGTAAGATCGGATATAAGTTAGCTAGATCGTATTAGCAGATAACCTAGCTAATAATATAACGAAGGCGCTTATATACTAAAAGCATTAGAGCTTTATTAAGCAACTAGGACTAGTAATACGGCCGGAAGATATATTAAGAGATAATATATATAACTACCGTACTAAGGCGTGATATCTCCCTACTATAGCGAACCCGATAATCGCCGGATCCCGATAATAAGAGCACTACTATATATACTAAGATTAGGGGATTCTAACAGCGTAGTTAGATCTTAATTTAGTTAAGAAACTATAAAGATCTAAGGGGTAGAAGTTAGCCCTATTTACTACTAAGAAGTAAAGCTATTACTAGACTACCCCTTAATTAGAATAATACTATAGCGCTTAAACTTACGATAATCGCGATAGCTTTACTAAATTAAGACTAATTAATATAAGGAATATATTATTAGAAAGCCTACCTTTAGGATTACTTTTATCCTAAATAATAACGTCGCCGGTAAAGGTACTACGGTACCTAGGCCACCTAAAGGGATGCCCCGCTATCCCCCCTCCTTATAAGGAAGGTTATAAATATAACTTATAACTACTAGTTAAACGGTAAGAGTAGGTTATATAACCCTATTAATCGTAAGTTCGACTCCCCCTAGGGCGGAAGAGTAGGTTATATAACTACGCCCTAGGGGGGGCGCGGTTAACGAACTTAGGGGCCCGAGGAGATAGGATATATAGAGGAGGGTTCTCCTTATATCCTATCCTCTCGGGTCCCGGCTTTTGCCTTTTGCTGTATTTACCTTCCCTTTTTTTTTATAGGATATAATTAGGAGCCTCCCCTATTTTTAGACAACCTCCTTAAATAGACAATAAAGTAGCCGAATTTAATATCGGAATAACCTTATATTTATTAGACCGAACCCTCCTCTACCTATTGCCCTACTATCTAGAAGCTAGTGTAATAAGGGGGTGTATTAAGGAGAGAGAGTAGGCATAAGAGGCCACAGTCATGCTTAGTAGACCTAATAGTTATACACAAGGAAGCCTGCCTAAATAATATAACTCCCCTAGCCTAAGGATACTATATAGGCCTAACTTAGGTATAGGAATATCCTATTGCCCTCTTTTAGCTAGCTATATATAGTCACTATACCTATATAAGCCCCTCCCTTATCCTAATAGATAGACGAAGACATATATCACTAAATTCACCTTTCTATGCCCCTATTTCTTCCACTGTGCTCTTAAGCCACTACTTAAGAATCTTAGTCTATCTATTAGGATAAAGGAGGGGCTTATATAGGTATAGTAACCATATATAGCTAGCTTAAAGGGGGCATTAAGATATTCCTATACTTAAGTTAGGCCTATATTATATCCTTAGGCTAGGGGAGTTATATTGCTTAGGCAGGCCTCCTTATATATAACTATTAGGTCTACTAGGCATAACTCTAGCTTCTTATGCCTACTCCTTAACAGGACCCTAACTCGTCGATATCGTGGGCAACCCGTAGATGGAAACCGACATACATCTATGTTTGAGGCTGCCTGCGAACGATGCTGTTTTCCGGCGCAAAGATGAGCGCCGAGCTATCTAGCTGCAGAGGCGCTTAATCGATGTTGAACCGGTTGTGGCGGATAAATCGCTTCGGGTCGTCGACAAAATCGTAAATCTCTCGGCGAGAACCACCCTACATCTCCTTTAGCCGACAGTCGGGCTGGCATAGGACCTCGAGCACTTGGTTTAGCCCCGGAGAAATCGCTAACAAAAGACCTTAGAGATTCTGCATCATCAGAATGCTGTCGGGTATTCGCCGCATCAAGCATAGCGCCTCGATCTAGTGCAAAAAGTACTGCTTCAAGAAGACGTGGATCTGCTTAAAGTCTAAACCACGCATCAAGGCTCGGGCGCCCTGAAAGTGGAATACCTCATGCAGGCAGGCGTATTGGACCTCGGCCGGAATGTGTGACTCGACTTGCTGCTCGTTGATGGTGGAGTCGAGCACTCCTATTCGCTCGAGCCCGTAGATGTCTTTACGGAGGAGCTCCGTCATGAGTTGTAGAAAGCGAGTTGCTAGCTCGAGGTGGGTCTTTTCCTCATCAACCAAAAGGGACTCTGACCCTTCTTCTCGGCATTGATAAGAAAGTCGCAAAACGAGAGATGGAGGAGCCTTACCGGAGACTTGGCCGACTGCGGGACGCTTAGGACCGAGTGAAGCATGCGCAGCTAACCGTCGACGGTGCCCTGGCTAACACGGAGGATCCGCGAAAGACTTCTCGTGGAGAGGGGGTTCGCGAGGATAACAATGGAGCCAACGATGCTGCGAAACTTTTGGAGAACCCCATCTCTCATCTTAAAGCTTAAACCCGCAGTCAAGCTGGCTAGCATAGGGCGATATGTTTTGTCTAGTTCTGATTCCTGACTTAAAGTCCGATAGCGTAGCACCTCTTGCAGCCGCTCGTCTGGATTCCCGCGTTGAAATCTAGCGAGAAATTGACAGATGGTGGCAGCAAATATGAAGAGGGGAATGGCCACGTCCACCAGGCATTGCACCTGCGACGGCTCGGGCCAATCTTGGGCCAAGCGTCCCTCTTCTGGTGCTAGGACACTCTAGTCTCTGCTGATCCTCTCCAACTCATTTCGGAAGTAGAGGGCCAGGTCGCGCCTGATTGAGGCCTGAGTTATTTCCTGGAGGATTATGTCCTGGTACTTGCTCTTGATGGAGACGAATCTAAGACGAATTGGCTCCTCTGGCCGACTGGTGATGAAGAGCTGCAGCCCTAGATTCTGGTAGCTGCGAAAGATGCGCAGGACCAGCTTGGCCCTATCCGCTACGTCGCACTTATCCAAGGCATCAACAAGAAAAATGATACGTTTGCTCTGTCCGGGAGGCGAGCCTGCCAATAAGGGTTGTCGAATAAGCTTTTCAAACTGCTCTTGAGCCATTTTCTGGGGGAGAGAAGGGTCTTTGTCCATAGCGCTCTTTATATAGGGCGCAACAGCCGGTCGTCTTGTCGCTAGCTGAGAGGCCATTGTCGTGAGAAGTTTGGATGGGTTATCCCGATGCTCCTCGCCCCTCTTGAAGAAGAAGCTGGCACCTAGCTTCCCCGCTTGATCAGGGGCGTCAGCGACGGAGCGAGATATGGTACACTTGCCGGTTCCTGCCATGCCGTTTAACCAGAAAACTGACTCGGCGTCTGGATCTCCGGCCTGTGCCATAATCTCATCGAGGAGCTCGACGCGAGTATTTGGCAGGCACCTCGGATTGTGCTCGTCGGCGTAAGATATAAAGGCGGCTTGGGGGGCAACTGGCAGGCGCTCTAATACCGTCTTCTGGTTGTCATCGAGCACTGCCTGGCTAGAGAGTCGAGAGTTGATGAGCCGATAGAGGAGATAGCATGAGGAGCACGACGTATCTCACCGCAAAATCTCAACCTCCTTCTTGGTTCCGCTCGTCGCCGTTCCGAGGCCTCGGAGGTCCTCGTCAACTTATAGTCGGTTAACAGCGCCGACGCCAGTACGCGAGATATAGAAAGGTCTAACTCTAGTCGAGCAGCTGGCCAATGCCCTTGCCAGCTTCCACCTGGTCCGGCATCATCTCTTAGATCAGCTCCTTCGCATCCGCGGCAGCTTCCATAGCTGCGTAGCCCTGCCACTTCTTGAACCAATGCATGTCGGCATAGTCGCATATGCCACGCACTACGATGCATGGGAAGTTGTTTATCAAGCCCGCTGCCTCCATCTCAAAGCACAGGACGTTTAATTCCTTGGCCAGAAGATCCCGAATCTCTGCGTTCTCTATGAAGTTGTCGGCCGATGCGATGAGGCCGTAGTGGACAGTCGGGTCGTCGTCGGACGACCGCCGTGGACGAGTCCCCCTGGTATTGGGATCCACGGCTTGCGTAGAGTCTGTCCGTCTCTGGGCCCGGCCGGCTGTATTCCCTCCGCATCCTCGGCCTTTGCTGGAATATCTCCTCAATGGTCCTATTGATGGTGTTGCCCTTTCTATTATGTCTTATGTGGATCCCGGGCGCTGCGCTTAGGAGGGCATCGGGCGGTCGACTCAAGTATCGCATGCTCTGGAACCTTTTTGCCTGCATTGTCCTCGCGTGGTCATACTGGATCACGCCGCCGGGGTTGCGGCTCTCGGGATGGAAGCTCGGCGTGCTGACAACGACATCTCCAAGGCGAATATCATGATCCTCACTAGGTGCGCCGCCTCCGATGCCCACCATGAGACAGGCTCGGACGTTGGGGAAGGTGTGCCTCATGTCCTTGGCCACCCTCGCCGCAGCCGCAACGCCGTGCTCTCCCGAAGGCAGGACCGCCATAACCACGTTGTGCTTGCCAATCCTGCCTAACGTATAGTGGTTCTCGTCGTGGCGATGAATTCTACATCGGCGGCTCGTGCTCGTCGTCGAGAAACTCTTGTGCAGCGGCGTATTCGACATCGATGGCGCTGATCCATCCGATGGTATAGCTGTTTGGATCTGACATGATTGCTCCTGTCTGTTGCTTGTATATACTTTCCGCGTTGATGTCTGGTCGATAATCATCGGCGGAAGGGGACGAGACGAGACGAACAGACCGAGCCTCCGCCGTCTCCAAGTACGAACGGGATATAATTGCCCTGACTTCCGTGGCCGCTTGGTTGAGCCGCTCAGCTGACAGGGATCATCTAGGCAGCCATGCCTCTGTTATTAGTCCGTAGGCTGAAACAGGCGACGAATAGCGAGCTTTGGATGAGCACAAAGTCAGCGAGAACGAGAGTGGCATTAGGTCGCCCTTCCACTTGCTTTGCTTGGAGGCATAAGGTTGAGCCACCCATGCATGACTTTGATGGGAAACCACCACCAAGTTCTGATCTGGATAATCATGAGCACGGCAATGTGTTCAAATCCTAACTCCCACGCCAATGCGGTCGTCAGCGGAGCGGATGGAACCTTCATGTTGGTCACTGTGGCCGCCTCCACAAGAACGACCCTGGTATCAATCATGCGTCATGGTTTTACCCGTTCATTGGTCAATCTCCTCGCGCAACAGCAACAGCACAAGTCCGCCATAGTAGAATTGGGAACCACTCACTCCCATTGGCAAAGACGAAAGACCCTGACGGGAGCAACCCCGCTCCATGGCACGACGCAAACGTCTCCAGGTAACGTTGTGCTACGTGCCGCCTGCAGGCCGCGGCTATAAGTGGCCATTCCCCTCAGCAAGACTTCGGTATCACCTCATGGTGCATATCGTAGGGGAAGTCATCATGCTTGGACCCACGGTTGTGACAAGCCTCTTCATCGTCGGCAGTGCTTTCAAAGAAGCGGCGACTTCCAAAGGACCCTCTGCGCAGCCCATCACGTCGGCGCCAGGCCAGAGGGGCGTCATCCCTCACTGGGACTTGCAGTCTTCGTCCCTTGTCGAGAAGGACCTCGCCCGGGTGTCCGAGCCTGGCCATGATACTTCGGCATGGTACCGCATCGGGACTTCGCGATGTACAATCATGGGGTGCCTGTTGGCTGCCGGCATCTACAACGACACGGACCTTTGGTACTCTGACAACCTCAGTAAGTTCGACGCGCGCCAGTTCTCGGTGCCATGGGTCTATAGAAACGAGTTTTCGCTCGCGGCCAAGGACGGCCAGCACTTTATGCTAGAAACGCACGGCATCACGTCGAGGGCGGACATCTTTCTCAACGGCAAACAGGTCGCCCTTCACAAGTGTCAGGCTGGCTCATACGGGGGCCACACGTACGACATTACCAGCCTGGTGGAGGATGACAACGCCCTCGTCATCAACGCTCATCCCGCTGATTTCAACTACGATCTCGTCCAGGGCTTTGTCGACTGGAACCCGCCTCCGCCGGACAATGGCTCAGGTGTTTGGCGGGACATAGCCGTCAAACAAACCGGTCCTGTGTCCATGGGCCGTGTGAGTGTGTCGATAGACATGGAGCCACCCGTGGAAAAGAGTCCTGCCAAGGTTATTGTGCGCGCCATGGCACAGAACTTGGAGGATCATGCGGTGCAGCTCAAGGTCAAGTCGACTGTCACGGGCCCTTCTGGCTACGGCGAGTTGTCGAGTTGCCAGGATGCAGTGGTGAATTTCGGTCCCGGAGAATCGCAACCTGTCGAGATAGCTCATATGATCGACAAGCCGAGGGTATGGTGGCCGAAGCAATGGGGCGAGCAACCTTTGTACGAGACTAAAATGACCTTTATGGTCGACTCAAAGGTCTCGGACGTGTCCCGTCAATCATTCGGAATCCGAACCGTGACATCAAAAGTAAACGGCCACAACGACACCATGTTTACGGTCAACGGCCACCCGTTCCAGGTCATTGGAGGTGGCTACACTGCCGACCAGTTCTTCCGCTGGGACAGAGAGAGATTCCTGGCGATTGCAAAGTACAGCCTCGACATGGGTCTCAACACCATCCGATTGGAGGGCATGATGGAGCATCCCGAGCTGTACGAGACTGCCGACGAGCTGGGAATCATGATCATTGCCGGTTGGGTCTGCTGCTCCAAGTGGGAAGCGTGGAAGCACAACCACGACCTGCAGCTCGACCCTGTTCCGTATTGGGTTGAGAATGATTATCAGACGGCAAACGCCAGCATGATGCACGAAGCGGCGATGCTTCAGCCCCATCCAAGCGTGATGGCCTTCCTCGTCGGGAGCGACTCCTGGCCCAACGACAGAGCTACACGCATCTACGTTGATGCGTTGAGAAATGCGCATTGGCAGACCCCAATCATTGCGTCGGCAGCCAGGCGGGGGTATCCGGAGATCCTTGGACCCAGCGGCATGAAAATGGATGGGCCGTACGACTGGGTCCCTCCCAACTACTGGTTCGATACGGAACCTTCCAAGGACCGGCTGGGCGCTGCTTTCGGGTTTGGGTCCGAGCTGGGCGCTGGCGTGGGAACCCCTGAGCTGGGGAGCCTGAGGAAGTTTCTCTCCCAGGGCGACATGAACGATCTCTGGGCGCGGCCCGACAAGGACTTGTTCCACATGTCTTCCAACAGGTCGTCGTTCCGGAACCGCAAGATCTATAACCAGGCCCTTTTCCAGAGATACGGTCCTCCGAAATCGTTGGACGACTACCTGCTCAAGGCTCAGATGATGGACTATGAAGCGACCCGGGCGCAGCACGAGGGCTACTCGTCACGATGGAACGCCAACCGACCGGCAACGGGCACGATCTACTGGATGCTCAACAACGCCTGGCCCGGCCTTCACTGGAACCTATTTGACAGCTACATGCACCCGGCAGGATCATACTTTGGCACGAAGATGGGGTGCAGGATCGAGCACGTCGCGTACGACTACGTCGATCAGACTGTCTGGCTCATCAACCACTCCCTGGTCCAACGAGGCAAGCGCAAGATTGTCGTTGAGCTGATCGATCTTGACGGTAATATACTGTCTACGCAGAGTTTCCATGCTCGCACCCAGGCAAACACAGCTGAACGAGCCGGAAAGGTATCCAAAGTGAGCAAGGTTAGCAATGTTGGTTTCCTGCGCTTGATTCTGTTCGACGAGCAAGGCGTCACTGTAAGTCGCAACGTGTACTGGCTTTCCAATTCTATCGACGCGCTGAGCTGGAAAAACTCGACTTGGTATCACACCCCAGTGTCGGAGTTCGCGGACTTGACTGCTCTCAGCAGCATGAAGACGGCAACTGTCACCCTGCGCCCATCGTGCTCGAGTTCTGGCTCAGGTGACTCTGCCCAGAAGTCGCAGCTTCTGGAGCTTGAGAATCAGTCCTCGACCCCCGCCTTCTTCATTCGCCTCAATCTAGTCGACGAAGCGGGAGTGGATGTAAATCCCGTGCAGTGGTCAGACAACTATGTCACTCTGTGGCCAAATGAGAAACTCCAGCTCCTAGTTGGCTACTCCGACATGGAAGTTGAAGGCGGCAAGGTGACAATAAGTGGAGGAAACATAAAACCTTCCGAAATTTTGCTTGGGGGGTGCAACAAGTGACGCTTTGCTCGCAGATATTAATGCACGCTGACTTGTGTGAAGCTACTACATGCTGTGGGAATCATCATCTGACTTAACTATTGGGAAGCCAAATCGTATATGCACCTTTTAATGTCGAGTTTGGCTCCATGCTGCAGACACCCAAGCTTTTACGCCAAAGGCTACGATACCAGGCAGAACGTTAGTGATGAGGATGGGAAAACTCAGCACTGTGAATTGAGTCATATTCGACACAGGAGGCTCTTTATCTCATGATGAAGCTTGAGTAAATTTTGCAAGATCGGTGGTGCGACTGCAGAAGACAGATGTAAGTAGAGGCAACAAGCAAAGGACCACGATGGACGTGTAGGGCAAGGAATTTTGATTAACGAGCCAAGTATCACAAAACACTGTCAGGGAGGAAACTGTATGCAGTGTGCCTAGACGCGAGTTGGCCATTAGAGGCTCTCTCGACCCCTTTCCCGCACTCAAAGGTACCGTCGGGGTCCATGGCCTGAGGACTCCCATGGAAGGTGTGCAGCGTGCGGAGCGTACCAAATCGTGGACGAGGGCGGCGACAAGTTGTCTCCCGGTGTGTTCAGGGCAGGCCAAGGAGAATTGACGGCCGCTTCTTCGCCATAGAGTCTGAGCTTGCGCTCTATATTCGCGTATGTGGTTGAGATTAAAAGATTTCCAGATTCTCCGCTTGGGATGCATTCGAAGGGCTGTAAGCTCTTCGGACGAAGTTTTGCCCTTATTCATGGGGCCTTGCTGTGCAGTCATGCTCAATCACTTGGCTCCTCGTCAATCCTCTCCCCGGAGGTGCTGGTCCACGGCTCAAAAAGCTGCGCCCCCTTCATCAATCCGCCAACGGTCTCCCATAGAGTCAAAAAGGCAAACAGCGCCATGACCACGGCCATGAATTCCGTCGCGTTCAGGTGACGCACTGTTGCCGACAAGATGACGAGGATAATGGCTACAACCAGCCGCATGCCGATTCTTACGTACTTGGGCATGACCAGCACATTCTCGTCCTCTGATCGAAAGAGCATTCCGAAAATCCATAGGCAAAAGAGACCGACACCAAGACCGCCGCCCAGCAGCCAGCGCTCGCCGTCGTTGAACTCGTGCAGCTTGGTGCTGATGGCGCCAACGTGCCCGCCGATGAGCAGCGACGCGGACAACGGAATGTGAAGAGAGAAGAAGGCAAATGCCGTCCAGACCGAGCGTCGTATTGGATGTGTCGCTTCTAGGCTGCCGTCTCCGCTGACATAGAGCCAATTGAGGCAGAAGGCGATGATGAGGGTGAAGACGGCCTTGACGTATCCGCTCGTGAGACCGACTCCGGCCGGGTCCCCGACAATGACGCTGTAGACAAACTCGCCCAAGATGATGATGAAGAAGGCCGCCATGCGGTCAATCTCATGGGCAATATCTACCGCGGTGCTGTACTTGAGCCTCAGGCGTTGCTTGATCCAGGGACTCAAAGCGAGGGCCCACGTGCCCTCACTATAGAAGATAATGACGACGGTGACGGCTGCCTTGGCTTGAATGCTAACGTTCTCGAGGAAGAGCGGCGCCGTTAAGACGAGGCCGACAGTCATGAAGCCCGCCATGATGCGCGACTGGATGCGGTGGTGGTGGCTCGCGAAGGAGCTGATGACAAAAACCGACAAGGTCGTGAAGCGGGCAACGACGTAGGCACCGACCGTAGTGCGAAGGGCACTGAGGTCCTCGTCAACGAGGCGAGCGTTATTTGCGTAGAGCACAAGGAGCGCCATGATCCAGAGGATGATGAGACGCTGTGGAAGGTCATCCGTGTAGTAAGAGTTCATCAACTCCCGCGTGTCTGACCATATATGCCACGCAGGCGTGAAAATGAGGAGGAACTTGGCTAGATGAGCTCCGTCGGGATGCTCGGCGAGGTCATCGCTGAAGTTGGCAACAATGGCGACGTCTGGTGAGGCGCGACGAGGACGGCACAAATCGGGTCAGATTATTGCGAATGTGGCTTTGGCGCGGAGGAAAGAAACGGCAAGCAGGGACATGCCATGTCCCTGGACCTTTACTCACAGAGCAAGTCGAGGAACAGCTCGAAACGGCCGGCCTGCCGCTCCTCATCGCTCGCCTTGTAGAGGCGGCCGTCGTAGAACCACTGCAGCGCTTTGGGGCGCTTGACGACATACCGCGACCCCTTGGAGCCCTGTTGGAGCTCATCGAAGTTCATGGTAGCAGACCAGAGGACTCTTCGTATAATAGTGCGCACCCAGAGTCAGATCGAGTATCGACTCCTGTCAAGCGAAAAGACGGGAGAGACTGTACAGAAGCGGGAGAAGGGGAGAGGGAATGCGGGAAAATTTGCCGCCTGAGCTGGACCAATCGAAGTGATGAGAGTGTCATAACTCTAAAGTTTAAGCTTAGGGCTCTCAGACTTGACTGCCGACGGGCCTGAGAGCCAGGCTGAAGCGAGACTTGACTGTTTCGGTCTTTTGGTAGCGCTTTTGCTTTTGTCTTGGTTGATCAGCTCCACCAACCGCCGGCTGGTACGGAATCACAGATCATTGGCCGGGTAGTCGATCAGATGAGCCCAGGCTAAGAGCTAAAACCTGCCTGCGGACTGCTACTTAGCCCGAAAGCAAGAGAATATGGTGCTCGGTTCAAATTCTCCCGGTTTCGTGTTCTACAAGCCTAGTGCGATGCGAAAAGGAGTATCCTCGTTTCCGCACATTTGGGGCAAGGCAAGTAAGTATTCGACCCTCCCAGTCAGAGACAGCTACTTCGACAGCATCAGTGATGCTGAGAGGCTGAAATGGGCGTTCCGGAAGGCTCTTCAACAGGATTGGATTCTGGTACAAAAGGCATTCGCCCCTCCTGAAGAAGTGCACGTTCCTACTTGTCAGCTCGTCGATGAGCCACGGGATGTTGCTCAGCTGGAGCACGCTTGAGGTAATGGCTAGCGCAAGCCGGACTCTTTGTGCCAAAGATGGCAACGGTGGCAGTTCCTTTTTGTGCTCTAGGACATCGCGAAGAGTGACGACAGACCAGATATCACTATCGCCTGTCGTTCCTATCGGGAATACCTGGAAGTGACGGTTGGTGCATGCTCCATCAGTCAAGTGCCCGTAGCAGGCTGGTTGTGCTTGCTGCATCTGTTGCATCCGGACTACAAGTAGCTGCATGTACCGTGCTTTTGGTATCCGGATCGTGGCTTGGAAGGATCAATGAGAGAGATCGTCTGAGTCCATGCGAAGGAGACGTCCCTTTTTTCTTCGTCTTGCTGGTGACTGGAGTCAACGTGGGCGGTGGCGTTCTCAGTGACGGCGCCGTCTTGATATTGACCTCGTCCCAGAGCCGCTTTCTCGCTGGACCATCAGCTACCTCAAAGGATATGGCGATTGTAAAGTGTATCTCGCTCAAGACCTTCTCGTCTTCGTCCCCGTACCCGACATCGATGGACCGTGACGCTAGCTCAAGGCTGACATCGTGCAAGTCGCTGCATTGGAAGCTGGAGCGGAGAGCTCGATAGATGCTCGTCAAAAGGTCTCGCAAAATTGTGAAAACTCTGCCACGGGACCGCTTCCGTCAGGTAGGCTCCAGGGTGACACTTAGGCGCGCCAGTTCCTCAAGATCGCTAATGCCCCTGAAGATGATGCCGAGGGAGTCCTAGTAGTCTTTTCTATTCGAGCGGTGCAGGAACTTCTTGAACTCGTGTGTCATTCGTCCCCAATTCATCCACTCGACCTAAGCAGTTTCAATTAGCAGTTGCCATGGTAAAGGACTGGTCAGGCTCACCTGTCCGTCGCGCGTGACCTTGACGCTGAGTCGTCCTGTCACACTTTCGAGTGCTTCTCCAACCTGCAACACCGTCCTCTCAAATCAGTCGTAGGAGTTCCAGAGCCTCCGCCGGATCCTGTTGTTTGTCTCCGTTGTCTGCCATATCAGTCCAAATGGCTGCTGCAAACATCAACTCGGTATCTCGCCATGGCACGACGTCCACCAGCCGCTGGTTGCAGACATTGTACAACTTTGACCGCTCCGTGGTAAGTTGTCGATTCAGGCTCTTCAGCTCCGAGGGAGTCTTGCCCCAATCAGCCAGGAAACTGCTGTACGCCTCTAGGGCTTTGACGACGAGGGGGATCGCTCTCAACACGATGCCGGCGACCTCGAAACCAGACATGCCGAGATATGCCCCTCTTCTGTTTCCGTGGCTTTGTTCAGATATCCAAGTAAAGGCACCTTAGCCAGCCGTTGATCATGATCACTTGAAGCTATCAGTCCTCAGCGATCCGCATTGAATCCTTTACTTATTACCCCGCCCGCAGTTAATCTTGGCCAGCTGGTAACACCTGACTGTGCTCTATAAGCTGGTCTCTATTGGCGGATTCAAGAGTGGCAAACTGAGATATATTCGACACTCAAGAAAGCTTGACGCGAAAACAGCTCGTGCAGGCTGCACTCACAGCCATCCGGGCTCCAGGTTTGTTGGACCCGGCTCAGATCACATGAACCACGACCAGGGAACAGGGGCATTTTCTCGCAATTTCCAGGCCGTTTTGCAGTCTTTCCGGAGTCTTACCGGGTCTCTTATCGGCCATGATGACTCTACTGATCTGCGTCGGCTTCTACCGAGATTTGAGGACGAGACCGCCCGCTTCAAAATGTGGTCTGGGAGTCTAGGAGCGCACCAAAGCGGACGGGCCTCACTCGATCATCGACTAAGAGAGACACCTCATCTACGCGAACAGGTCATATACCTTCTCCAGGATTTTCCTCAAACCCTGCTGGATACCCTCACGCTCCTCTACCACGAGCAACCCTACTGGCAGAAATTCCAGGCCAGCGAGCACGAATTGGTGTTCTCAAAGGGTGACTTGAATGACAGCGATGACAGCAGATTCTCGGACTCCGACAATGATTATGCATCTCCAGGGGAGAGCCTTTCGACAATTTGCACTGATGTAGGAGAGGCGACCGACTGTCTGCTGCGGCTCTCCGTTGCCATCGCGAATCCGGCGCCGCACGAAAGGGCCCACAGACTCGGCACCTGCCCTCTCGAGGATATTTCCTTCTACGAGAAGCACGATATCAGGAACGCCCAAGATAAATTCCCCAACATGAGTACGGAGCTGGCCGAGATCCTGGGAAAGCCTATCACCCGGCGCCGACAGTACTTCAAGTACCGCAAAACACACATGCCGAGCTCCCTTCAGGCTTAGGCATTGGGGTTTTTATTGGCGACGACGACTTCACAGAGATGGTCCCAAAGACCGAGGCCTCGTCATTACCAGAAAGCCCGAAGAACCTCGCAAACGTCGATCCCGGAGTTGATGTGATCGATGAGCATGGCCGGTCCGAAATGGGCATGTCGCAAACTTCGTATGATACCTGGTCTAGCTTCCTTGCGGAAGTAAGGGATGGTACGCAAATACAGCCTCCGCCTCCGTTAGAAGTGCCGCGTTTGCCTCTGGCCACGAGACGCAGAAGTTTGGAGTGCCCGTTCTGGTACGGGGTGGTCTCCGCCCGTAGCTGGGAGGGATGGAAGTAAGTGTCTCTCGTCAGGTTTCGTCCGTCTCTTCATGCTCTGACTTCCCATGTACAGACGCCATGTCTTTGAAGACCTACGACCCTACACCCGTCTCTTCCAAGGCTGCACTATATCAAACATGAACTTTTGATAGTCGCGACCAGTAACAGGCGCACGTTTCACAATACCACTGGCGGTCATGGTCTTGTCCCTTCAAGTGCGACGGTGCTTTGCCGTCCGCAACGGAGCTCGGACATCACTTGGGCTATCGGCATCTGTCTGGTGCCCCAGACGAGCAGCTGAGCACCGCGATAGCCCTCGGTGAGGGGGCCGCCTCAAAGTATGCCGACAACAAGTGTCCCATGTGCTTGAATACCATGTCGGGATTAAAGCCATATATCAGGCACGTCGGCCGCCACCTGGAGCAGTTGGCTTTATATGCCCTCCTGAGCATTGGCCCAGGAGAAGCCGTGTTTCCAATTGACGGCTCAAATCCTGGGGCAGATGGCGTGGCAAAGGATCCGGTCGCGAGTGAGAACAAATTATGCAGGTTCACCGGTGCTGTAGGTCGGAGTTTTACGTTACCGCTGCAGGTGTGTCGAACCTGGAAGGTACGTGAAAGCAAGTATTATGTATTGGAACTTGCTTGAGACGGCTAACCAGGGATTCATCTTGTATGGTATGAAAGGTCTCATCAAGAAGGTTGTTGTCAGTATCAATGCTCTTCGTCCAGCGGTTGAAGCAGACCTTTACGACCTCGTTGGTCCCGATGGCATCATCCTTCCAAGTGATTGGGAGACGATTGAGCCTGGCTGGTCTATCGCCATGTCGCTGTGGCCCTTGGCCCTGGGTCAACATGGCGATGGCTATACTCGGAGTATTCCCACCCCGTCGCTGCCAGGAATGGTGCCGCCGCCGCCACCAGCTCCCCGAGTTGCCAAGCCCGTGGCCCCCACTGGAGGCATGAAGGAGTCGACTCAGAACATTTAGCATCCATGGACGAAGATGTAGTCGATTATCGTTAAGCTCCCGGTCATTGCTTGAGCGCGGGAAACGCGAAGCGAGCGAAAGATGATGTATCAGGCCGCGATCATAGCAGCGGATTCATTAACGAGGGGGCCGACTGGAATCGCGCTGTCAACTCAACTTGCATATACGGAACTATTAATCATTAATTTACAAACTCAACTGGCGAGATAATGATGTGTGAGAGTTACAAGATTGTCCATTTCATTGGCTCGTCGCCATTCAATCCTGAAGCAAGCAGTCAGCCACACGCCCAACGAAGGTATAAGCTTCCCCTGCTCGGTGCCACAATATAACTACGGAGTTGCGCACAGGGCTTCAATCGTTGATCGTGGCTATGATAGAGCCTCAAGCAAATTAATGGGGGGGGGGCAAGAGAAGTACCGACGAGTGCAAGACCTCGAAATACAGTAATTTGCCTTGAACCCTGGCTCAGGAGCTGGAGCATTTTGACCTTTGTACATTCTGGTCACCAGACAACGGCACTCTTGAAATAATTTTGCCGCTCGAGGTAATTAGAAATAGGGATGTGTTTAAATAAAACGAGCAATTTATCGTTCCGACACGCCTTCTTTCAAATATAGCAGAGTGTAGAATTCAAACTGCTGCCGTATTGGCTTCCATTACGCTATGTCGGTTTTTACGCGAATTCCGTTGACCTGCCGCGTTCAATCACCGATCACGAGTGGATTACGCATGCACCTTGGGTTGCTGGCGGACTCTGACTCTGCTTATCTCGGCACCCCTGGCCACCTCTTGGTGGGCAAGGGTGACACTTCATACGAGCCATATGTTGATTCAATGAGGCAACTGATCGTGTATTCTCTCTTTGATGGCTTTGGGCCGGGCATCTATCTATCTGCAACGTGATGGCTTGCACAGCCATCATGTCCGAGTCCTTGCAGGGTAGGGCAGCCATCTCAAGAAGATGGTGTGAAGCAGTCCCTTCCGGCTCGTCGTGAGTCCCACAGGCAATGCTCGTCCTGGGCCGCAATGGCAAGGGGGAAGTTATTGTTGGATCCACCTGTGCACTAGGCACCGATCGCGCACGTATAACTAATCGACCGCGCTAGTCACGTGCGAGTAAGAGGTGAGACACAGGGAGGAAGGTCTTTGCACACAGTTTGTATGGGACACGTTTCCCTAGTTACACAAGATATAACCAATTGAACCAGTTCGAATAACCTCACTGCAGTGAAGAGCCTGTCCACACTGATCAGTGTCGCCCGGCAAAGGTGACACAGAACAGCAAGACGGAAGAGAGCTAACCTATCGTCACGCTCTGCAAAGCGAGCTCCCTGACGGTAGGATAGTTGCTACAACGCGCGGATTGCTACGAAGACTCTGCATCAGAGCCCACTCTAGTTATCCAACCGTGCCTAAGCTTTGCTGTCATCAGCGACCCTTAGGCGTGCCCTATCGCACATTGATAACCTCATTGACACCCTGTGCCCTGTTTCTCAGCACACAGCCTGTCAATATGTCTGACAATTCATCTGCCGCACTAGCCCGGCAACAGCCCAGGATACCCCGGCCAACGTGTCTCTCGAAGACAGGCAACTCGTTGAACGGAACCTGACGATCGTGGAGCTCCCTTCACTCCCGATCAGGCATTTCGACGCGGATTTCCTCAACGAACCTATCACCCAGAGCTCCTCCCTTGTCCACCGCAACAGCTTCTTCTTAGGCTGTGTGGCAACATACACGGTGGATAAACGTAACCACGGAATTGCCCTGCTTGGGGATCTGTATAACGACTTCACGGGATGGAGCTATGATGACTTCGAACTAATCAACCCACGCCTTAGATCAAGACTCCGGACGCTTCTCAGAATTAGGGGGATCTATATGGGCAAGGCCAACTCTAGCATCTCTCGAGCTTTATGTGGCCTTCTAACAAGTAACGAACTTCCTGAATGGGATGAGAACGAGTTGCTTGGTCAAGAGGTTGCTGAAAACACCGTGGCATATAAGGTGAAACAGAAGCTGCTCCAAGGAACTGTTAAAGCGGCTATATCGTCACCGGCACCGGTAGTAATCCAGCAGCCAACTATTACCCGACCGGCGGAACCGGAATCCCTCAGATCATTGAGACCCATCAACCCGCTCAGCAAGAGCCTCAGCATCAATGGCGCGAATCCCCTCGGTATCAGCAGACGCTCCCGTACGGACTACCAACTTCCGAGATGCATACACGAGCATTCCACCTGTTCGATTCGAGAACGAGGAAGTTGAGGCCGATCTCACGATTAGATTCATTAAGATATGGGACAAGAAACTAGCCTATACCGGCGAACCATACGATATCTTCGATGACAAGATCCGGAAATTCATGAGCGTGTGCCGTCAAGCAAACATTCCTCCGTCTAAATTCCATGGTGTTTTCCCTTCGATTCTGGCCAAGGAAGCTCAGTCCTTCTTTCTACACGAAATCAGCACTGATTTAACCTTCGCTGAGATGTATCAGAAGATGAAAGAGCACTTTGACACCGAAATCAACCAGAAGATGTATCATACCCACTGGAGCACCCTCACCTTCAGCCGACTTCGGGCTGAGATGCCCGGTAAGTCATCTGACGAGGTCCTCCAGGCCCTTCTTACGAAATTGCGGCTCTGTAGGAGAGCACTCGGGGATAAGTCTGGCGGCGAAGGTGGCCTGATCGATGCAACGCTCAGGGCGTGCCGTGGTGTGCCTGAATTCCGACTCGCGATATACTCTCCCGCACCTACATTTGAGGGATTGGCATCACAGCTTCGATCATCGCTATCTGCCATGCAAGATGAACGATCTGAACAACCCAGTGGCCAATATCCCCAAGACCTGGATAGAGGACATGATCAGCACTTCGTGGATCGCAAATTTCAGCGAAATTCCGGCGGAACAAGAGGTCAATCACAAAGGCGTCAGCCAAATTGGAAGAAGAAATGCTACGTTTGCGGCAAGGAAGGTTGTTTCTCAACGAGACATCCTGAAAACGAGAGAAAAGCAGCCAAAGAGAAGTATCTACGAGAGAGGCTTCACGGTCAATCTCGTTCGTATGCTATGTTCTTGGCTGACTATGAAGGGGAATCACAGGATCAGGATGACTCGAGCACCGAGGAATCCGATGATTCTGACTCCTCTGACCCTTATGAATCGTTCTACGCTGCTGCGACCTTTCTGTCCAACGAAGCTTTCCATCATCGGATCTCCAGTAGGCATCAAGTTATTCAACAGTGACGAACCCACACAATTCATACTAGATCGTTACTCTCAAGACTCGTTCCAAGGAATCATGCCGGACACAGGTGCGGCATGCATATCGACGGAGGAATCGAACAACTGCGTGCTCTCCAACGAGAGATGCCCCCAGTCCAATTCCGTGATGATCGCAAGCCCGAACCAGTTAGATTTGGTGCAGGAAGATTGGAAACACCACTTGGCGTGATCACCTTGAACACACCAGTGGGAGAGGTTGATTTTCATATAGTCAACGTGCCAACGCCATTCCTCCTATGCCTAGCTGATATGGATCGGCTCGGCGTATATTTAAATAACGTCACGAACGAGCTCGTTGGCAATGGTGTGAGCGTTCCAGTGATTCGAAGATGGGGTCACGCGTGGTTCTTCTTGCGGAAACAAGAGGCATCAGTGGCATATCTCACGGAGGCTGAATTGCGGCGCCT